CCCCCCTCCCCCCCACATCCATCAGTCCTCAGTTTTTGTCAGCATTCAAGAGTCTCTCATGGTTTGCCTCTCTCCCTTTCCCCCACCATTTCCGCCCTTCTTCTCCCCCTTGGTCCTCCGTCAAGTTCCTCCTAATCCTCCTATACGTGCAAACATATGATATTTGTCCTTCTCTGCCTGACTTATTTCGCTCAGCATAACACCCTCAAGGTCCATCCATGTTGCTACACATGGCCAGATTTCATTGTTTCTCATTGCCATGTAGTATTCCATGGTATAGATAAACCACATCTTCCTGATCCATTCATCTGTTGATGGACACTTAGGCTCTTTCCATGTTTTAGCTATTGTGGAGAGTGCTGCTATGAACATTGGGGTACATGTGCTCCTATGCCTCAGCATTTCTGTATCCCTTGGGTAAATTCCTAGCAGTGCTATTGCTGGGTCATAAGGGAGTTCTATTGTTAGTTTCCTGAGGAACCTCCACACTGTTTTCCAGAGGGGCTGTACCAGTTTACATTCCCACCAACAGTGTAGGAGGGTGCCCGTTTCTCCACATCCTCGCCAGCATCTAGAGTTCTCCGATTTGCTCATTTTAGCCACTCTGACTGGCGTGAGGTGGTATCTCAGTGTGGTTTTGATTTGTATTTCCCTGATGAGGAGGGATGCTGAGCATCGTTTCATGTGTCTGTTGGCCATCTGGATGTCCTCTTTGGAGAAGTGTCTGTTCATGTCTTCTGCCCATTTCTTCACTGGGTTGTTTGTTTTTCGGGCGTGTAGTTTGGTGAGTTCCTTATAGATTCTGGATATTAACCCTTTACAGACAGATAAAATTTTATTAAGCTCCTAAAGAAGGTAGAAATCTTTAGTGTACACTACAGAAATCCAAAAAAACTTGTTTACAGAATTCTTAGACACAGTGTAGGATATATATATATATATATATATAATTCCCTCTATAACCACACATAATAACCACACTTTGGAAATTAAACATTAACAGAATATTCTTAGAGTCCATATCTAGATTTCCCAATATAATTATAATGGAGTTTGTTTTGATCCCCAAAAGGTCATATTTAGTTGTCTGTTTAGTCTCCATCCAAAGTAGTCTTTTTTTGGTCTTCCATGATATTGTCATTTATTCACAGTCTAGGCCAATAGTTGGCAAAATATGGCCCACAGTCTAAAAAATATATACATAATATTATATTTAAATACATATAATGTGATATAAATTATATAATATATGATTATATAAATTATATATAAAGTATATAATTTATATAAAGTATATAATTTATATAGTTATATAAGTTATATACTTTATATAAATTATATATATATTTAAGAACATATATTTTTGAATAAACTTTTACCTTCTTCTCTAGATCTCATTACATTCCTATCATTAAATAAGCACAGATTTGTCCCCATTCTCCAGAAAAGGAAACTAAAACTAATTATTATAGAATTATTTACCCAAAGTTATACACATCACTAGTTGGAGAGATAAGATGGGATAGACTCCAAAGTACTCCCTCTACAGTGGTTTCCAACCTTCTAAAGTTTAACATAAAAATGAAAAAATTTTCTTAAGCCTTCTATATGGTAAGAGCAGCCATACTTTTAAAAAAATGTTTTTTAATGTTTATTTATTTATTTATTTATTTATTTCTAGGAGAGAGAGAGAGAGAGAAAAAGTGAGAAAAGGAAAGAAAAAGAGAGAGAGAGAAACAAAAACTGAAACAGGCTCCAGGCTCTGAGCTGGCAGTCAGCACAGAGCCCGACGCGGGGCTCGAACCCACGAACCGCGAGATCATGACCTAAGCGAAAGTCGAACGCTCAACCGACTAAGCCACCCAGGCAGCAGCCATACTTTTAAAAGAGGACAAGAAACCATTAAATTATTTTTCCTCAAATATTTTACCAGAATCACTAGTAATTTAATATATAAAGAGATCAATTTTCCATCTAAATATTGGGTCACTGGTAGGAAGGGATGTTTTCAAAGAGGCAGAAAACCAGTCTTAACATCAAAACTTTACCTGCCGAGTTTTGAATCCCTCTTGAAACCTGTACATTTTTAGTCTGTACCACCTCTTAGGTTAAAATGTTCTGTAAGTTTTCTATTCATTGGATAAAAGAATAGGTGGAGAAAGAGAAGGTTAATCATAGAACAGGAAGAGTAGCTGCAATGATAGAGCTGACATATTAGGAAGGGATGGATCGTGAAATTCAGTGATTAGAGCACTGGAAAGTGGTGTGAGATCAAGAGAAGAGTCAGTAGGTCCCCTTCCTTTCCTTAAACTCTCAAATCTCACTGTTAACCTTAGGTGTTGAAACAGCTATATCCATCTCTTCCTTTTTGTTCCTACCACTGTGCTCTCAACTTAACACTTAAAATCACCACTGGGTAATTGCCAATGGTCTCCCATAATGTGTCTCCTTTGTCTTTCAGATTCTTTCCCATTTATCCTTTCCCATATGTCACGGTCATAAAATCTTTCTGTAAATAATATCATTAGAGAATAAACTTCAAATCTGTTTTTAGACTCTTTCAAGGCCCTATATCATGCAGCCTTATACCCTGTATATTGAATCTTACCTTTCACCACACATTCCACCTGGAAATTGTCTCAGGTCTCCTTAGGATCCCATGAATACAAAAGTGCATTCCTCTTTCTGTGTTTGTGCCTTTCCTTAGGCTCTCTGGCTATCTAAATCACGGTTTCTCATCTGGGCACTAATGACATTTGGGACTGAATAATTATTTGTTGCAGGGAGCTGTCTTGTGCATTATAGATGTATCTCTGGCCTTATCCACTAAATGCCAGGAGCACCCCCGTGCCCTATGTTGTGACGACCAAATGTAACTCCAAATAACCAAATATCTCTTGAGGGACAAAATCACCCCAGGTTGAGAATCACTGATCTAAATGCAAGTCTCACTACAAGCCCTAACTCAACCTATGAGAAACCTCCAATCAATATACCCCAGAGCCATCTTTCCCTTTTCTAAGCCTATATGAAATGTTTATTTGTTGGCCAAGGACTAATTTTTTTCAATGTTTCTTGATGACAAGTTCCACCAAAACTAAATTTCATGTAGATTATGTCTTCACAACTGAAACCATTAGGCCTGAAAATATGTCATTACCAATCATTCCAAGTGGCTTTACAATTTACAAAGCATTTTCATATTTCACCATCACATTTCACCATAATCCCAGGTGAGAGGTAGGACACTAAATACTCTGACCACCCAGCCTGTTCAGATGCTAAAACTGCAGTCCCCAAGTGAAGGGACTCTAAGCATATTTAATTGGAGCACCTTTTGAGGTTCACAATATGGAAGGTAACCACACTTTTTGACAAAATAGTCCTCCACAGCACTGCCTCACTGCACTCAATAGGACATTTTATTCTGGAAACAAGTAATATAACAAACTTAAGTTTCTTCCTTCCATTTACCCTTTTCAGCTGGAGTTACAAATTCAAATGCCAGGCAGGCTGACATACCTAAGTAAGACATGTCCCAAATAAAGAAAGGATAAAATAATAAAAAATTAACTGAAACTAAGTCTCCGTGCTGCTGGGGCTAAAGGGGGATGGGAAACTGGGACTACAGAACTGGAGAGGTTTACTCTTCAGAGAGAAGACCCGCGAATCACGGACGACTGCCGTGTACAGATCTGGTTTTCTAGATCTGATTTTTCCAGAAATCTCGATTTTCATGTGAAAGTTCCTAATCTTTAAATGACAGCAACTTAAAACAAACAAACAAACAAACAAACAACTGAGGCATTGTGGCATGTGAGACTGGGGCTACTAATCTGATATATCTGAGAGACCAATACCATTTCCCTTTAAACCTGAAAATATTTAAGGCTGATTTTTTTAATCCTTCTAAACTACAAACTGTCCGGTATTAGATCTCAGATCCTACGCTGACTCCTTTTAGCCTGTTCATTAGTCAGGCCTATACACTTCATAACACTGAGGTGTAGTTATAATACATCTCAGTAAATACACGCTATAAGCGCCCCCATCCACGTCATCCGCCGCGCAAACCTGCCGGAGGCCACGGGGCGCCCCTCGACTTTGGACGGCGAGCCTGTCCCCCGGGACGCCCGCTCCTCTCGCGACTCCGGTTGTCGCTCCGGGCCCGTGCCGCCGCCCAGGAAGCTCCCGGCGGATACTCACCCGTTGGGGATACTGTTCTTCACCATGACAAGAGAGGTTTGGGGCTCCCACGCGCCAGGACAACTCGCTCTCAGGTTTCTTCCAGAACAGACCCTCGGGCAGATGCGGCCACTGGGGCACGCACTCAGCCCGCAGGTGATCAAAGCCGGCGACTCTGCTACAAGCCAGAGCGGGAGTGATAGATTCCGACGCCTCAATTCGAGTCCCAAGCCCGGGCTGCGCGTCAACAGCAGAGCGCACTGAAGATTCCCGAAGGCGCATGCTCTGCGCTCGCCGGGGACCCCTCACGGGCCGCATCACGCATGCTCCTGGGCCGCCTTGACGTCAATCCCCGAGGAGCGAGCGCGAAGCGGGCGGCTAGTGCGGTGGTTGGAGTCCTTGACGGGCGGTTGGCGGCCTCCTCGGAGTCTGCAGTAAATGGTGCGTCCTGCCTTAGCTGCTCGTACATAGCAAGCGTGCACGGTCCATCCAGGTGAATGTCATACTGCCTGTTATAGCCCCCTGGACCTTCGCTGTGAGACACCCCAGTATCTTGTCTGGTTGGAGCCCTGTTCTATAGGCAAAACCAGCCCCCCCCACCACCACCCCCGTAACCAGAGACCCGCACAGGCCGTTAGGACTTGTAGTCCCCAGAGCCTGGCCGACCAGTCAGTCATGCCCTTTGGGTATTGAGAGGGTTGAGAAACACTCCCGTTTTACATTCGGGAGTAGTGCTTGTTTTGCAGCGAATCCAAGACCATGTTATTTATTGTCTACTGTGTGCTGAACATCTTGCTAGAATTGGTGGAGGACGGATGGGTTCGTACTCCAGCTTTCGTCCTCACTTTATGGTAGGCAGAAAGATGAACTTGCAAAGTAGGGTGTAATGAAGAAAAACTGCAATTGTAAGTGCTCTTTCACGGTCACAGAAGGATCAGAGCCAGAAAAAAGTTTCCGGGAAGATGTGGAGTTTGAATCAGGCTTTGAGACGTGAAAAGCTCTAGATTAGAAGGAAATCGCAAAAATCAAAGGATAGATGTGGCAGGGAGTGGAGAGAAGAATGGTCAGGCTTTAGTGGAAGGTTTATGTTGGAGAGTGGTAAGCAGGGTTTAGCTGGGGAAGCAGACCAGGTGGTCTTTTAGCCTCACTTTCAGAAACGGCCTCATTTTGAGTTTGTTTCCAGCTGAGACTCTAAGTACAGGCACTGAGATATATTGTCAGGTTTAAATAAAAGACAATCTCACAGGACTTACCTGAGCCCAGTTTCTGGACCTCCTATTGCTCTATGAATTAGTACATTTTTATAAATCCTGTAATTAACTTGAGAGTAGCAAAATCACGTGTGTGTGCGCGCGCGCTATAAACTTTCAAAATATACCACAGTTTTTGTAACCTGTTTTGGCATTATTCAATTTTTATGTGCTGAAGTCTCAAGGGAAGTGAACCCAAATCTTTCTTGACTCATATAAGAGCAGGTTATGATGATTTGGGGGCTTAGTCCTGTGTGCAGTGGATGATTCCATTTTGATGCCTTTCCAAGACTTCTGTATAAATTCACAGGTAATGCTTTGTTAGGCCACTTGTTCCTAGTTTTTTATTTTAGAAAATAAGATTATAGTTACTAAAAGTATTTGTTTTCAAATTTGTTAGGTAATGAAACACCTGGGAGTCATGATGCTTTTTGTAACACGTTGTGAAATAATGCTATTATATTTAACCAACTGTAGAATTTTTTGTTAAATTCCACCTTTTCCACATCTTAGTACCAGTATATTTGCCATATATTTAATAAATTTTGATGTTCGCAAAATGCTATCCGTTGCCTTAATTATATCATAACTTTGAGTGAGACTTTAAGTTTTTTGTATAGCATCACAATGCAAATCAAAAGAAGTCTGGGAGAGCATTATTTGAGAAACACAGCTATAAAGGAGTTTAGAAAGGACTGATCAGACTCTAACAATAGATGAACTAAGAGATAAAATTGGATTTGAGACTAAATTCAGTTCCACTAAAGAAGGAAGATGGATTAATACGTTGGGGAAGATTTCCAAGAGCTGGGGGAAAACAAGGAAAAACAAACTTCCAGTTAGTTCATAATTAACTAAAGAAATATTACTGGCTATCAGAATTTTGTAACTATTCCATATGCTAGAGATTTTTCTGTAATTTTATTCTGCTAACACTCCTGAAATCAAATCGCATGTGACAGAAGTAATCAAGGTGATTGAGTGTTAAATTTACACACAATATAAAATTTCGTTTCAGGAATCACCTTGGTGATAAAGGCAAAACTGGATAAATTGGCAGAATGCAGAATTTTCTAAGTACTAAGCAAGAGGCAAACATTTATTCACCTAAATTGCCTTGTTTGCTATGGATCAGAAAAGGCTGAATGAACTATTTGATTTTAATTCTCAGGTTTTGACTATGGACCTCCAGGTCATCTTATACAAAAAAAAAAAAAGCTAATCCTAAATTTCCTTACTTTTTAGAAAGAGCTTTAACTGCAAGAATTGTAAGTTAGCAATAACCTTGAAGAGAAGATTGGGTTTAACTGCTGGAGCTGATTTTTCAATAAAGACAGGTGAATTACTGTGAGAAGGTATGAGTCACAATTTTTCCTTAGGTAAATTTTCAAAACGCAAATGTAATTTTTTCCAGATCTTCAATTTTATGTAAGATTTTGTCTATAATCACTTATTTATCTTATTTATGGAATGATAAATTAACCAGGTTAGAAACATCTCCATGTCTGCAAATCAATATCTGGTTAAAAATTTATAAATTTTTTATTTGATTTATTATAATTTAACATCTGTAGGATGTGTTATTGCTAATGTTTCTCCAAGGTTAGTAGATAAAATTTACAGGTGTAGGCATTGGTAAGCCAGGTATTGATTTTAAGTTCATTTTAGATTTTCTTGCAGAATGCAAAGTAAATTAAAATTATCTTTTCCTGGCATCGTATTCCTGTTGTGCCTAATTTGGGCTTGTTGTTAGGAAGAAATTTGAAGATGTTTTAAAGAGTCTTAAATCAATTTCTAGATGTCTATTTACTGATTAAACAAAGAATTTTGCTAATTTAGACTTGATTCTCTTTTGTTCTGTTCTCTTCTATACAGTATTTTTAGTCATCTTCTGGATTTCTCACCTGAATGTCCTATAAGCATCCATTAGTAACATCCAAAAACTGAACTTACTGATTCCCTACTCCAGCTACATTACTACTTTGATAATACTTGAAACGATACTACTTCTCAATGACTCAAACCAAACACCTAGAGTCCTTGATTCTTCCCTCACTTTGTCCTATATGTCTAATTGCTCATGAGATCTTGTGACTTCTACTATTTAAATGAATCTTTCTCTACCCTCCATTCCCACTTCCATTTTTTTTCTTGAGAGAGAGAGAATCCCAAGCAGGCTCCATGCTCAGCAAGGGGCCCAACGTGGGGCTCTATCCCAAGATGGTGAGATCAAGACCTGAGTCAAAATCAAGAGTCCATCTCTTAACAGACTGAGCCACTCGGGCATCCCACTCACTTCTATTTTTGATTCCGATCTCTGATATCTCTCACCTTGACTATTTTAATGGCCTCTTAACCTATCTCCCTGCCTCTAGTGAATATCTTCATGTTTAATCAGATATTTTTTCTCACTAAAGTTTTATAGTTTGGGGCGGGTTCCCACATATTTTAATTGAAGTTATTCCTAGGTATTCTGAAAATGCTTTTATATTGCTATTATAAAAGTGATTTTTTTCTGTTATATTAATATATAGGGAAGCTATTACCTTTTATGTACATGCTCTTATATTCTGTCACTTAACTTTTTTTTTTTTTAACAAATAGTTTATTGTCAATGTCACTTCACTTTCTAATTGTGTCTAAACTTTTTGATGTGTTGGGTTTTCTACATATATAAACCTATCCTCTACAAACAATGATAACTTTGTCTTCTCTTTTGTAATAGTCATACCTCTCCTTTTACATGTCTTATTACATTAACCAGAATTTCTAAATATGAAAGGTGATAGCATTTTTCTTTGTTTATTTTCTAGTTACATTAAAAAATTTAAGTAGCATACTTTTAAGTATCACATCATACTTTCAGTAATATATCATCCTTAAGACTGTTTTCTTATTTATTTAGAAAGTAGAAATAAAAGAACCAGCATGAAAAGATCTCAAAGAGGAAAGAAGATATGAAAAAAAGTAAGGTATTAAGAGTTTATAAGGATCTTTATTATACTAATAGCCCAATTATAAATGTAGGATAATCTTGAACAATGTGATATATTTGGTTCTATATTCAAGTCATAGAATTCATGTGTGGAGACTGCTTTCAGGCAAATAGCCTTGAGCAATGGAATACAGACAGGCCCATCAGGCAACCTGCCTCAAAATATCCAGAGGCCTTAACTAACCAAAGGGCTGCTTACGACCAGGCACAGTTACCAAAAAAGGGAGAATTCCATACATCGCCATACCTCTTCACCTTCTCTCTTTAAAAACAGCCCCCTCCCACTGCCTCTTGGCAGATAGCCTCTCCTCTGCTATCTCATGTGCAGCTCCCTTGTGAGGTAGTCAGTAAACTTCTATATCCTTTGTTCTGCGTCAGGTGAATTCTTTCACCTTCTGCATCACTGGCTTCTTCCTGATGGTCACCCTATATTTGGGGGCCCCTATCCAATTGAGAGACATCATAGTTCATATGTTAAAAAAAATAATAAACTTAAGAATGAATTGTACTCTTTGGTCAGTTAGTTATGTAATAGTATTAGAGATGAGGTATTTATTTGTTTATTCTTTTATATAAATATTAATTCAATTACCTATTCTCTCAGCCAGCAATCCATTTCTGCTTTGGTCAAAAAAAAAATGTTTTTCTTTTTTTAGTTAGTGGATTAAACATATGTAGGACCAATAGCTACATGTCTTTTGGAGCAACTTCAATTAAAATTCCTATTTTATCACTGCCTTCTAGTGGGGACGGGAAGTTACGAAGAAGTGTGCAGAACCCTGGGAATTCTGGTGAGATTATTAGGAATTAAAGGGAGACCTCTATCAGTCACTTGCCAGGGTTGATATTCCATCCCACCTTGAGGGATTGCTGTTCCTTGGTCAAGAGTAGAAGTAGGTATTTTTAATTGTGTTGAGGAGGATACTAAAGGTTTAATAAAAACAGAACATCTTAGTTTATGTTGGCCTTATTCAATAATTCTTTTTTTTTTAATTTTTAATGTTTATTTTTCAGAGAGATAGAGACAGATTGCAAGCAGAGAGAGAGAGGGAGACACAGAATCCCAAGCAGGCTCCAGGCTCTGAGCTGTTAGCACAGAGCCCTATGCAGGGCTTGAACTCATGAACTGCAAGATCATGACCTGAGCTGAAGTCAGATGCTTAATCGACTGAGCCACCCAGGCACCCCTCAATAGTTCTTAAGTGTGGTCTAGGAAGCACTGGTAGATTTTTAAGTTCTTTCAGAAACTCTGTAGACTAAGCTCTTACTGTGATAACATCTTTTAGTTGTAATTTAAGGAGTCTTTTGCTATTGTATTTCTTAAACTTGAAATGAAAAACACTCATAATTGATCTTGTTCTAAAAAAGGACTTAACATTGCTAGTATGGTGTAATTGCAGAATATTAAGGCCTAAAAAACTGTAAAAGAAATAAAACTCATTTGAACATATTGTGTTTTTAATAATGATAAGATATTCAATCAGAAATACCAGTAGGCAGCTAGAAATGTGGTATTCAGGATAGGAGTCAAGATTGGACACAGATTTGGGAAGACCTGGGAATGCATACACTCTCCAAGGCCTTGGAATGTGCCCACATTTAAGCTATGAAGAGAAGTATGACCATTGAAGAATACAGGGAATAAGGGGCTGGAGAGGTAGAAGAGTAGAGAACAGTGATATAGAAAGTTTCCAGAAAATAAAGATGCCCAGCATCATTATATGCTATATAGTAATTAAGGATTAGCTAACACTGATAGTGTTGAGTTTCAAAGTATTTTCATATGTCTGATCTTATTTGACCCTCCTAAAAGATATGTGAAGTTGACAATACTTGAACACTAAGAATTAGCCCATTGGATTTTATCATTAAAAGGTCCTTTTTGATATTACAGAGAACAGTTTCTTAATTTAAAATCCACTATATTTAAAGAGCTCATATCAATTGATAAAAAGATGAAATTTAGGGAAACTAGGCAAAGAATAAGAATTAGCATTTAAAAGGTGATGACTTTCAAAGGGCTGATGACCATATGAAAAGATGTACAATGCCAAAATAAAAATATGCAAGGTAACCTCCCACCCCAACTTTTTTGCAGATGTCAGAAGATAACAGTGCAAAGAAAATATAGACAAGAATCTCCAAAAAGGTTCTCAATAAGTATACCACCACTCTGATACTGTTGGCTTCTCTTTTTTAAAGATGTAGATGACTACTCTCATTCTTGGGTTTCAGCTGGGAACACAAGTTTCTTTTTTTTAATTAAAAATTTTTAAATGTTTTTTTAACTTATTTCTGAGAGAGATAGAGACAGCATGAGCAGGGGAGGGTCAGAGAGAGAGAGAGAGGGAGACACAGAATCTGAAACAGGTTTCAGACTCTGAGCTAGCTGTCAGCACAGAGCCCGACGTGGGGCTCAAACCTACCAACGATGAGATCATGACCTGAGCTGAAGTCAGCTGCCCAACCCACTGAGACACCCAGGCACCCCACCAACCAGTAACTTTTAAACTTACCAAGGAATAATGCAGTCAAGAATGAAGATTCTCATGACATGTAATGATTTAGCTTTATACTTAGCCTGTATTTCCACCAGCCTCTATGCCACCTTTTAGTACTCAAAGGAGAAGAAAAAGAAAAATGCTAGGTTGAATAACCAATAGGCCCTCCATTTTCTACTGTACGTAGGAGTGCACAACCTCTCTCCCTCTCAGTCCATTTGGTGGATTGTCTGGCGGATAAGCAGAAAATTATGCATGGCTTGGAGTGCATACAATACTGGAATCTTCCTTATACCCTATGTTTCATATCCTTAAGAGCTTGCAGAAGTGGGGGTTGGCAGTATTATGTTGATTTTACAGAACTGACAGTAGTTAAAGTGGGTACTAGAAACTCGTCTCTCTTCCTTTCAGATTTCTTTTTCTCCAGTTTAATAAGATTGAAATAACTTGGCTTTGTTATTCTGCGGGACAGTTTATATAAAATATGACTATTCTCATGTTTATCTGAGCTTGCTTTTTTTTCTTTTTCTTGCCTGACTACAAAGAAAAACTCTAGCAAATAGCTGAGGATACAGAGGGTAGGGGGAAAGTCACAAAAAGAACAAAATTCCATCCTGTTTTTAGTCCAGATTGAAAAAGAGGGAAGAGACGACTTCCCTCTTAGGTTCTAAGCTCACATGGGGCAATGACCCAGTCTTCATAATTGTCATAATCTTTAGAAATACATGCAGCTTAGCTATTTAATAAGTACTTTTGCCACATTGCTGTTTAATTATATTATAAGAAAGTGTTATGAACTCTATGTTATTATGTTGACCTCTTGGTAGATTTAGATACAGAAGAAAATCAAAACGTAATGGAAACGTTGAGAGGCAAAGTAAGAGCAAAACTAAAAAATGCTAAGGTAATGCTTCTTTTTCCTTTCCTGTTTTCAGATTTACTGTTTACTGCAATATTTATCATAACAGACTTTTCTTTGTCAAAAAAGAGTGAAAATTCAGCCTTAATATATAGCTCCTTAAATCACAAAATCTTCAAGTTCTTCTCCATGCTTTTTTTCTTCAAACCTAAAGCCAAGAAAAGTTGAGTTGGTCATGATATATGACATCTCAAGGGAAAATATGTATATACTTGTTAAAAGAAAAAAAATGAAAAAAATAAGAAAAACACTAAAATTTTTGATTTTTATCCAATTGGACAAAAAGACTTATGAGCACAATCATGTCCATATTTGTGAAGATTAAATTTTCCATACCACTTATGTTGTGTTTCAGATTAATCAAGGTGAAACATCTTCAACTCACCTACTCATTGATGATAAGATATATCAATGGCCTAAGGTAAATAATTTTTTTACACATTTTTTTTAATTTGAGAAAGAGAGTACAAGCAGGAAAGAGGGGCAGAGGGAGAGAGAGAGAGGGGGAGAGAGAGAGAGAGAGAATGTCTTTTTTTAAAAAAATAGTTTATTGTCAAGTTGGTTTCCATATAACACCCAGTGCTCATTCCAGCAAGTGCCTTCCTCCATGCCCATCACCCCCCTTCCCCTCTCCCCCACCCCCGTCAACCTTGTTCTCAGCATTAAAGAGTCTCTCATGGTTTGCCTCCTTCCTTCTCCCCCACTATTTTTCCACTTCTCCTTCCCCCATGGTCCTCCGTTAAGTTCCTCCTAATCCATCTATATGTGCAATCATATGGTACCTGTCCTTTTCTGCCTGACTTATTTCGCTCAGCATAACACCCTCAAGTTCCATCCACGTTGCTACAAATGGCCAGATTTCATTCTTAAGAGAAAGAATATCTTAAGCAGGCTCCCTGCACAGAGTGGAGCCAGATGCTGGTTCAGTCCCACAACCCTGGGATCATGACCTGAGCTGAAATCAAGAGTCAGACACTCAACCAACGGAGCCACCCAGATGGCCCTTTTTACACTTTTTAAAAAATTTTAATTTCCAATTAGTTAACATACAGTGTAGTGTTTTTTCAGGAGTAGAACCCAATGATTCATCACTTCCATATAATACCAAGTGCCATCCCAACAAGTGCCCTCCTCAATGCCCATCATCCATTTATCCCTTCAGTTTGTTCTCTATTTAAGAGTCTCTTATGGTTTGCCTCCCTCTCTGTTTTCAATCTTATTTTCCTTTCCTTCCCCTATGATCATCTGTTTTGTTTCTTAAATTCCACATATGAGTAAAATCATGATATTGTCTTTCTCTGACTGACTTATTTCACTTAGCATAATACATTCTACCTCTATCCACATTGTTGCAAATGGCAAGATTTCATTCTTTTTGATCTCTGAGTAATACTCCATTGTGTACATATACCACATCTTCTTTATCCATTCAGCAGTTGATGGACATTTGGGCTCTTTCCATAATTTGGCTATTGTTGATAGCCCTGCTATAAATATTGGGTTGCATGTGCCCCTTCAAATCATCATTTTTGTATCCTTTGGATAAATTCCTAGTAGTGCAATTGCTGGGTTGTAGGGTAGTTATATTTTTAATTTTTTGAGGAACCTCCATACTGTTTTTCAAAGTGTCTGTGCCAGTTTGCATTCCCACCAACAGTATAAGAGGGTTCCCCTTTCTCCGCATCCTGAGTTGTTACTTTTAGCCATTCTGATACCTGTGAGGTGGTACCGTATTGTGATTTTGAGTTGTATTTTCCTGATAATGAGTGATGTTGAGCATCTTTTCATGTGTCTGTTAGCCGTTAGCCATCTGGATGTCTTCTTTGGAAAAGTATCTATTCATGTCTTTTGCCCATTTCTTCACTGGATTATTTGTTTTTTAGGTGTTGAGTTTGATGAATTCCTTATAGATTTCTAATATAACCCTTTAACCAATATGTCATTTGCAAATACCTTTCCAATTCTATCAGTTGCCTTTTAGTTTTGCTGATTGTTTCCTTTACCAGCAAACTTTTATGTTGACGAGTCCCAATAGTTCATTTTTGCTTTGTTTCCTTTGCCTCCGGATACCTGTCTAGTAAGAATTTGCTGTGGCTGAGGTCAAAAAGGTTGTCGCCTGTTTTCTCCTCTAGGATTTTGATGGCTTCCTGTCTCACAGCTAGGTATTTCATCCATTTTGAGTTTATTTTTGTGTGTGGTGTAAGAAAGTGGTCCAGGCTCATTCTGCATGTCGCTATCCGGTTTTCCCAGCACCATTTGCTGAAGAGAGTGTCTTTTTTTCCATTGGATATTCTTTCCTACTTTGTCAAAGCTTAGTTGGCCATACATTTGTGGGTCTATTTCTTGGTTCCCTATTCTGTTCCATTGATGTATGTGTCTGTTTTTGTGCTAGTACCATACTGTCTTAATGATTACAGCTTTGTAATACAGCTTGAAGTGTAGAATTGTGATACCTCCAGCTTTGATTTTCTTTTTCAACATTAATTTGGCTATTTGGAGTCTTTTCTGGTTCCACACAAACTTTAGAATTGTTGGTTCTAGCTCTGTGAAGAATGCTTGTGTTGGGGTACCTGAGTGGCTCAGTCAGTTACATGTCTGACTTTGGCTCAGGTCATGATCTCATGATTCATGAGTTTGAGCCCTGAGTCAGGCTCTTAGCTGATAGTGCAGCACCTGCTTCAGCTCATCTCTTTCCCTCTCTTTGCTCCTCCCCTGCTTTCTCTCAAAAATAAATATACATTTAAAGAAGAGAATGCTGTTGTTATTTTGATAGGAATTGCATTGAACATGTAGATTGCTTTGGGTAGTATCGAGATTTTAACAGTATTTGTTCTTCTAATCCATGGAATGTTTCTCCATTTCTCCTTCAGTTTCTTTCATAAGTTTGTATAGTTTTCAGCATATGAATATTTTACCTCTTTGGTTAGGTTTATTCCTACATGTCTTAGGATACCTTCTATCCCAACTTTCTTGAGGGTTTTTATTAAGAAAGGATGCTGTGTGGGGCGCCTGGGTGGCTTAGTCGGTTAAGCGTCCGACTTTCGCTTAGGTCATGATCTCGCGGTTCATGGGTTCGAGCCCCGCGTCGGGCTCTGTGCTGACTGCCAGCTCAGAGCCTGGAGCCTGTTTCAGAGTCTGTGACTCCCTCTCTCTCTGACCCTCCCCTGCTCACGCTGTCTCTCTCTCTCCTAAAAATAAAAATAAAAAAAATAAAAAAGAAAGGATGCTGTGTTTCAGATGCCCAAAACCCAAAGTCTTAAAGGACCTGACACTCCGTGGATCCATTCCCTTCTTTCAGAGTTGAGCGTCTCCACACGGTGCTCTGAAGCCCCCTGTCCCTGAAAAACAGTCCCCTGCCTGCCCAGTACATGGAATCTAGGGAGTAGCACTGCTAAAAGCAGCAAAGTTTATATTCCCTCTGGATGCACCTCTGTGCCCTATTGATGATTGGCTGGCACCTTCAGGGTCTTTTGTCCTTGTGGAGACAATAAACCCTCTTCCAAAAGTACTCCAGGAAGGGGAATATTCTCTCACAGTGTACCCCAGATATCTTTATACCACACTCTGCACTCTGGGGACAGCTCCCTCCTCCCCAGGAGCACATGCCACAGCCCTCCAGAGAAAGTTGCACACTTCCAAACCCTCAGAGTTTGAGCTCCAATCATTGTTTGTAATTAAAAAAACCCAAAAATTAAAAAAACAGCCCTGCGGAACTCAGCACGTCTTGCTCTTCAGTCCATGGTTCAGAGAGGTTTTCCTTTTGTGAGAAATTGATGCCACACTTTCTCAATCTCTCTTTCTTTCCCTTTTGTCTCTCCTTGGAAAGAGACAAAAGGAAAAGGACAAGAGGAGGGAAAGGGTTCCCTCCTCTCTGTGGCGCCACTGTTTTTCTCTCTGCCAATTCACTTCCGTGCACCTCGCACCTACCACACTGTCTCCCTCCAACTGTGGAGATCTTTCTGCCAGTCCGCAGATCGATTTCCAGGTGTTCCACGCTCCGCGCAGCTGTGTTTGGGGAACAAGGGAAGCCCAAGGTCCCCCACCTTAACTCCTCCCTGTTTACACTTTTTAAAACAGCTTTGTTGAGATATACTTTATGTAGCAAAACTTCACTCATTTTAGATGTATGATTTAATGATTTTTAGTTAACGTACAGAATTATGCAGTCAACACTATAATGCATTTTTGTCACTCCAGAAAGATCCCTCATGCCAATTTGCGGGCACTCTCTATTCCTACTTGACATTAGTTTTTATCCTTAAAAATTAAAATAAAATATTTTAGGTGATCCCTGACTTACACATTTTGTTTTACAATTCAGTGTGTAATCACATATCTGAAACTTGAAATGACAAAACAACTCATGTTTTGGAAACTATATTATTTAGAGTAAAGGCTGCTAAGCACCTTTAACAAAAAGGTTCAAAGGAAAATGTCTTAAGGTAAAAGTTTTGTTTCTCTCTAGTTGTAACAGATAAGTAGTCTAAACTACTAGGAAGGTTCACCATTTTCAGCAAAATGGTTTCCATCTGGGAGTCCGGTGGCACAGCTCCAAAGCTCCAGCACCATTGTTTGCTGGCCAGAGGGAGGGAGGAGGAAGGATCCAAAGGGTCGCAGATCAATCTTTTCTAGGACAAGACCTACAAGTTGCACACATTATTTCCAACAAAGGGATGTGGGGAGAATGTTTAGGTATCCAGCTAAAAGTAGATTCTGGTACTAGATACAGTAGAAAAGACAATAATGACTGTTAGTCATTTCTGCCACAAACAATAAGACTATACAAATTTTAAATTGCAAGGAATTTTTCATTCATCAATGTCTACCCCAAAACCCCCATCTTACGTGCTCAGTAAAAATTGTTTTGGGGCACCTGGGTGGCTCAGCGGGTTAAATGTCCAACTTCAGCTCAGGTCATGGTCTTGCAGTTTGTGAGTTTGAGCCAGCATCATGCTCTGTGCTCACAGTTCAGAGCCTGGAGTCTGCTTCAGATTATGTATCCCCCTCTTTATTTGCCCCTTTCCCACTTGCATTCTCTCTCAAAAATAAATAAACATTTAAAAAATTTTTTTAAGTTTTAAAAAATAATTATTTTAATTACATTTAAAAATAAAAGCATACTGAAAAAAAAAGATGTGTGTATATGTTATTCATTCAACAAATACAATATGCCTATGCTGGATTTAATTTAAGTGTGAATAATAAAAACTTGGAAGCTTGTCAAGGTCAGTCCATTAAGTGTCAAGAAAAGAGGTGAAAAGGAAGAGAAATTGGCTTCTAAGATTCTCCACACCGACTACTAGATAGAAATATCTGCTCAGGAAGTTGAGGATTTTAGCAAGTGGTTTTGCAATGAGCAGAGATGAAGGGAAGTAAAGTATATACTGACAGTTTAGATATGCAGCATTGTTGCAGTGTGAATTTTTTATTTTAAAGTTTATTTATTTTGAGAGAGAGAGAGAATCCCAAGCAGGCTTTATACTGTCAGCACAGAGCCCAAATGCAGGGCTCGGTCTCATGAACTGTGAGATCATGACCGGAGCTGAAATCAATTGTCTGACGCTTAACTGACTGAGCTACCCAGGCGCCCAGGATGAATAACTTTTAAGGTTAATGTGATGGCTACATTGTAGATACAAACAAGATATAAGATAAACTTTGTATTTTACATGTTTTTAAATTATTTAACTTCTAGTAACTATGAGTTTTACTTTTTTTTTTTTAATGTTTATTTAGTTTTGAGAGAGAGAGAACACATGGGCACCAGTAGGGGAGGGGAAAAGAGAGGGGGACAGAGGATCCAAAGCAGACTGTGCTGACAGCAGAAATCCCAATGTAAGGCTCGAACTCATGAACCACTGTGAGATCATGACCTGAGCCGAAGTGAAGTCAGACGCTTAACTGACTGAGCCACCCAGCTGCCCTGGAGTTTCATTTTTTATTATGGAATTAATTCTTCTCCCAAATCTCCTAACAACAGTTCATTTTAATATGTGTGTGAGTTAGAAATGGTAAGTGATTTACACTTAAAAGATTTAGACTTGACAGGATTGAAAAAGAAGAGCTTATTTATCAGCAGACTTATAACTAAGAATATGCCACTTTTATTTTTTTTAAGTTTATTTATTTTTGAGAGACAGAGAGACCAAGTGGGGGAGGGGTAGAGAGAGAGAGGGAGAGAGAAAATCTCAAGGAGACTCTGCTCTGTTAGTGTGGAACCTGATGTGGGGCTTGAAATCACAAAATGTGTGATCATGACCTGACCCGAAGCCAAGAGTCAGATGCTTATTAACCTACTAAGCCACCCAGGCGCCCCAAGAATTATGCCACTTTTAATACTTTCAGCTACCAATAACCACAAGGATCATAGATGGGTTGGGGTGATGCTTGTATGTGAGCACATAAGAGCACCCAAAAACGGAGAAAAAAGAAGAATTTGCCCTGTACCTCTATTTTGATCAAACTGTAAGGTAATACTCTTAGTATTCATACTGTCAGTAGTATTACTACTCTTAGTAGTGAAGAGGTAGTTTGGGAAGCAGAAGAATTGGGCTCTAGGTCATTCTGTTTTTTACTGCAGTTATCAGAACCTTCAAAACAAAAACCAAAAAACGTAATGAACCAAACACACTCTTGCTTCTCTTTGCTCATGAATAAGATAACAGTTAGTGTTTGCCACATTACAGAAAAGTATTTCTTCCACTTATAGGCAGAAAAAGTATTTCCACCCTGAATACCGGTTTACCATTGTTTAATCCACAGACTGAAGTCTCCTCAGATGAAGGCCTTTCGTTTTTCATGGCAAGTGGTGAAGAAGGCTCAGCTTTGGGCCAGTGTTCAGAGCAGGTTGGATTTGTTCCCCTTCCTCTCCTGCCTCAGGACAATGAACTCTTTATTAAAGGCACAGAATGAAATACTTAGATGGGAGATGAAATTTGTATTATTGAGCCACCTTCTTCTCTTTGAATTAAGAATCTGTTCAAAATAATAATTCTAAACATTTATTGAGTGCTTATTGGATGTCCAATGCTATACTAAATTTTTAATATGGATTATGTCATTCAATCCTCATCCTAATCGTGTGAGGCAGGTGTTAGTATAATCTCTACTTTACAGGTGAAGAAGTTCAGGCACGGAGAGTTAAACTTCAATAGAGCTGGAACCACCAGCTGTAGCTCCAAAACCAGTGTTTCCTTTGTCTTTTGTTGTTCTTGTCCTTCTCTCTGAGTGTCCCGCACTGTTCTCCGTGATCTCCATTACTCTCCGTAGATAACTCATTCTCCATCCCTCCCAGCTGGATACCAGACCCTTCTGATTTCTAGCAGTTCTTCCGACACTCCTTAGCCTCCTGTTACTCCCTGGTGTTCCTCTCCTCTGGTACTGGTTAGTCTCATGAGTCTTTCCCATAGTCTCCTGAGTGTCCATCCCCCATCCCCTCCCACCCCCCTGCTCTCCCTGCCTGCTTCTGTTCCTCTACACTTTCTCCAACTCCTCTCTGCCTTCAGTCTCTGCATGGTTTCCTTGGTCCTCTGTCCCAACACTATTGGACCCAGTGTCTCCTGACACCCTTCAGCTGTTCCCTAATCCCTCAGGCTTCAGGAGTCCCTCTTGGACACACATTTGCATTCTGATTTACTTCTCTTTCCCTTCTATCCCCCTTTCTCTACATCCTGCCCTGGTCCTTTCTGTCCTTCTTTGTTATTGTTTGTTTTTTCTACAATAAAAAGAGCTTTATCTCTTAAAAGTTTAAAGAAAGTATGTACATTAAGATAAACCACTATCATTTTTCACACCTTTATGCTTATGCCCGTACTTGTACAGATATGGACTTTTATATGAATAGAATTATATTTGTAAATGGCCATTCCATTTTTCCAGTTGCTCAGCCGAACCTTGGTGTCATCCTTGGATCCTCTTTAATGGATACTGGTATTCTCTTGTTTTCCCATAAAAGCTCATTCTTTAACCCATATTATGGGACTTGGGGAGGTCAGATGACTTGTCAGAGCATGCACGTGTTTGAGACGTGTTTATTCAGCATTCATGGGAACATTCATCGAGTGCCTAATGTGTCTCAGGAAGAAGAGAAACTAACAAATGACAACATACCTCACATCCAATCCATCACAAATCCCATTGGTTCTACCTTCAAAGTGTTCCAGAATCTGACCCACTTTTCACCACCTCCTAAGGGCTGGTACAGCCCTAGTCTCAGCCACCATAAACTCTCATCTGGATCATTGCCAGTGTCACCCTCTGTTTTCACTATTGCCTCAACTGTCTGTTTCCTGTATCGTACAGTGGTCAGAGTAATCCTGTTAAGATCTAAGCAAGACCATTCTTTTGCTTACACCTTCTAGTGGTTTCCTATCTCACTCAAAACAAAAGTTCAAGTCCTCCAAGGCCTATATGACCTGGCCCCCTTGGTACCTCTCTGACCTCATTTCTCACTACTTTGCCCTTTTTCCACCCAACTCCAGCCATATTGGCTTCCTCCTTATTCGTCACAGCATGCTTCTGCCTCAAGGACTTTTACCTTTTATTTGTGTAGGAAGCTCTTCCCTTATTCTCATACTCTCTTTCTCACTACCTTTGGGTTTCTGTTCGAATGACATATAACTTAAGATACTATTGTATCTTACAACCCTATCTACAATAGTTCCCCCACCCACCTAGCCTGGTATTCTCTAGCCCCTTATCTTGCATTTCTTTTTCTCATCACACTTATCACCACCCCATGTATATCCCTTATCTATTTGTGTATTTTCTTCCTGAAACACATTAGGCACGCAATGAATGTTCCCATGAATGCTGAATAACTGCTTCTCAAACACGTGCATACTCTGTCAAGTCATCTGACCTCCCCAAGTCTCACAATATGGGTTAAAGAATGAGCTTTTCTGGGAAAACAAGAGATGGTCCAGCCAGCAGAGTATACCAGGGCCAGGTGCTGTGGTTATGGCTGCTCTCCTTCTCGGAGGATGGGCAGAAGAGAAATTAGGTCAGCAACACAGACCAGCTACTTGGACTTTAGTGAGTTTGGGCCGAGGATTGTTTAAAATTTTTTTTCAATGTTTGTTTGTTTGAGAGTGAGAGACAGAGTGTGAGTGGGGGAGGGGCAGGGAGAGAGGGAGACAGAATCCAAAACAGGCTCCAGGCACTGAGATGTCAGCACAGAGCCTTATGCGGGGCTCAAACCCATGAACCACGAGATCATGACTTGAGCTCAAGTCAGATGCTTAGCCAACTGAGCCACCCAGGTGCCCCTAGGTCAGAATTGCTTAGAGGAGCTCTCTGGAGAAGTCGTTGCCCTGATGACTTTCCCAGAGAGGAAGAGCCACCATTTTGTGGGGAGTTGAGTTTCTTCCTGCTGGGAGAAAGGGGAGTCCTGGTCCCAAATATGTTGTCTGGGCAGCACAGAGGAGTGAGGTCCAAGTTTATTTTCAGACAGTTCAACCTATCACACCACAATCAGCAAGACATGTTCCTGTGACATGGGGGATGACATCCCTTTTCTATCACACCATTCTCAAATGTATCCATGTAGACTTACGCATGGAAAGTTAGGTGGATGCTTCAGACCTCACACTCCCTGTCTCACACAACACCTAACAGCACAGACATGCTCTGTTGTGAGCTGCATAGTAAAGACCAATAAACTTATATTGGTTGAAATAAGTTTATCTTGGACAAAAATATAGGCCAATTGAGTAGGGTCAGGTTTATAGAAGAGACCTGTTTGGTCCTAGGTAAAATGCTGGGATCCAAGATGAAGGCTGACTTACTCAGCCATCAGGACAGACCTTGGCTCTGAAGGCAGGTTGAAAGCCCTGGCCCACATGGGGGGTGTTGTGAGGGAGGCCTGATAATGAGATCTCCAGATGGAAGAAAGAGCCCCATTCTGTCTGTGATTGGAATCTTTAGAGATCCCCTGTATAGGGATCCCCCAAGTCTTACTCCTGGATGTCAGTGCCATACCTGGTTTGAATTCTGGAATAGATGTTACAGAGGTTTCTTGGATATAAAATACTTTCTTGATTTCATGATGGGGATAGAAGGGAGGGTATTATGATGGTGTGATACTTGATATGAACCCAGGTGTTGACTAACTATGTTAATTACTTAATTTTGTCAGAAGCTGGTCAAGGCCATGTAAGGGTCTCTATTCAAAGGAATTCTGTGATTAACTCTTTTTATTGAAATATTTACCCTCAAATGTATGTTTTGGAAAACTAAGGTATTTTATTTGTGTGGCTCACACACTTCAGTTTCCTTCGCCCTTTCAATATATGTAGATTTCAAATTAGACAAGTAAAGTCATCCAGAGTAGTTTGCTGATTTGTGTGTGTGTGAAGAGAGTAATAAAATTTCTGATCCTGATATAAAAGTATGCATTTTTATATTTAGTAATATATCTATTTTTGATACCTATATCAGATTGTTTTTAATTTTTATAGAAACTATCGTTTTTCAGAATTTCACTGTAATCACTCTGCCATAGACTTTTATGATGAATCTTTTCTTTTTTCTTTTTTTTTTCTTTTAAATACCATCCAGAAACCAGCATGACTGCTCCATATCACTTTATGTAACACTGCTTTCTGAATGGTGGGAAAAAAATGCAATTTAAGACTGCATGGCCTGATGTCTCCAGACCTTGCCCTACAACTGAATTCTCAGTGGCTGAAATATCATAATCCAATATCCCAGGATATTCTCCATGGGAGAGGAGGGGTTGAATTATAGTTCTGTTTCAGTAATCTTTCATTGTGAATTGCAAAGAAGGGGTATAGAAAAATCATACTGTGTATTATTAAGCCTTAAATGAGTTCCTTTATGTTCAATGAAATTTTATTGTAACACTTTCAGCTCAAACTTGAACTAGGTGACATGGATCAGAAAGACAATTCCATAGCAAGATCCCAATACATCTCACTTATCTATGTATTAATCTTGGAGACAGCATATTTACTTATTTTTCTTCTTGGTATTCAACAGAGATCAGTAAATGACAGCTATCCCAAACACTTTTCACTTGGTGATAATTTACAAAATTTTGCTGAAGGCCAATATGAAGACTTTATGGAGGAAGTCATTTTTCCAGATTTACTTGAAATAAGAGCTGCTGAATGTGAAGTTGATCAAGAACAAATCAGAAAACAACAGGCAAACATTTTTGTGCCAAGTAGCTCTCCAGGTAAAATTCTTTCAATGAAATATTTAAGTCATGAGTGAGTCATATTGTAGAATAATAGCTTTTTTTAAAATTTTCTTATTATTTATTTTTGAGAGAGAGAGAGAGACAGAGACAGAGACAGAGTGTGAGCAGTGAAGGGGCAGAGAGAGAGGGAGACACAGAATCCAAAGCAGACTCCAGGGTCTAAGCTGTCAACACAGAGATCGATGCGGGGCTCTATCTCACGAGCTGTGAGATCATGACCTGAGCCAAAGTCGGATGCTTAACTAACTGAGCCACCCAGGTGCCCCGAATAGTAGCTTTTTGTATGCTGGATAGATTAAAAAAAAAAAAAAGTACTGATCTAAAACTACAAGTTTTCTGTATTTGTTCTTCATGTCTTCTCTGACTTTAAGGAAACTGGTTAAAAGAACTCATTCATCATATGTGTATATTTTGACTTCCTGTTAGACTTTAGTGGTAGGATGTATGATAGTTACCTTTTGCTTCTTGTTTAGTTAATACCAGTTTAGTATTTCGGACTTCAGAGTAATATCTAGGTTTTGTTATTAAGTGGCCAACCAGCATAAACTGCCAAAAGGTATGATGCCACGCATTTTAGAAGATGAAGGATTCTATATTCAGAGAAAACCAGAAATCTATAGAAAGACCTGCAACAAAATGGAAAATCGCCTGCTTACCGTAGAAGAGGCAAGTATGCCAGCTAACAAGTTACACCACTAACTTAGAGTATGTGACTTTTGTTTTTGGTGAAATATCTTATTACTCTATTTCTTGAATACTTTTGATAGGGGAAGTGTTGGTTTGAAGAAAGTGGAGAAATAATGTCATTACCTTCGCCCATCAGACAATTATGGAATTTCAGGCTAAACACAAGCAAGGGATCTTTAAATCCAGCACTAAAGACCATATACAGAAAGGTAACAAGCAACAGTTTATTTATAATTATGGTTAGAAGAATTCTTGTAATATCAATTATAACTTACATCTTTGTGGTGTTAACTTACCCTTTATAGATATTAGTAAATCTAGTAATAAATGGCAAAACTATGGTGAAATGTAGAATAGTCATTAAAATTATGTTTTTGAGGACTATTCAATTAAATGGGGAAATGCTCAAAATAAAATGCCAAGTGAAAAAAAGAGTGGAAAGTTATAGATGATCCTAATTTTATAATAGATAATGAATGAATCAATGAATGAATAAGTATACACATACATATGTAGATAGTTTTAAGGGAAAATGTATCAAAGTTAATAACTATCTCTTAGAGGACAGGATTATTTTTACTTTCTTCTTTATTTCTTTCTCTATATTCTAAATTTCAAAAATAAATAAATATTATAATCAAACAAATTTTATATGTATTCTAAGACATAGTGAAAATTAGCAGTCCATTAACCTAATGAGGAGAAATATTTAGACAGAAATAGTTATATTTAAAAATAGGTTTGGGACACCTGGGTGGCTCAGTTAGTTAGCCTCCAACTTTGGTTCAGGTCATCGTCTCATGGTTAGTGAGTTCAAGCCCTGCATCAGGCTCTGTGCTGACAGCACAAAGCCTGCTTGGGATCTTCTTTCTCCCTATCTCACTGATTCTCCCCCGCATGCATGCACGCATGCTTTCTTTCTCAAAAATAAATAAACATTTTAAAACAATGGCCTGAAAAATTTAAATCAGAACTGTGTACAAAAATTCAATTGCCCATTGACTTGCCTTAACTATTTTATTTATAAGAAATTTGAGGGGCGCCTGGGTGGCTTAGTCGGTTAAGCGTCCGACTTTCGCTTAGGTCATGATCTCGCGGTTTGTGGGTTCAAGCCCCGCGTCGGGCTCTGTGCTGACTGCCAGCTCAGAGCCTGGAGCCTATTTCAGAGTCTGTGACTCCCTCTCTCTCTGACCCTCCCCTGCTCACGCTGTCTCTCTCTCTCTCCTAGAAATAAATAAATTAAAATATATATATATATAGTGGCTGGATTTTTGAAATTTCTTGGCTGTGTTTCTCTTCCCAGATATTTTTCGGTACCTTCTCTTTCCATAACCTCTGTGGTCTCTGGCCTTCTCAATTTGTATTCCATTCCTAGCAGTTTTTCTTTAGTGTGAAGACTTGTCCTAAAAATTCTTAGGAAGTAGGTTCCTCTAATCCCCTTTAGTCCTTACCAAAACCCTGTGCACTCACCCACAGTTGGAATAGATAAAACCTCTTCCGGTTTTACCTGCTGTTTTTGAGTTGGGATGCTGCACTTTCTGGGGAGTATCTGTTGGCCCTTTGGGGTTCTCCTGGTGTCAGGACCTCCAGATGCTTCGTTGCTCCTCTCTATTTTCTTCCACACAGTCACCAGTCCCATGCAGGTCTTTTTACTGTTGGCGGTTTGTCTCCATCCACTTATATTTTGGGTTAGGGGATTCTTGAGATTTAGTTTTGTTATGGATCTTGTCCATGGTTTTTGGCTTTGAATCTAGTTTCTCTGCCTGTTTTAAAGGTAGAGATTTGGGAATATCTAAAACTATATTGCCGCTGTGTTCCAGAATCACCTGTCTAGTGAATTCTTAATTTCAGATATTTTCAGTATAATTTTAGCTTGAAAAAGTTTTTTTGACATTTGATTCTTATGTATATATTTCAATTTTCTTCTAGATACTTCCATTTTTTCATATATTTTCCCTTTAACTCTATTTTTTAAACTTTTACTCTACTTTTAAAAGACTTTTATTGTACTGAAACATGTATGAAATGTTATAAAAGCTCTAAATGATACTTTCTTTCAGAAAGGCTCTGTCCTGGGGTGCCTGGGTGGCTCAGTCAGTTAAGCATCTGACTTCAGCTCAGGTTATGATCTCACGGTTCACGGGTTTGAGCCCCGCGTCAGGCTCTGTGCTCACAGCTAAGCTCAGAGCCTGGAGCCTGTTTCAGATTCTGTGTCTCCCTCTCTCTCTGACCCTCCCCTGTTCATGCTGTCTCTCTCTCTCTCTCTCTCTCAGAAATAAATAAAACATTAAAAAATTTAAGGAAGTTTCTGTCCTTTGCTTTGATAGGCATATTGAGTGGGGATAATAATCTTAATCCAATTCGAGACTTTATTGAATTCAGACTGGGTTGCAGTTTTGTTAAGGCTCAATCTGTTCTGTATCCTCTGTTTACCTAATCTCTTTCCTACTTGACTGCAGAGTAGTGTTTTCTTTAATCAATTGCTAACACATATCCAAATGCCTAGCATATAATAGACACTCAGTAAGTGCTTGTATTATTTGTAATGCAACCTTGACTGGCATAATCTTAGAAAATACTATTTTTTGGATAGGGTCTGTCACACCATGAGAGACTGGCAATGCCTCTGCTCTATCCTAATTTATAAAATTACACATTTACTGACATTTTAAAAATGAGCTTCCCAGCCCCAACACATGTACAACCAACACTGCAATATCTTTCTGTTTTTTCCAGTTTGGTTACTATATAAATCCATCTCCATTAAAAATAAAAATGAAAGAATAAAAGAGGGAAGAGGGGAAATCCCTGATTTTTAGCCCATCTTTTTCTTTGCTGTTAGGTGGCATAGCGTTTACACCTTATGGTGACAATATGTTTTATATAAATATTGCTGAAGATAAAGCACAGATATTTTAACATAATTATCTGAGATGATTGTTCTTAAGGAGAGAGAGAGATCCTTGAAACAACTCATAGTTTGCTGAATGAATGAACGAACAATTGGATGAAAACAAATAAATGCAAAATATGCAATTTTTGGGAAAATATTAACCACCATCCAGATCAACCTTTGTAGCCACCAGTATCCCAAGTTGGAAACCACTGTGCTACACAAGCACCTTTTTCCTCAAGTGTCTGTGTTCTCGCTTCATCCAAGCACACTTTCAGTATCTCGTGGACTCTTAGATTTGGAAATAAATGGAAATGTCACTTGACCAAGCATCTAAACCGAGTATTAAAATTCATACTGTAGAACCTTAACAGAGAACATTCTGGAATTTGTGTCAGGCAAATGCTTCTGCCTGCTTTCCCCTTTTATCTTCTCCATATTGTTACTCTGCCCAGCTCACCTTGCAGGGGTTTCTCACCAGAATAAAAGAAACACTAGGGCGACCGAAGCACGGGGAGTAGCTGCCCAAGTACCAAAGTCCTCTCTTTGCTGTTGCCTCTGCCAGGTTCCTCTACCCCAGGCCTTATTTGCCTGTTGTTTGCTGACTAGTTTTGCCTAACTATTTGACTATGCTCTTTACTCCCTCATCTAACATTCCTCTTACGTGTTTGCATATTTTATGCTTGTCACCAGCTTGGATGTTTTTGTGCATTTATCTGGCCTTTGATTTATTGTTACCTAGATCTTTGTGCTTTTGGTCTAACAAACACGTTTACCTAGTTTCGAAAGTTCATTTAATCCCCTCACTTAGCTGACCAGTGATGAATCTGCTCAATAAGAACAGACATCTCTAGCTTAGGAACTCTAATTTTCAAAATTTTATTTCTAATTTGGCTGCTTAATATCAAAACTGTTTATTTCATTGGTGTTTTTGCCTGGTAAATGACCATTTTACTACCAATTAACTAAATCTCATAAGTGGAATCAAGAGCAGGTTTTCTTCTCATAGAGAAGAGAGACTTACAAGATAAGGATAAAACAGGACAAAATTTATGGCTCTTCTCTTGCCTCCCCCCAAGCCAGTGAGGAAAAGGGAATATTCCTGGCTCAGGAGGGAGTAGGGAGGGAGAAATGTAGGCATTATACTGGTGACCTACAGTCCTTGAGAAGCACTGGGTCTGCCACACCAGGTCAGAGGTACGACAGCAATTTTTCAGTGTACAAGCAGTGGTAATAACTATGGCACAGAGTGGGGAGCATGTCCTACTACACCAGACTGATCCAGAGAGAGGGTTTCTGCTCTCCTTTTTAGGCGGATGCAGTCCTGGATCTTATTGGGAGTGGCTAGGCATTCATGAACTAGGCTATATGTGCTACGTAACCCATTAACCTTCTCGAATTACATCACTAAAAACCAGTCACGTGTATATTCTAACACATGTACTAAATTCAAAATAGTATCCTAAAACATAATTGAATCATTTGGTATACAGTTTAAGGTTTACAGACTTCAGCTAATTTAGGAGCAGTTTGGTACACAAGTGGAGACAGTCTCATGTATAATGAAAGATAGTCTCCTTATTAGGTAACATTTACTTAACAGGGTCCAGGCTCCTCCAGGGGATTTTCCAGGGCCTTACCAATATATTCACATAAGAACAATGTTTTAATAAGTGCCCATGGAAGACTTAACTCTGGCCCATGGATGGCTCTTAGAGATCATCAAGTACTCAAACTATTGACCCAACAGACCTAAATACCGTTTGTCATAGTGTTCCTATAGGAAATCATTGTGGGGCTTATAACTTGAAAGTCTAACTTCTACCATCACACAACAATAAGGTATGTGACCATAATTTGTAGAAAGATGATTAGTATGATGTAATATAAATACATTTTATGAAATCAAGGGCCATAATCAATTTCAAGGGAGAAGGATCAGATTATTTATTGCTTTTCTGTATCCCTTAATTTTCTTACAGTTAAAGTGTTACTTTCATAAGGAAAAATCACTTATAATTTCAAAAAAATTACAAAGAATCAAATTAACATTGTGTACATATTTTTCTTTAAAAGGCAGTGAAATCTGACCTGGAAAGCTCTATCAGGAACAAAATGGAAGGTCAAAGGGAAATGTATCAATTAGATCTCAACATTGTGGGCTTGCAATTCAGCCATCATCCTCTCTTCAATCAAGAACAAGTATTATGTGCTAGGCTACTTCAACTGTATGAGTATTTTCAGGACAGGCAGCAACAGAATTTACCTCAGCTGCTGTATGAGAAGGTGAGAACGGCTTTTATTCTATTTATAGAGTTGAACATTTAATATTGAAAGAGAAAACAAGTAGTACAGAGGAAGCTATCATAGAACACTTTCCCTTAGCACTTGAAATATTTAACCAATTATTAAATTGGTTAAAAGCTGCTTTCAGTTTTCCAAAAAGAAACTCTAGGAGTTGATTGGTCAGGGAGGTACCCTCAAACATATCCTGCAGGATATTTAGCACTTATGAATGGTTTACTAGTCAGTGGTATTCTTGATCCTATGACTCAAGAAGAGTATTTGGAAAGATTACTATTTATAGGAGCCATAGGGTTGTTTCAAGTCTTCTAATAAAGTATTTTGATAAAAATATTAGAGACCTTGAATCTTAATTAAAACATGAAAAATCCTGGTCTGAGGATGATTAACCCAGTCATCTAATGATATTGTAAAGGGCACATAAAAGTCTGAAAGAAAAGGAAAAAAAAAAAAAAAAGAAAGAAATCAAAGGAGTGCCCACTGATTATTTTTATGAATTTGTACCTCTCATTTACTTGCTTTTTTATTTTTATTTTTTTAAGTAGGCTTCACACCTAATGCTGGGCTTGAGCTCATGATCCTGAGATCAAGACCCAAGCTGAGATCAAGAGTCAGATGCTTAACCAAGTGAGCCATCCAGGCACCCTTCATTTACTTGCTTTTTAACTTGAGTTTTTATATCTCTTGGCAAAAATTAAAATTTTTATGAGGTCAAATCTTTCAGTCTAACCCTGTGTATTTTAGGTTTCATTGCTTCCTAAGACCTCTACCCCAAGAGTTACCAGTCAGCATGCCTTTCATTGCAGTCCACAGAAAACCCTCACTCAATTGCTTTGAACAATAAAGAAAAGGTATTACCTCCTATATCAAAAGTCCCAAGTTAGGGCAACTTTAGGGTTGGCTGATTTGGTGGCTCAACAGTATCAATAATCCTAGCTTTTTCCTCTCTTTCTAATGTTTATCTTCAGCAAATTGGCTTGGTAAACTAACTGGCTGCTCTAGGTCAAAGCATGCTGACCAGACACACAATATACAACATGGTGTCTCACTTTCAGAGCCCTCTCCAGCCTTTTCTCTACATCTGGGGAGATTTCCCCTCATGTCTCATTGGCTAGAATCATCTCACACAATCATGCCTAAACCAGCACTCGCAAAAAGAATGAAATTGCTACAAATGGCTAATCAGGGTTTACCTCTGAAACACATGGAAGATAATTAAGCTATTGAATAAAATTGGGGTTCTGCCAACCACAAAAAAATAACCTTTTAAGGACAACCAATAGTGTCTGACAGACCAAAATTATAAAGTTATATTTTTATATATCCTTCTAATGATATACGCCTGTGCAGGTATAATTTCTAGACTTTTTCATTCTATCTAGATTTTATATCTGTATCTTGTGGGATTGGGCTCCAATTCAGTTTCTCTCCCTCAAAAGATTAGCATAATATCCAAACACCCATAATTTCCTGCTAATTTAAAGTTCTGTCTTTAGAGGCATCTGGGTGGCTCAATTGGTTAAGCATCTGACTTCAGCTCAGGTCATAATCTTGCAGTTCGTGGGTTCAAGCCCTGCATCGAGTTCTATGCTGACAGCTCGGAGCCTGGAGCCTGCTTTGGATTCTGTGTCTTCCTCTCTCTCTGCCCCTCTCCTGCTTATGCTCTGTATCTATCTCTCTCTCAAAAAAAAAAAATAACCATTAAAAAAATTTTTTTAAGTTCTGCCTTTATTGTAAACTAGCTTAACATATTTACATAAATTTAAGGACTATCAATTACAATGACATAATGGTCTAGTCCTGCCCTGGTTTTTTTTGTTTTTTGTTTCTTGTGTTTTAATTTTAGAAAGAGTGTGTGCATGAGTGGGTGAGAGGGGCAGAGGGAGAGAAAGAACATCCCAAGCAGGCTCCACACCCAGCATGGAGCCAGGGCTCCATTTCACAACGCTGGGATCATGACCTAACCCAAAATCAAGAGTCAGACGCTCAACAAACTGAGTCACCAGGGTGCCCCTAGTCCTGCCCTGTCTTAATTACTATATTTAATTACTCAATTATAACATAGTAGGACAGATGACTTCTCATTTTATCTAGGATGTTTTTGTATGCTCTTAAAGATTTGATCTTCTAATCTTCTTTGTGTTAGAGTTAGTCTGTCTATTTCTATTTTTAAAATTCTATTACTGTGATTGCATTATATTATTATATTAGTTTTAAAAGAAATTTTATCTTTATAAAAATTATATTTCCTTATCAAGACTATCATATGCCTTCCTATTTGTTGAAATTTTCTCTGATTTCTTCCAGTAAACGTTTATATTAATTGACTTATCTTGGCATTCCTACAAACTGTCCCTAACTGTGACAGATTTCTCCTACACATGTTTAAGGGTACAGTTTCTTCCAGTTTTATTTCTCTAAATATTCTCTGTGGATATTTCTGCCTTCCACTTTCCTCAGTATATCTTTTTCTCTTCATTTTATTTTTTCTTGTGTTCCTATGTTATACATTTATTTTTTATAGAGAGATATAGATATCAATTCAGTCATAAATATACATATATAGATATGAATGTGATATTGACAGTAGATATGGATAAAGACAGATAAACAGATATCTTTTCTGTAACCACGGAAGAACCCCAATGTAACTGTGGAAGATAAGGTATATTCCTGTGCTCAATCTGCCATCTTAATTGATTGGCATTTTTTTACATTAATGAACAGATTCTAGATATAATGTTTCTTTCTTTTTAAAATTTATTTTGAGAGAGGGAGAGAGAGAATCGCAAGTAGGCCCTGTGCTATCAGCGCAGAGCCCGATGCAGGGCTCAATCCCATGAACTGTGAGATCATGACCTGAGCTGAAATCAAGTCAGATGCTCAAGCAACTGAGCCATCCAGGTGCCCATAGGTATGATGTTTTTTTCTTAGATATTGAGGTTCTTCTCAGTTCTGCCCCAAGGCGCTTATATGAAATATATTTTTGAAGATAAGACAGTAACACACAAAAGGTTATATAGTTGTGCTTCTGCTGCACACGCCTAGACCTTCAGAGAAATTTGAGTATTGGTAACAGTGGATGAAATGTACTAAAAAGTTGTTTTCTTGGTTGTAGCTGATAGCACTGACAGATGCTACCAAATTAGCAAATGAAAATTTGGAAATGAGTCAGCTAACCAAAAAATCTTTACAAGATTATTATTGGCAGATAAGGTAGGTTTTTGACCATTCATGTATTTAACAAGTATTTATTAAGTAACTTCTTTAGACAGAATATTGCACTTGCTATGGAAGATATAAAATAAGAAAAAGACAAGGTACCTACTCTTTAGGCAACTACAGAAATGGTTCCAACCTTTCCTTAAGACACAGTTTTGAAAAAAAAAAAGTACAGTTTTGTATAAAGATATTTCATAGAAGTGCCACATGAAAGTAGTTGTAATTTTAATATCCACTGATTTTTTAAAAAACATGCTAATTAAAAACCACCATGAGTTCACCAATACTTTTTGGATCATAATAGTCTCAAAGGTTTGTATATATTTGAGAATTAATTCATGTATACACATGTATAAGATATATCAACTAATTCAGCTAAAGTCAGTACTCAAAGAGCATATAGATTTAAGGATCCCTGTGAAAAAAATACAGTCTACAAGTTGGGAACCATTAGCTTATAGAGTGATTGAGAAGAGAAGTTAGGAAATACGAAGTAATGGGAAAAATAATTATGTGTCAAGGACATTCCAAAAGCAAGAAAGCTCACTGGGAGGTACTTATTGTATAGAAAGTTCACTTATGCACAAAGATATAATAAATGTCAATATAAGAGAGTGATTTTATAAAGAATTTCCCTGACTCCTTGTCCATTGACCTGACATGGTCCTACAAACACTAGAAACAACAGTCAATTTACATAATTGGTCTCCTAGAATAATTTAGTTAAATGCAAATGATGTTACTTGAGAAGGTTGACATATACCTTGCACAAGTCCTGGCACATAATGAGTTCACGATAAATATCACTTGAATAAATGAATAAATAGAAGCCATCAGTATTTACAAAACCATAAACTTGTGTTATTTATAAGATTAACTAAAATTAATGGCAAAGAACAGACATTGGCATAATGAACACAGAGCAAGTAAGCTTTAATGAAGGAAAGAGAAAAATAGACTTTAGATGGGATCTGATGGTGGTAGATAATGGCCCACAACTATGTGCGTGTGCACATGGTATGTTTGTAGGAGGGTCATTGAAGAGGTCAATGCTTTATCAAAGCAGAAAAAAGTAATGTGATAGATTTACTTTCAGGAAAAATTTTAGAGTAGTTTGTGGACATTTGAAAAACAGAGTTTATATTAGAAAAGATATATTTAACATTTAATGACTATTAAGTGCCTGGTACCCACAATGAGCTGGTACCCAGGACAGAAAGCTATAAACCATTTGTGAACCCCCTTCTTGCCTCTCCTCTCATCGCTCACATCCAACCATTAACCATTCCCACTGATTCTGCCTTATTTCTGGTGCTTATCTCAGCCTGACCACTCAGTCTCCTAGAATACTTTTCCTTAAGCCATGCTCCATTTTGAAACCAAAGTGATTTTTCTAAATAAATAAACCACATTAGTGGTTTCCTGTTACCTTCACAATAAAATTTAATAGCTTTAGCATGATCTTTAAGGCCCTATGTAACCTGACTCCTGCTTACTTCTCAAGCCTCATGTTAGGCACTTTCTGCTTTGGAACTTTATAGTTCAGTGCCCTAAATGGACTATGCTGTCTAATATCTAAGTATCTTTGTTTTAATGTCTTTTCTTTCTAGAAGGTTCTTTCATTGTTTTCTGCCTGACACTTAGTCAACATATGCATTTTATTCAGTTTCATGTTTCTCAGGGAGGCTCTTGCCCGTTAGATTAGATTAAATTTTCTCTCTTTATTTTGTATATTCACATAGCGTTTATATATGCCCCTTCTCATAATATTCATCATATTTGTAATTACTGTTCTGTATTTTTCCCTTCTGGGATATTACTTACCAGCCCCCAAATTATTTCCTACCACCTAATAGATATTTATTATGTGTTTATTGATTTGAATTGAGTGTCATATACTCTGAAGTTTTCCCCTGCTATTCCCATTTAGCTCTTATTTATGCCCACACCCTAGCTATGTGGACTTCTGTTATAACACCTATAATGTTTTGTTCCATTGGTTAATTTACATGTCTGTAAGCTTCTTGAATCCAGAAAGCATATCTGTTGATCTTTGTATCCCCCTTAACTAACACAGTGCCTGGCATGTAATAAGCCTCCGATGAATATTTGATGAATGAATAAATGACAATGGGCTTCTATTTCTAGTAGACTAGATTTCATGAATGGCCCTTTTAATGAAAACAACTAAAAATGTCTGATAAAATATGAATGTTATCTTTATAAATATACTCCCATAATGGCAAAACAGTAAGTAATCTGCAAAAGCCAAAAACAAAGTGAAAGGAAAAATCATAAGATTTAGAGAGGGTTAAAGCCAACTTTTACTCTGAGGATATTTGTTAAATATTAGTAAACTTGAGCTATCATTCAGATACCTTCAGGGAGTACCAAAGTAAAAGATAAAGAAAGCCAAGATCAACTTAATTGGAAAGTATAATAAGACATCACTCTATAATGAATGTTAAACTTCATGAAGGGGGAATATAAAGGGGATAACAAAGAAACTTGTCTTGGACTTTATCACTAGGCAGAAGGGGGAAAATGCTCCTTTGAAAATTTATAACCACAAGCCAGCATTCATACAGGTTTATAATCTGAATTTATAGTACTTATGTGATCTAAAATATCAGATTTAGAATTCAACTGAAAATAGTCGCAGATTAATAGTGACAGCAGACTATTGGCAAAGCCAATAAATATTCTTTTTGGAATAGCATAAATTTAACCCTCACTGAGAGATTTTCCAAGATTTGAAATTCTAAGGGACATGAGCTTACAGTAAAAAATGAATCAGAAAGGACTGAGGAACAAAAAAGGAGGTAGTTCTCAGTGCAGGCAATTCTCAGTGAACAAATGATGTAATGGTGTCTAATGGGTATAAAAATATAGAGTTCAAATGTATCACTTGTAGAAGGGGGTAAAGAATGGAGGAGGGTAAGTATAATTAAAGATATTTGCATTGATGAGAATGAGAGTAAGGGTAAAGTTTACTATTACACTTTGATAAATCAAGGGCTCAGATTTTAACTTAAAACATCTAAAAAAAGAAAAAAAAAAGATATAGCTTTCAAGTCAGTAGAAGAGGAAAATGAGACAATAAAGAAGTATTCAAACAATCTAAAAGACGACAAGAAAAGAGAGAAATAGGACAAAAAACAGATGAGGCAAGTAGGAAACATAAAAGAAAATAGAGTTGGGGAACCTGAGTGGCTCATTTGGTTAAGCGTCCAACTTTGGCTCAGGTCCTGATTTCACAGTTCATGGGTAGGAGCCCCGCGTGGGGCTCTGTGTTGACAGCTAGCTCAGAGCCTGGAGCTTACTTCAGATTCTGTGTCTCCCTCTTTCTCTGCCCCTCTGCCACCATGCTCTGTTTCTCTCTGTCTCAATAATAAATAAACATAAAAAAGTTTTTAAAAAACTACAATTAAAAAAAAAATAGGTTAAACCTAAATATATCTAAATGGGCTACGTGTTCCATTTTTATCTTGGTTGATAGACTGGATTAAAATTTAGAAAACAAAATCCATATGGGAGCAATCTAAGTGTCCATCAATAGAGGGAATGAATAAAGATGTGGTGTACATATATATAATGGAATATCACTGAGCCATTAAAAAAATGAAATCTTGCCATTTTTTCAACGTGGACCTAAAGGTTATTATGCTAAGTGAAGTGAGACAGAGAAAGACAAATACCATGATTTCATTTATATGTGAATCTGAAAACAAAACAAATAAATGAACAAAAAGCAGAAACAGACCCATAAATACAGACAACAAACTGGTGGTTGCGAGAGAGGAAGAGGGTAAGAGATGGACAAGATGGGTGAGGAGAAAAATGAGAGGTACACCCAGTTATGGAATGAATAAGTCACAGGGATGAAAGGTACAGCATGGAAACTACAGTACATGGTATTGTACTAGGGTATATAGTGACATGTTAGCCACACTCGTGGTGAGTATAGTATAACTTGTAGAATTGTTGAGTCATTACGTTGGACACTTGAAACTAATTGCTTTAGTTCAAACATTGCATGTCAGCTATATTTCAATAAATTTTTTAAAAGGAGGAAAAAACTCCAAAACTAAAATCTAATTATATTTTATTTATAAGAGACTTATCTAGATCATGAAGATATAAAAAGTTAGAGAATAGAAATAATGGGAAAAATACCATACAAACACTAACAAAATAAAGCTGGCATGGCTATATTAATATTAGGTAAATATTACATAATATAAGGTAGAATAGATCTTTAAGGCAAAAAGTTTTACTAGATATAAAGGGGACCACACAAAATAATGCAGTTTAATTAACATGTATTCATGTGTATGCATACACACATACATATATGCATATAATAATATGGCTTCAAAACATATACAGCAAAATTGATTGAGGAGCACCTGGGTGGCTCAATTGGTTAAGCATCCAACTTCAACTCAGGTCATGATCTCATGGTTTGTGGATTCAAGCCCTGCGTCAAGCTCTGTGCTGACAACTCAGAGCCTGGAGCCTGCTTTGGATTCTGTGTTTCCCTCTCTCTCTGCCCCTTCCCTGCTCGTGCTCTCTCTCTCTCTTTCAAAAATAAATAAACAAGTTTTTAAAATAAAAAAAAGAAAGCAAAATTGATAGAAGTACAAGAAGAAATAGCAAATTCACAAACATATTGGGCAATATTAATACACTTCAGTCAGTAATTGATGGGACAAGTAGACTAAATAATTTCAGTATGGATATAAAAGATTTGAACAACATGATTAATAAACTTGCTTGACTTAATCTGTTTAAGTCAAAATGCAAAATGCGACTTCTTCAAGAACACATGGGAACATTCACTAAAGTTGATCTTATATCAGTAAATCTCAAAGTCTTAATGTATCCAGCAGATTTAAATCATTCAATGCAGAAAGAAACCCAGTACAAAAATATAGCTAGCAAATCTCTATAAGTTTGGAGATTAAGAAGCACATGTTCTAAATCTATTTTTCAGAGAAGATACCATATTGATAATTAGAAAGATTTCGAACTTATCAAAAATAAATATGATCAAAATTTTATAGTACTTGGAGGAAAATCTGTTTATTTAAATACATACATTAGAGAAAAGGAAAGGTTGAAAATTAATGAGCCAAGCATCTTTAAGTTAGGAAAAAAGAAGAAAAGAAATGAAATAAAGAACAAAAATTAATAAGAAAGCTATGATAGAATTAAAAAGTCAGATGTTTGGTAAAAATTTATAAACTCTGGCAAAACTGATCAAGAAAAGAAACAGCACAAATATGCAGTATACAATATCAGGACAGAAAGAGGGACATGACTACAGCTGCTGTATACTTTGAAAAACGTCATGCCAAAGAATGTAAACATTTAAATGGAAAGGACAAATCTCTACGAAAAGAAAGCCAGAATATATCCAAGAAGTGAAAGAAGAAGAAAACCCCAAGTAGTTCAATCATTGTTAAAGAAATCAAAACAGTAATTTGAGCTCTTTCTGCAAAGAAAACTCCAAGCTCAGTTGACAAAATTAGGATTCTATAGACCATTTAAAACAGTGACTCTCAAAATGTGGTTACCCAGACCAACAACATCAGCCTCTCCTGGAAACCTGTTAAAAATGCAAATTACCAAGTCCACCACAATCTTACTGAATCGGAAACTCTGGGGGTGGGGCTTGGCAAGCTGTTCAACAAGCCTTCTGGTGATTCTGATACAGTAAAGGTTGAGAACCTCTGATTTAAAGATAACTTCTATTTTCACATACTCTTTCAAAGAATAGAAAAAGAGGCCACATTCTTAACCTCAGTTTATGAGGTTATTTTATCCTTGAAATTAAAACTTAATATAAAAACCATTGCAACCCAATTTCACTCATAAACATAGTTACAAACATGCCGAACAGAATTCTATCAATTAATACAGTGAAGTTGTTGAGATCATTCCAGGAATGCAAGAGTGACTTAACATTAGAAAGTCAGTGTAATTTGTCATACTAATAGTGTATTTGCAAAGTCATAAAACAGAAGAAGTGTCTTTATTTTTTTTAATGTTTATTTATTTTTGAAGGGGAGAGAGAGAGAGCGCGCGCACGAGAGAGAGCATGAGTTGGGGAGGGGCAGAGAGAGAGGGAGACACAGAACATGAAGCAGACTCCAAGCTCTGACACAGGCTCCGGAGTCTGAGCTGTCAGCACAACTTGGGGCTCCAACTCATAAGCCAGGAGATCATGTCCTGAGCCAAAGTTGGACGCTTAACCAACTGAGCCACCCAGGCACCTCTGAAGAAGAATCTTTAAAAACAGATTACCAATATCCAAATATGATCACTACCCTATCCAGCAAAGTACCTCTAAATTTCAAGCAATGGTTTCAATTGTTAATCTGGAAAAATAGTATAATGAATACACTGCAGAATGACCAGAACATCTGGAAAAGTCTGTTTTAGCAGGACACTTTTGAATACTGAAAAATCTTCCAGGCATAAAGGAATTAATCTCTAAGTGGAATTTCAGTAGCTTTATTAAGACATGGGTAAAATGAGGGAAAAAAAATCATATGGTGGGAGTATCCAGAAAAATTTGTGCAATACATTCTTCCAGGCCATTTTTCATGATTTCTATTAATGACCAGCATATTTTTGATCTACTATTGTTGTTGTAGGAATACAAAACAGCTCTATGATTTAGAAAGAGGAAAAGATTTCTCCCTATTACACAGTATATTACAGACTTGGAAACAAATAAAATCCCTCCGACAACAGCAAGGGTTTACAAGCACCCCAGTAAAGTTACAGTTCCAAAGGTGAGTGGCTGCTCTGTTTGTTCTTAGAGGTCTCCTGAGGAACTGCCCATGAATAACTGGGCATTTACAGTAACTGGGAAAAAATCCATAAGCTAGACATCTACTTGATGTCATTAACAAAGGACTTATATTTTGAATATTTGAACAATTCTTATAACTTAATAAGCAACTCAGGTTTTAAAATAGGCAAAAGATTTGAACAGACACTTCACTAAAAAAGCATATGGATGGTAAATGGACACATGAAAAGATGCTCAGCATCATGTTATGTCAATAGAGAAATGTAAATTAAAACCACAGTGGGCTATACTATATACCATTTAGGATAGCTAAAATCCAAAACAAAACAAAATTAAAAAGACAGTAACAAATACTGATGAGGATACTGAGCAACAGGAACTCTCATTCATTAATTGCTGACGGGAACGCAATTAGTACAGCCATAGACCCATCAATCCTACTCCTAGGTGAAACGCGTAAGTCATAAAAACATGGTTATTAAAGGAGATGGTTACAATTAAAAACTGTACTTAAGCTGTGTGTGAACACAATGAAATAACTGGTTCCTTCCCTACAACCCATTGTCTTTATTCAAAACTGTAAGATATTAGTGTAACTTCAGCCTAATAAGGAAGTTGTTTACTTTGTTGGGGTTTTTTCCTGCTGCAGTGGTTTTTAATGAAAGTGCTTCTGACAGTTTCTTTTCTTTTTTAAAAAATTTTTTAATGTTTATTTTTGAGAGAGAAAAACAGAGTGCAAGAGGGGGAGGGGCAGAGAGAGAGGGAGACATAGAATCTAAAGCAGGATCTGAGCTGTCAGCACAGAACCTGACGTGGGGCTCAAACTCATAAACCACAAGATTGTGACCTGAGCCAAAGTCGGATGCTTACCCAACTGAGCCACTCAGGCGCCCCAGCCTCTGATAGTTTCTAAACCTAACACAGCATGAAACTTTTTCATAGAGTCCTGAATTAACTTAAACTTGCTAACTTGCCTCCACTCCTTTAAACCAGTCTGATAGACACATGCATTATGAACCCTTGCGCAGAAAAGGAGAGCACAGGTGCCATAAACTTGTTCAGAACAGCAGCTCTAGACCAATACTGCCTGCTCACCACTTACTTTTACTCTTACTACTAATGTTTGTGGGATGTAAAACTATTTGTTGTAAGAGATTGGTTGTGTGTGTGTGTATGTGTGTTAAGAACACCTCTAACACATCCCATAACACACAGTCCCATTATTTCTGCTTCAAATAAATATATTTATTATTAATTAGGATAAAAATGAAGAAATGTGATGAGCAAAACCAAGAAGAACTGTTAGAAATGTCTGATACTCAGAAGAAAACTGAAGGAAAGGCATTTAAGAATGGGGAAAAACAGGAGGTATTTATATTGCAAAATAAAATTCAGCTCCTCTTCAGTGGTTACAATATTTAATTGTTTGGTAGAATAGAAAATCTTGGTATTTGTAACAACAAAATGACAAATATAAGAAATAAAAATTTAATTTCAAGAATACTTGTTTTAAGCAGTGAACTTACATTGTAAATTATATATTTATATTTTGGTTTCTAGAGCCTCTCATATTTAGCTTCAGAACTTGAAGAAACAGATATTGAAAGAATAAGACCAATTACCTTGAAGCCACACCTTTCTTTCACTACAGAATTAACAAACTTATCCAAGTGTTCATTGTAAGCATTTTAAAGGATCATTTCTTCATTATATATTGTCTATTGTATTGTTTTAATAATAGTGTTAGATTTCTTGAGTGAGTACCAGATGCCAGACATGTTACTAAGGTTTTAAATACATTTGCACACTTAATTGCAACCATATCTCTGTGGTATTATCCCCATTGAAGAGATGGGGGAATTTATGCTTATGGAAGGGTAAGTTACCCTTCTAATTCATCACTGAGAACATAAACCAGTTTGGTGACTGGTTTTTGTTTTGCTATGGTATTAATTTTTGTTCAGGTATATAGATAGCCAATGTAAAAAATAAAATTATGTGGTCGCCCTTGCTTATTAAGGGAACCTCTTGCTTTCATAAGTATTCTGTATCTGGAGGGAAATTTTTGGCTTTACACAAACTTCTTTCCTTTCCAGTTGTGGCTTTTTTCTTGAGCTGTGTTTTCTCCCTATTCCTAGGACATTCATGCAAAAACAGATCTAATACAGATTCCCATTTCTCCCATCTCTGAGCCTAGGGACCTCATCTCCTTTAAAGGATATGGCATCTTAGAACATTTAACTAGGTCCATCTTTTCATCTTCTCTGCCCCATGAGACACTTTGTGCCAACTCATCTTTGAGTATTGTGTGGATGTGTATCATTTAATACAGCATTGGAGGGTAGTAAATGCCCAATAAATATTTATATTTATGAAATGAATGGATGTATGGTTACATTTAAAATGAACATAAAGAGTAGCAGACACAGAGGCACAATTACTGCTACCCTCTTTCTGACTAGCAATGCAGCAGTGAAGCAATGCTTTATTTGCTCTATATCTACTTCCAAACAGTGCCTGAGATAACTATTATGTAAGACATGCATACAAAAGGACCATCTAAATGAGGATAGGAGAACAAGAGCCATAAAATGGAAGTTAGAAGTGAAGAGTGGAAAGAGAAGGAGGAAGATATGTGTGCTGGAAAGCCTCAGCTAAAACTTAGTGGAAATCAAGCCAAAATGAAATGGGATGTGTTCTGTCTTTTCAAAGCCAATGCTATTATGGGGCATTGCTGTCATTTTTCCCTTAAAATGTCCAGTTGAATAAAGATTGATTCTCTAGAAAAGAATATACTGCTGTCAAGGATAGAGATTAAAGGAATACAAGGATTAAAGAAGAATTACAAAGAGTTTATAGGTGACAAAAAAAGGCAAGATTTCCCAAAGATAAATATAATCCTGAATTAATTATTTTCATAATCAATTCATAAGTTCATTGTTAAAACTACTTTCAGAGGCCAATGTAAAGGGCAAATTTACCTAACATATTGCTCTAAAAGTAATTGGGAAGATGGTTAGAAGAGGCCAACAGGGAGATAAGAAAAATAAGTGATCTTTTGTCTCCTGACCCTCTGAAAAGGTTACAGAGAACATGGGCAGATATGGAGGTCAGGGGATGCCGGGCCCCTAGGACAATTAAGGTAGAGAACAGAAGGGAGTGTTATGTTTCAACCTAGAGCTTGTTTTGCAACCAGCCGTCTCCCTTGTGAAAAAGAGAAGTCCTAAACATCATTAGGTCAGTTGACTTGCAGCCGAGAAGATAATTCAATCAGTGTTGGTTGAATGAACAAATGAATGAGTGACTGGAATTCTCTCTTTAGGAGTTTCATATCACTTAAGGGATCAGTTTGATTCCCAGCAATTGTTTCATAGAAGCCCCAGGGAGTATGGCTTGCCTCTCTGATCTTTGGGGTTAGAGAACATCCTAGAGAAAAAAAGAGCATACAGCCTAAAGCCTAAAGGAGTTTATAAAGACCTTTAAGAGGACACAGCAAGTCTGTTGATGTAGAGCCACCTCATTGAGGTTATTGAAAACATGGCATATTTCTTTTGAAGGTGTGTATGTCTTTCTTCTAGAAGTTAGAAAATAGTTTTGACTTTTTAATTCAAGCTCCTCCCCCCATTCCTAAGTCCCTCAGTTTTCTCCTCTTAGAAGACATCTTCCAAAGGGGAAGTGCCATAATCTCTTTAAATTACAATTTAGTAAAATAAATAATTGAGTGATTTATAATACCTTGATTTTAGTTCTTTCTCTATTTTTAAGTAAATACCTTTTTTAAAAAACTATTTGAGTAGGAGAGGCTATTATCCACACATATGCAAGCATTATTGGTCTCAAAGATAGCATTAAATGGTCTCTAAAAATGTCATACTTTAACATGCTTAGATACATTTTGAAAAGAACAATATTTTATACCCATCTTACTTTTCAAGAACCCTTTAAATATGTATTTAATTTTTAGGCATGAACAAAAAAGGAGAACCAAAATTCAGAAGCTTAAATATTTTATTAAAATATTATACAACGATAAACAGGTTTCCTGCACTTCTGTATCTCCCTTACAGTTTGATTTTAAAGTCATGTTTCAGCAAATTTTCAATATTCAGTTAATATATTGGCCAGAAACAATTTGCTTGGAGGTATGTCATTGTCATTTACTTCTGTATCTTATTTTAAGCCATACATACTTTTAATTTTCTGGTTACCCACTGTTATATGTGACAAGTAATTTCTGTTTAGAGATCACCAATCTATATGGGTAGGCAAGTCATTTATAAATAGTATATTTGTAATCCAGCAATAGTCTTTTATGCTACAAGTACAAATTATTTGATTTGTGGTTGTTCTAAATATTTCCATTCTCTCTTGCTGAAATTCCTACCAACCCTGGATGTGCAGCATTACTATTCATTTGCTACTGAGGTGGAAAAGGATTATTTAAACTAAAATGAGTAGCATAGCTATTGTATGTGCTGTTTGATTTCTCCAAATAGTCCCAGCCCTGACTTGGTGATTTCAGTCTCTTGCTGAATTTGTATGTATGTATATATGTATGTTATTTATTTATTTGTTTGTTTATTTATGTTTTGGATCCCTTTAAGAAACTGATGAAAGAACATACATACAGCAGACTCCTAATCACTGTCCAAAGACCCCACTATTAGAAACCCTTCATTAAAACAAGAATAAAATAGGACAATGGAGAAAAATTAAAGACAGTAAAGGAATCTAGATAAGAAGTCTTGGCTAATATAGGGGTTAAACTTACAACTAGACTTGAAAAGAAAGTTAGGAGGGAATGAAGATTTGTGTATGTGAGCATGGGGTGAGGTTTGAGGAGTGGGGAGAGAATTATAATTAGACATCTAAATCAGAGGTATGTTTACAGTACCCAAAATATTTTTTTCTCAGTCAAGCCAGAGGTGGCAGTGGCAGGAGACTGGCAGAAGTGGAGTTAAGAACTTCAAGATGGACCTCCTTCTCCAAAAAAGTCTGGGTGTATGTATGAGATAGCTCAAAAGAGGGCAAATGCTTTGAGATTGCCCATTGGAGTGAAGCCTGTGGTCCTCACTGAGTCACCAGGCAATAGGGATCCCTTGAAAAGTTTCAGGCAGTGATTTTGCCTGAAAGTGAGGCTGTCATCATTAACGCTGCTGATCAACTCTTCTGAGTCTTTGAGGGGACCCAGAGTTTCAGTTTCAAGGGATACCTCAAGAAACAAGCCAAAGTACACATGGTGGAGAGTCCCAAATACCACTACAAGTAGGGAAATAATTTAACCAAAGTCTCAACAAGAGAGACCAAGAGATACCATTCAAAGAACCTTCATGAATGGATAGGCCCTGGACAGTCAATGAGCCTTCTTTAATATAGCAGTACTTTCAGGTGCAGAGTGCATAACAAGCTTTCAAAACTAACAAGAGATAGAGAAAGCTAGCCAGAATGACAAAACGGAAGAACTCTCCTCTAAAGAAATTCCAGGAAGAAATGACAGCTAAAGAACTGATCAAAACAGATATAAGCAACATAGCTTAACAAGAATTTAGAACAATAGTCATAAAACTAATCGCTGGGCTTGAACAAGACATGGAAGACATTAGAGAAGCTATTGCTACAAAGACTATGGAGCTTAAAAATGGTTGTGATGAATTAAAAAATGCTATAAATGAGGTGCATAATAAAATGGAGGCATCCAATGCACAGAATGAAGAGGCAGATAGGAGAATGGGTGAATTAGAAGACACAATTATAGGAAAAGAGGAAGCCGAGAAAAAGAGAGAGAAACTGATCCAGGAGCACGAAAGGAGAGTTCAAGAACTGAGTGATACAATCAAATGAAACAATATCTGTATCATAGGAATTCCAGAAGAGGAAGAGAGAGGGAAAGGTGCTGAAGGAGTCCTTGAACAAATTATAGCTGAGAACTTCCCCAGTCTGGGGAAGGAAACAGACATGAAATCCAAGAGGCACAGAGAACTCCCCTCAAACATAACTTGAATCAATCTTCTGCACAACATATCATAGTGAAACTGGCAAAATATAAGGACAAAGAGAATTCTGAAAGCAGCTAGGGAGAAAAGAGCCCTAACATACAAAGGGAAACCTATCAGAGTAGTTACAGACCTATCTACTGAAACTTGACAGGCCAGAAAGGAATGGCAGGAAATCTTCAATGTGATGAACAGAAAAAAATATGCAGCCAAGAATCCCCTATCCAGCAAGCCTGTCATTCAGAATAGAAGGAGAGATAAAAGTCTTCCCAAATAAACAAAAATTGAAAGAATTCATCACCACTAAACCATCCCTACAAGAAATCCTAAGGGGGACTCTATGAGGGAAATGTTGCAAGGAACACAAGGTACCAGACACACCACAAGCATGAATCCTACAAAGAACACAATGACTCTAAACCCATATTTTTCAATAATAACACCTAATGTAAATGGACTAATTACTCCAATCAAAAGACAGGGTAGCAGAATGGATAAAAAAATAAAATCCATCTATTTGCTGTCTACAAGAGACTCATTTTAGACCTGAGGACACCTTCAGATTGAAAGTAAGGGGATGGAGAAATATATATCGTGCTACTGGAAGTCAAAAGAAAGCTGGAGTAGCCATGCTTATATCAGACAAACTGGACTTTAAACTAAAGGTAGTAACAAGGGATGAAGAAAGGCATTATATAATAATTACAATGTCTATCCATCAGGAAGAGCTAACAATTATAAATGTCTATGCACCGAATATGGAAGCACCCAAATACATAAAACAATGAATCAGAGGGGCGCCTGAGTGGCTTAGTCGGTTAAGCGTCTGACTTTCGCTTAGGTCATGATCTCGTGGTTCGTGGGTTTGAGCCCCGCGTCGGGCTCTGTGCTGACTGCCAGCTCAGAGCCTGGAGCCTCTTTCAGTCTGTGACTCCCTCTCTCTCTGACCCTCCCCTGCTCACGCTGTCTCTCTCTCTCCTAGAAATAAATAAAAAAAAACATAAAAAATAAATAAAAAATAAAAAAAATCAATGAATCACAAACAGAAACAATCTTATGGATAATAATGTACTAATAGCAGGGGGACTTTAATACTCCACTTACAGCAATGGATAGATCAACTAGACAGAAAATCACTAAAGAAATAACGGACTTCAATAACACATTGGACCAGATGGATTTGACAGATATATTTAGAACTCTACATCCTGAGGCCATGGAATTCACTTTCTTCTCAAGTGTGTATGGCACATTTCCAAGATAGGTCACATACTGGAACATAAAGCAGCCCTCCGAATAAATATAAAAGAATTTAGATAATACCATGCACACTTTCAGATCACAATGCTATGAAACTTGAAATGAACCACAGAAAGAAGTCTGGAAAACTTCCAAAAACATGGAGATTAAAGAACACCCTACTAAAGAATGAATGGGCCAATCAGGCAATTAGAGAAGGAATTAAAAATTATATGGAAACAAATGAAAATGAAAATACAACAATTCAAGTTCTATGGGATGTGGCAAAGGCAGTCCTAAGAGGAAAGTACATTGGACTCCAGGCCTACTTCAAGAAATTAGAAAAACTGGAAGCACAAAATCTAACAGTGCACCTAAAGGAACTAGAAGGAGAGCAAAAATGAATGTGAGACAGGTAACCATCAAAACTACCCTAAAGGACAAAACAGGAAACAACCTCCTTGACCTCAACCGCAGCAATTTCTTACTTGACACATTCCCAAATGCAAGGGAATCAAGAGCAAAAATGAACTATTGGGACCTCATCAAGATTAAAAGCTTCTGCACAGCAAGGGAAACAATAAACTAATAGGCAACTGGCAGAATGGGAAAAGATGGTTGCAAATGACATATCAGATAAAGGGTTAGTATCCAAAATCTATAAGGAGCTCACCAAACTCCACACCTGAAAAACACTCCAGTGAAGAAATGAGCAGAAGACATGAACAGACACTTCTCCAAAGAGGATATTCAGATGGCCAACAGACACATGAAACGATGCTTAGCGTCCCTCATCATCAGGGAAATGCAGATCAAAACCACACTGAGATACCACCTCACGCCAATCAGAGTGGCTAAAACGAACAAATCAGGAGACTCTAGATGCTGGCAAGGATGTGGAGAAATGGACACCCTCCTATACTGTTGGTAGGAATGTAAACTGGTACAGCCCCTCTAGAAAACATTGTGAAGGTTCCTCAAAAATTTAACAATAGAACTCCCCTATGACCCAGCAATAGCACTGCTAGGAATTTACCTGAGGGATACAGAAGTGCTGATACATAGGAACACATGTACCCCAATGTTCATAGCAGCACTTTCAACAATAGCCAAATCATGGAAAGAACCTAAGTGTCCATCAACGGACGAATAGATCAAGAAGATGTGGTTTATCTATACGATGGAATACTACATGGAAATGAGAAAGAATGAAATCTGGCCATTTGTAGCAACGTGGATGGAACTTGAGGGTGTTATGCTGAGTGAAATAAGTCAGCCAGCGAAAGACAGATACCATATATTTTCACGTATAGGTGGACTAGAAGGAACTTAATGGAGGACCATGGGGGAGGAGAAGAGGGAAGTAGTTGGGGAGGGGGAGGGAGGAAAACCATGAGAGACTCGAATACTGAGAACAAGCTGAGGGCTAATGGGGGTGGCAGAGAAGGGAAGAGGGGTGATGGGCATAGAGGAGGGCACTTGTTGGGAGGGCACTGGGTGTTATATGGAAACCAACTTGACAATAAACTATGAAAGAAAAAAATTAAAATTTAAAAATAAAAAAAATTAAAAAAATTTTTCTATCCCTGATCAGAGGCCACATTCATTTTATCTATACTATCAAGTTTCTGTCATCTTAAAATGCACCTCTGTTGAAATTCCAGTTTTAAAAATATGCTGACTAAGATATATACTGACTATACTTTTGTACCTAAAATAAATTGTGATACAATAATCTAACCACTTGAAGTTTAAAACTTGCCCCTGCCCCTAGTAGAAAAACGGGTATTTTAAATCCTTCATCATCCTATCACTTAGAACATGATCTTAACAAACTAAGAGGCAGGGAAGGAAGGGAATCTAGCTAGGGTTAAAGTACACCATGAGCTACTGCAAAAATTGCAGAACAAATCTATAAGCCATAACCTAACAGATGCTAACCTACATTTTGAATTTACTCCTTGCCATTCCTCTTTATTCATTTCTCACCTTAGTCAAACTGAACTGCTTGGTTTTTTCCCCATATATCCTTGCCATCTCCTACCTCTGAGCTTCTGAACATTCTAGTTCTTCTACTTACAAGGCCTGTTTTCATTCTTGACACTCCATCCTAGCCACACAGTGGTCTTGAGAGCTGGCATCAGGGGACAAGCCTCTCCCAAGAGACTTCACAGACTTGGAACTCTCTGCCTTCACAGTTACTACCCAGGGGCTGGCCTCCAGCCCTGCAGTCTCAGAAACTGGATTTGACAGTCCTGTGAGAATGCTTCTATATCCCCTAAACAAATCACAAGGTGTAAAATCAAAATGCCAATTTAACATTTGAATATAGTTATCAGTGCATCGCCTCTCTTCAAGTAGCCATTTTATTGATTTGCAATAAGAAATTTCTCTCATAGACCTTAATCCTGTAAGTCCATTAACTTACAACCCCTATAAACTTTTCTGCATTAGGGATGCCTTTGTCAAGGAACTAGTGTGCTGACTTATATTTACTCTTACAGGGACAATGTTAAGATGACCAGAAAAAATATTTGCCTCTTTGACTCTCCTTTTTCTCTCCTTTTTTGGTTAATCACCCATCCTTTTGATTGAAACTATCCTATCTTTCAGGAAGCATTTTCTCCCTCCTTGTTTTCCTTCTTCTTTGAGCACATATCACTGTTTCCCCAAACACTGACAACACAGTACAAGTTAAAATAAGATTTTTCTTTAAAAAAAAAAAATACATTAGTTTTGTAGTTATAGCAGTGATGGGATTGTAGTATAGAACAGTACACAGAATCAGAAGACCTGGGTTTAGTACCCAGTGGACACCTATGTAACTGTCTACTCAGCACCTCCCTTACTTCTTCTTCTGGGACTCTTTCTCCCTCCAGTACCTCTTATAGCTTTTTAAATTTGTCCTTGGACTCCAGGAGCCAATGGTTCTCCCCTTTTGCTGAGCAATTCAACCTGGGTTTCTATCATTTATTTAAAAAAACAAAAACAAAAAAAACCCTAATGTTTCATGTAGAGACTCAGTTTCTTCATTTATAAAATTGGAAGAGTAATGCCTATTTCCGATCATTTTTATCAGGTTTAAATTAGATAACTTTAAACGTGCTATCCAAAAGTAAGTTATTTGGATATTATATTATATGTACCTTTATGCTCAGAACTATATTTGTAATCCTTTTATTCAGTTCATTTTCCTTGAAACCAGTAAAAGACATTATGTTTTTAAGGCCATATAAATATTTCCTTTTCTTATAATCATGTGGATGAAATGCTATACAGAAATACCTATATTATATTCTAGCATTTTTAAAAAAGAATTAAAAACGTGTTAGTGAAGGTTCTATTTATTTATTTTATTTATTGCATTTTGTACTTCCAGTGAGCTATCAACCATTTCCTTTATATTTAGGTTTATGAAGTAAGTCAAAAGACAAGCTTACTGGCAAAACTGTATTTACCATTACCTAACAACACAGAGCTGAAAAGCAAAACTGTTTTGGAATATGTAGAGTTTAGCTCTGATGAGCTGGTCACACCTGCGTATGGAGAAGTAGGAAGCAGTAAGTTTATTTAAAACGTCCCCTCCCCCACCTTTATTCTCTTCATGAATTCCATATCCCACATGACCCTGGGTCATTTATGTGAGTAAAGAATGCCTAGACTTAGGGCAAAATATTTAGGGATCCCTAGGCACTCGGCAAAAGTTTTGAGAGTATTGTTAAGCTCTCTGGAGATTGAGAAGGAAAATGGGTAGGGGGAGAAGACTCAGGAATGTAGGGAAAAAGGACACAGTAGTAGCTGGTTTGGCACTTGATCTGCTGCCAGTGTCCTTTCTTGCTAGAAGCCACTTCCAGAAAGAATGGTTAAGAAAACTTTTAGTTGTAAGGAGGTAGTAGAAATGTTCATGCCTAGGTTTTCCTTTCTCTTTTGTCATCTGAAGTGGTCTACCTTGAGGTACCTTAGATGGGAAATGAGGGAGAGCTCTAAGATCAGAGCCTGGGGTCACCAAGAACAGCCTGAGGTTCCACAGGTAAAAGTCAGGGGGGAAAATCTACAATGTGTTAAACTCTATGCTTTATTTGAATGGCATGTTTTTAATGCTTTTTATAAACAGATGTGCCTTTTCTTCTTGAGGGAAATGGAACTGAAGAACTTTGTCTTTTGACATCAGGAAAACTAAGCTACTGTCTATCATGGGCTTTAGATGAAAATGGTGTTCCTCTGACACCCATGTCACAGTCCTTAAGATCTGCTTACTGCAGGTAATCAACTGGTCTGAAATAATGCCAGTTTTCATCAGAGCATCGCACAGAATCTATATCTGTAAAAGGGAAAACTCTAGGAATGATAAGAGCAGGTTGGTTTATTTGGACTGTTTATTTTTATTTGGATTTATATGTAAGCAAATGTATCTCTTTAATGCTTAAGTTTATAGCTACATGGATGATGACAGAAATGGTTCCATAGCTCTTGTAGGCAGGGACCAAGTACTCTCAAGGATTTTATTTGTGGAGCCTTTATACCTCCCAAACATTTTGGATTATGAAAGAATCATTTATGCATTACCAGTTTGCTAGAAGAAAAATCCTAGAAATCTTATTCATGTCCCAGGACTTCTTTATTTTTTTTAAACTTATTTATTTTGAGAGAGAGTGAGAGAGTCAGAAAGAGCAAGCATGAGAGGGGCAGAGAGAGAGGGAGAGAGAGAATCCCAAGCAGGCTCCATGCTGTCAGCACAGAGCCTGATGCAGGGCTTGATCCCACGAACTGTGAAATCATGACCTGAGCAGAAATCAAGAGCTGGATGCTTAACTGACTGAGTTACCCAGGTGCCCCTGTGTCACAGGGACTTCCTGGAGAAATTGGGATTAATTTCTAGATTATACCACAAATAGGATTACTAGAATTAAGTACAATAAAATTCTGTGAAAATGATAATACTGGTTTATATATTTACTACATTTAAATAAAACAATAAATGTAAGGGGCCAGTCGTTTCCATTATTTAAAAATTAATGAATGATGATAACAAAAAGATGGCCTTTCCCCTCCCTCCCCATCAAAACACATATTTTTTATTTTTTATTATTGTTGTTAATAGTATGGAAATGTTTTTAAGTTTATTTATTTATTTTGAGAGGGAGAGAGAGAGAGAAAGCATGCACAAGCAAGGGAGAGGCAGAGAGACAGGGAGAAAGAAAGAATCCCAAGCAGGCTTCGTGTTGTCAGTGCAGAGCCTGATGTGGGGCTCAGATTCACAAACTGTGAGATCAAGACCTGAGCTGAAATCAAGAGTTGGTCGCTCAACCAGCTGAGCCACCCAGGGGCCCCTAAACACATATTTTTTAAAAACATAGTTATATTCAACTCTATGACATTATGGAAAAGTCAGAACTGTGGAGACAATAATGCCAGGCATTAGGAGGAGACAGGGATGAATAGGCAGGACACACAGGACTTTTAAGGCAGTGAAACTACTGTCTATGTTACTGTCATTGTAGATACATGTCATTATATATTTGTCAAAACCTATGGAGTGGAATGTATAACACCAAGAGTAAACCATAATGTAAACTGCGGACTTGGAGTGGTAATGATGTGTGAACCATTAATTGTAACAAATGCAAGTCTTTTATTGTGATGAATGTAATAAATTGTAAGTCTGGTACAGGATGTTGATGGTAGAGGAAGTGGCATGTTTTGGGGGAGGTGGTAGGGGGAATAGGGAAACTGTGCACTTTCTCATCAGTCTTACTCTGAACCTAAAACTCTAAAGAGTCTATTTTTAAAATAAAATAATTTTTAAAATTTAAAACATTGCTATTAATAACTTGTATTAAGCAGAAAATCAACTGAAATTAGAGACTATTTTTAAAATAACAATGAGATCACTATGTATAAAAACCAGTGGCATATGGCCAGAGTCACAGTAAGGGTTCAAAAATACTTTCCTTGGCAGTAGTTTTAGAGAAAAATAAAAAAGTGTCAGTAGCACTCAGCAATTGACATTGAGGAAAGTGAGGTCATGGGTGTAGATTACTTACCAAGAAGTTTTAAGAAGAGGCTGAAAATAAGAGAGACAATAGAGTCAAAGTATAGGTTTCTTGAAAATTGGGGCAATTTTTATCTTCTTAGAACAAGTGATGAAGTCTACTAGAAAGAGAATGCGATCCTTCACAGTCCAGAAAATATTGAGCCAGAACACGAGTGAATAGCTATGGCTTTAGAAAAGAGAAAATATCTCTTCTAATCAGAGGAGACAGAAATAACTAAGTAGACAGAAATGTGATTTTAACGATGTCCTTGTTTTGCTGACTAAACAAAGTCATCTTCTTAGAGACCTGAATAAGGGCATTTTAGACAAAAATGGACAATTAATAAAGGTAATTCATTATGGAGCTGGTGAGTAAATTTTTAATACTCTGAACCATTGTTTCCTTGTATTTCTTAGTTTTTCCCTAGCATAATCCCCACTGCAGCTGTTTCCAGTTTTGCCTCATTCCAGTTTTGCTTTTTCCTTGGACTCAAATGTTTGTTCTCCTTACTCTAAAGCTAACTTTTATACAGGTAATTTGGAACTTTGTCTCCTTTAGTATCCTGCTGACATCTTTAGATCCTTTTCTCTTATATTATCTTTAACTCTTCCATTTCCCTAAACTGTTAGTCTTTGGTATCCAAGAAGCCTTCTTTGTTTAAAAAAAAAGCCAGGGGCGCCTGGGTGGCTCAGTCAGTTAAGTGTCCAACTTCGGCTCAGGTCATGATCTCGTGGTTCGTGGGTTTGAGCCCAGCATCAGATTCTGTGCTGACAGCTCAGAGCCTGAGGCTGTTTCAGATTCTGTTTCCTTCTCTCTCTGCCCCTCCCCCACTCATGCTCTGTCTCTCTGTCTCAAAAATAAATAAATAAATAAATAACAAAAAAACCCTTAACCCTGAAGACCTGTCTTGTCCATTTTTCCTGTCCAAGTCCTCATTTTTATGGTCTACTCATCTTTGTACATTGCCTCCACTTTTAAATCACACATTCCCTTCTCTAACTTAACCCATTTATTCCTGAATGCTACCCGTGAACTTCTGGCCATATTCACTGCTCTGTCCTCATCATTTAGCTTCTTGAAGATTTTTCTCTGATGGCTTCTGTGATGCTGCAGTTAGCAGTTCCATTTACTTGGGAATTCAAGTTTACAAAAGATTGAAAGCAATTCTGTGAAAGATCAGGACAGAAGACAAATTTCAACAGGTATTGAAGTGCAAGAGAAGGTTTCAAAGTCCAGACTGCTCTCTAAAGTAGTTAACTTGAAGTAAAACTTTACAATTGGGGCCTCTGTGACTGGTTCCAGAACTCTCTTCTACAGTTGTGGGAGCTCAAGGGCTGGTGCTGAGAAGGGGTTCCAGAAACCTGGGATGGGTGCTCCAAAAGGCAAGGCTGGTTCATGAGAGTCAGAGCGTGGAACCAAAGGAGATCCAAAAGAATGTCTTCATTTATTCACTGATTTACTCATGTATTCATTCATTCATTCATCCATGAGCTGGAGATGAAGCAATGAACCAAAAGAAAATCTTGGGATGTTTTAATACCACATTGAGCACACCTCTCTAATCTCAGTGAATGTTGTCTAGAGTTTTCATTTAACTCATTTTTAAATTACAAAACAGTTTTTCTTATGCTTTTGACATGATTGACTTTTGTGTTTGCACCTGTTTATCTTTCACACTTTCATTCTACATTTACTTTTCTTGCTGAAATTTTGCTCCTTTAATAACTCTTACAGTCAGTTTCTGTGGCTAGCAAATTTGTTTAGTTTTTGTATATCTTTATTTTGTCCTCATACTTTTTTTTAAGAGAGAGTAGGAGATGGACAGAGGAAGGGAAAAGCTTAAGCAGTCTCCCCATTCAGCGTAGAGCCCAATGCAGGGCTCAGTCTCACAACCGTGAGATCATGACCTGAGCCAAAATCAAGAGCCTGACACTTAGCCAACTGAGTCACCCCGGTGCCCCTTTGTCTTCATTCTTGGATAATAGTTTGGGTATAAATTCTTAGGTTGATTTTTGATTTTATTTTCCCTTGACACTTTGAAGCTAGCATTGCATAATTTTCTGGGATTTATTATTCCTGTTTAAAAATCTGCCATGTTGGTGTTTTGTAGACAGTCTGTCTTTTCTCCCTAATAATTTACCTTTTTTTTTTTTTACTTAATTAATAGAGACAGCCAGAGGTTGAGGGGATTGAGGGATGGGGAGTTGTTGTTTAACAGAGTTTCTGTTTGGAATGACAAAAATTCTAAAACAAGGTAGTATGGTTGTCCAACACTGTGAATAAACTTAATGCCACCAAATTGTGTTGCTTCCTTGGCATTTGGTTGTGGAGAAGGAAATACAGGTGACAGGGATTTTGCCATAGCCCACAGCTGAACACCTATGGGGTAGCTGGAAGAATCACTGTAGAAAAAGTAGGAGATGTTCTTATGTTTTTATTACTGTCCATGAGGCAGAAATCATGGGACAGCATTGAAATACAATTACAACCTCTTTTTTTTTTTTTTTTTTTTTGGCTATAATCGGGTAAGTTTCTCTCCCTAATTTATAACATGTAAGCTTTGCCTCAGGCTTTGTGACCTAGGCTAGAGCCATTCCTATGAGAAGGAAAATTTCTTATATGATATTGTCAGCAGTGTTGGGCTCTAGAGATCTTTTGTGACAAAGATATCAAAACAGTTCAAATACAAATACAGAAATAGGAATTAAAGAAAGGAAAAATATTCATATATCACCTATTTGTAATTTTGCTTACATCCTCTCAAACAAGGCATTGGCTTTGTTAGCAGTAGCTTCTAAAGATTCATCATAGAAATATGAATAGAAGCTGATGGAAACTAGACAGTATAAAATAGTGTCCATGTTTGGATTAAGACATTATTTAATCTGAGTTAGAACTCTATTTCTGGACTCCCAGTTTATGGACTGGAACATTTCTTGAGTTATTTATGGAATGGATCTTAGAGATTTTCTAGTCCAAACCCCTCTAATTACACATGATGAGGCAAATTATCTATGAAGAGAGAGATTAAATAACGGATAATTGATGGCTCTAAAGAAATCTGTACTGTTTAGGATTGAATTTCTTTTGCACTTAGCCTGCAGCTGAGACCACCAAGGATGAATTATGAGTCTAGACTCTTAGAGCTCTCCAACTTCTCAAGAAGGCCTCATATGACCAAAGATACTCTTCTGGCAGAATACTTCCCAGTAGTACTCTATATTATGTTTCAACTGTAAAGATAAGGCCTAAAGATTCTTTTTATATTATGTACTTTACTAATTTTGCTAAAGCTAACATCTTGATTAAATTTCAATATTGTGCATCCTACGGAAAGAAAATATTTAACACGTTACTATCCCCAGGATTTACAAAGTACATTCAGTAAGCACTATTCACTTCAGCATCTACTATGTTTTAGCTACTACACAGGGTGGAGATGGCAAAGATGGATATTGATAGCCGTTATTGTTAAGAAGCTTATTGTCTCTTAAGGGAAGTGGTAAACATTTATCAAAAAGCTATGATACAAGTTAGAATGTGAGAAGAACCAGGAGAGATATCACATCTAAATCTTCTGTTCTATCCCTAAATGCAGGGGAAGGATAGGTTTCATCTTTAACTACCCGGAATGGGTAGATTTTACCCTGTATAACAGACGCACAACCTGCATATCCTATGCAAATTCACAAAATACTTTTCTCTATGTTAGTGTGTTAAGGAATGTAGATGCAAGAGGCGTTCCTGGAATTCCATGGCTCATTAATGCACAGAAGCTTTTTGAATGGGCAAATGAAGTAAAAATTGATCCAAATAATCCAGAATATTCTGATTTAATGGAATTTATCCTGGTAAGTTACAACAAACATCAATACTGTAAATATAGTCTATTTCCTAAGCTCTACTCCCTTATATTACAAATTTGCTATATTTTTCTAGGTACCAGGAAGCAGGTAAAGATAAATCTGAGGACAGATACAATTTTCAGCCAGGTTACAGTACTGTAAAGGCAATTGGAAATTCAGCAACTGAAATAATTGCTAGTTTATGCCTGATGGTTGGTACTCTGACCTTACTTCGCAGCCTGTGGTACATCCTACAGGCCAACCTTCAGGCTAACATCTCTTATGTAACTACTGAGGACCAGTAGTATTATAGATGCTAGGGATATAAAGATGATTTACAGACACATTTGTTTCCTCAGATTCCAATATCTGTTCACTTCTACTCTTTCTTAAATCCAACTGAACTGCTCTGTGTGCCTCAAACATGCATTCTTCATACCTTTATGGAGGTCATTCCCTCTACCTAGAAGGGCACCCATGGTGGGTATCTCACCTACCATGCAAGTCTGATAAAGGTTTCCCTGATAACCTCAGTTAAATATGGGCCCTTTGCTCTTTTCCTTCCTATTAACCTTTTTTTTCTTTTTATAACTTCTATGGTTCTGATATCATTCTGCCTTTTACTATAGTTATTCTGTGTTTTATTTTTCCAAGTAGAACTACAGTGAATAAATCTTTGCCTGCTAGCACTCTTCCTTACATGTACCATGTGCTCACATGTGCATTTATTGGATAAAACAATGCACTGATCATTGCAAGTAAACTTCCCTAGATCAGAGTTCCCCAACTCACAAGCTCAGTTGGTTACAGGTGTACAGAAATTTTGATCCTCTCTCAACATTTATGGCAACCGGATATAAATAGTCTCATCTTTTAACCCAGTGTATGATACAAATATTTTCATTTTTCACTTAAGTCATGACAAGGAAAAGGGTTGGGAGACCATATAAGCTGAATTTTGTTTTTTCTTTTTTTTTCAGATTCTATCTCTTGTATAGATTCATTGCTCCTTTTCCTACATATAAGGCAACTCTCACATCTCACAGTTGAAGGGGAAAAAACAGGATTATGAAATAATTCTTTAATTTAAAAAGTTAATGTTTTAAGTAAAGACTTTCTTATGTTTTATAGTACATGAAACATAAAGGACAGGATATTCCAAAGTATTTTCGTCTTGAACAGTTGCAAGATGAATTTAACTTTGTCTCTGAAGAGGAAATGAAAAAGAGTAAACGTTTCCAGCTATTACAACTTAGAAATGCAGGTCAATTAGACATTTTCCTTCTGCAACAAATACCCCTCTATGATAAAGAGATTCCAGATTTTCTCTTCCAGGTATGTGGTTTCTATTTAAATATGGCTTAGTGTATGATACATTAATATTTTTACTGCTTTAAATCTATCTTAATTTTTTCTTTTTTTAACTAATAGGTTTATTTTAAAAATAGGTTAAAATGGGCTTTTTAATTTAACTTTGGTTATTATCAATCAATAAGAAAAAAATGAATAAGCTCTTTGATTTTTTTTTTGTTCTAGACTGAAAGGAAATTGCAGTAGGCCACTTAATATTAAATATAGTAAAAGTTGTTTTAAAAAATAACGTAGGGGCACCTGCATGGCTCAATCAGTTAAGCATCTGACTTTGGCTCAGGTCAAAAATCTCACAGTTTGTGAGTTCGAGCCCCACATCTGACTCTGCTGACAGCTTAGAGCCTGGAGCCTGCTTCAGATTTTGTGTTTCCCTTTCTGCCCCTCCCCAATTTGTGCTGTCTTTCTACCTTTCTCTCAAAAACAGATAAACATTTTTTTAAAATAATGTAAAGAATTCTATATGTTTGTTTTTGTTGTTGCCACTCAGCCATCCTTTAGCTTTTGTACCCTAATTTAGAGGTTATACAAGCAAAACTATATAAGACTCATTATATTTAAAACTCAAATTGTAGGGAGAGGTTGGGAGATAAGAAGGCACCACCTACATACCCACTGGATGGTTATATTGAGTTTCAGATGTAATTATTTAGGGATGCAGAAACATACAGAATCAGAGCAGAACATAGGACAGGACACCTGCAACAAATTTTGATGCTTTTTTTTTCCTGGGCTTTGAAACCCTAATGGGGATTAAGCTTCTTATGACATGTCCACACAGAGTATGGTTTTGCCAACAAAACAGAATGAAACAAAAATAAAAATAATAATAATCAATCAAACAAACAAGAGTCCCCTGTACACAATAGGCAAAGTTTACAAACATTGGACTCATCTGGCTCTTGAACCCCAAGTCAAGGCCATATTATCCTTCAAGAAAAAAAATAGAGCCAGTACCCAAGTGTCCCTGAACAAATTCTCTGTCTCCAGCTTTTCAGTGTTCTGGAAAACCTGTTCCTTATAATCTGTCCTGTGACTATGGTTCAGTACCCTACTATCTGTGTGATTCTCAAATTGAATTAATATAAGGATCATGACCAGAAATCCACTTCCTCATATGCTCCTAGACAAATATTATACTCAGTAGATAGATATAAATTTTCCCATTAACCTGAACAACATAAGGATGGCCACTATTATCTTTACCAATAAGAGGCAATACATTAAGACAAAAAGAAGTAAGAAAGGAAAGAAAGAAATTAGAATTAGAAAAGACAAACTGCCTTTGTTTGCAGAAAATACATTTGTCTACATGGAAAACCAAGAGAATCTACAACAAACTACCACAACTAATAAATTCGTTGAAAATAACATCCATATTTAAAAATGAATAGCTAATTTTGTTATAGCAAAAAGAACATTGTGCCTCTACACTGGAGAAATCTAGTTGCCACCATCTCAACTCAATGATCCAACTTAATCTTACTGATTGTGGTACACAGAATAATGGCCCCCTAAAGATATCCACTTCCTAATCCCCAGAACCTGTGAATGTGTTCTGTTACATTGTTTAAAACAAGGAGATTGTCCTAGATTATCTGACTGAACCTAATCTAATTATATGAGCCTTTAAAAGTGGAGAAATTTTTCCAGCTTGGAGGAAAAACTGCAGCAGCAAAAGAAATCAGATTTGTCACGACAAGGATTCAACACGTGGTTCGCTGGCTCTGAGATATAGAGGCCCCCCTACCTGTAAAGACTGGAGACAGGTCACTGGAAGCTAAGAGTGGGCCCCAGCTGACAGCAGCAAGGGAATCAGACCTCAGTCCCATAGCTACAGGGTCCTGGATTCTGCCTACAGTGTCAGTGAGCTTGGAAACATATCCTTATGGAGCTTCCTAATAAGAACCTGGCCAGCCTACACCTTGATAACAGCCTCGTGAGACCTGGGGCAGAGAACTAGAACTTCACACCTACAAAACTGTGAGAGGATAAGTTTGTGTTGTTGGAAGCCACTTAATCTGTGATAATTTGTTACAGCAGCAATAGAAAACTGATATACCAAAAAAGGACAGCCAGATATTACTGCCTCTTACATGATACAGTATAAAATACACCACATTATAATGAAGTATCCTTGCCAAATATGTGTAACCTGATTCCAATCAGGATTTTAGATGAATTTGTTTACAAGAAATATGAAGACTAGAGAAACAAATTAAATGGCACCACAAGAAAAACAATCAAGTTTGCAGTGTGTCTGGCAAGTACAACTGTTTTAATCTCTTTACAAAGGCAGAGTATTATAGATTAAAAGAGACTAAAAGGACAACCAAAGGCAACATGATCCGTAATTAGATCCAGATTTTGAGGGGTAAAAATGGCAATTGGTGAAATTTGACTATGGGATGAATATTAAATAATACTGGGAAATTGTTAATTTTATGGTCTGAGATTATGGCATCATGGTTGTTAATCCTTAGTTTTTTGAAGATGCATACTGAAGAATTTATTTAGGAATGAGGTATCATGGTTTCTATAATTTGTTATTTTTGTTTTCACCAAAATAATAAAAGAGATTAAGCAGATGTGGCAAAGTACACAATTGACCCTTTAACAACTTGGGGGTTAGGAGCATTGAACCCTGAGCAGTTCAAAGTCCATGTATAACTTTTGACTCCCCTCAAACTGAACTAATAGCTTTTTGTGGACTAGATGCCTTACCAATAACATAAAGCATTGATTAACACATATTTTGTATGTTATATTATTATATATTGTATTCTTACCATAAAGTAAGCTAGAGGGGAAAGAAAATGTTATTAGGAAAATTGTAAGGAAGAAAAAATATATTTTCACTAACATACTGCAAAAAAATCTACATCTAAGTTTACTTGCACAGTTCAAACCCATGTTGAACAGGCCCAGCTGTAATTACTTAATGAAGAAAATGGGCATATGGGGGCACCTGGGTGGCTCAGTCGGCTCAGCGGCTGACTTCGGCTCAGGTCATGATCTCACAGTCCATGGGTTCGAGGCCTGCATCGCTCAGAGCCTGGAACCTGTTTCAGATTCTGTGTGTCCCTCTCTCTCTGCCCCTCCCCACATCTCTGTCTCTGTGTCTCAAAATAAAATAAAGACATAAAATAAATTTTTTTAAAAGAAAATGAGTATATGGATTTTAACATTCTTGATAATTTTCTGTAGGTTTGAAAAATTTGAGGAAAAACTAAAGACAAAAATAGCATTCTATACATCAGTAAAAACCTACTAAAAATGTAACTGAAGGAAGATAACCCTTCAATGACAATAAAAACTCTAAGATACATAGGAATATATTTAACAAAAAAGATGTGCAAGAACTTAATGGAGAAAATTATAAAACATTTTGAATGATGAGAAAAAAAAATCTGAGTAAATGTTCACTGATAGAAGATTGTAAGATGCCTGCATTGTAGGAATGCCAGTCCTCCCCAAATTAACTTGTAAATGTAGTAATACAATCCCAAACCAGTGAAATAGAGCAGAGGGCCTCCAAACAGACTTATTATGCATGTGTGGAAACTTTATGTTTGGCAGAGATATGGTCACAAATGGTCTATCTGTTAAGTGGTTCTGGTCATAAAATAAAATCAAATTCAGACCTCAGAAAAGGAATAAATACCATGTGTAATGAAGATTACACATGAATCATGTTAACTATACTGGTATTAAAATTAAAAACTTCAGGGGCGCCTGGGTGGCTCAGTTGGTTGAGCCTCTGACTTCAGCTCAAGTCATGATCTCATGGTTCGTGGGTTCAAGCCCCATGTTGGGCTCTGTGCTGACACCCCAGATCAGGAGCCTGCTTCGGATTCTGTGTCTCCTTCTTTCTCTGACCCTCCCCTGCTCACACTCTGTCTCTCTCTCTCTCTCAAAAATAAAGAAAAATTAAAATAAATAAAATGAAATAAAAAATTTCATTAAAAAGGAAAATATGAAAAGCAAAACTTTAACTGAATATTTTAATCCTGGAGCAAGAAAGTATTTCTTAAACAAAACACCCAAAGTATAAATTAAAAAGGAAAAGCTTAATAAATTTGATATTAAAATTAAAACCCTACAGATTAGGAAAATATATTTGTAACACATATAACAAAAATTAATATCTAGATATTATAATATTTAAGTAAGTTCTATAAATTAATGCTTTAAAGAATGAAGTGATATGAAATATTAGTATATCTTTAAGTAAAAGTTGTTACCCACAGAATTAAATTCAAGATATCTTGCAGAAAATTAGAAGAACAAATAAATTACTTTCAGATAAAAGAATGTTCATTGTAATATAGCTGAAAGTTGTAAAGTATCTACCTCATTATTTTTGTGTAGTGTTTGATGTTATCCTTAATATAAAACAATTCTCATGTGCATTAGGGATGTATCCCACAAATTCAGATATAACAGATGCAGATTTATTCTAAATTATATAGATGACACAGCCTGACAAATAATCTTATGCCAACTTTTGGATGTAAAATTAAAGTTGGCTATGGGGCTCCTGGGTGGCTTAGTCGGTTAAGCGTCCGACTTTCGCTCGGGTCATGATCTCGCGGTTCGTGGGTTCGAGCCCCGCGTCGAGCTCTGTGCTGACTGCCAGCTCAGAGCCTGGAGCCTGTTTCAGAGTCTGTCACTCCCTCTCTCTCTGACCCTCCCCTGTTCACACTGTCTCTCTCACTCTCCTAGAAATAAATAAAACATTAAAAAAAAAGTTTTTAAAGTTGGCTGGCTCAGGGGTTGTGAGTTCGAGCCCCACACTAGATGTAGAGATTACTTTAAAAAATTTTTTTCAAATAAAGTTATAAATTAAAAATTAAAGTTATTGATACTATACTACTTCCTATATGTTTTGTTTTCAATGATTGCCGGGTAAATGTATGCATAGAGAACATTTCTCAATCATCTTCACATTTTTTCATAATTTCTGAATAATATTTTTTCTCAACATTGCTCTATTTTAAAAGATTAATGGACCTCATCCTAGAAGCAAACAAAAGCATCAAAATCTGTTCTTAGCTAATGCTCAGTGAGAAAATCAGAAAGAAAAGTTTTCTTCTCTCAATGCCAGTGTTGCCAGGGTCTCCTATCCATGAGCTGAAGTGAATATTTTATATTTTATTGCAATGTATCATAGCTGAACTCTGTGACATTGAAGAGGTGAAACTAACTTAATTCTCTGTTTAGGAATATGAAACTCAGATAGAGAAGGATCTCTCCATTTCAGATGTCAATTCTATTACTGCACAAAGGATTACTTCTGCCAATTTTCTGAAAAAGGTAACAATGACAAATAGTATCATCAGTATGTTTGCATTTACTTTTATGAAATCCTCCTAATTTCCCTTTCCATTCATTGCTTGCAAAAATTAAGAGTGAAAACTAGTGGCACCAGTAGCATTGTAAATACTTAATCTTTAAATAGAAGTTATTATTTCTTTAAATTGAATTTTTTGGGGCGCCTGGGTGGCTTAGTCGGTTAAGCGTCCGACGTTCATTTAGGTCATGATCTCGCAGTTCGTGGGTTCGAGCCCCGCGTCAGGCTCTGTGCTGACTGCCAGCTCAGAGCCTGGAGCCTATTTCAGAATCTGTGTCTCCCTCTCTCTCTGACCCTCCCCTGCTCACGCTGTCTCTCTCTCTCTCTCTCTCTCCTAGAAATAAATAAAAATATTAAAAAATAAATAAATAAAAATAAATTGAATTTTTTTTTGTAGATGAGAAAGTTGATAATGAAAAGAATTGTCCAAGTTAGCAAATTAAACTTATCAGATGTTGTGGCTGATTATGAAGAAATTGTATCTGCAAGGTACGTAGTAAAAATTATTTAAATATGAAATATAAAGCTTTAAGTTAATGCCTTCAAATTTCTCTACATTCTCCCTTTTAATAATAAGTTATATGCAAAGGATTCATTTACAAAGCTTAAATTGAAATATAGTGACTTAAAATATATTGGGTTATTTTATTAATTTTTTAAATGTTTATTTTTGAGAGACAGAGAGACAGAGAGACAGAGCGTGAGCAGGGGAGGGGCAGAGAGAGAGGGGGAAACAGAAGCCAAAGCAGGTTTCAGGCTCTGAGCTGTCAGCACAGAGCCCAATGTGGGGCTTGAATCCATGAACTGCAAAATCATGACCTGATCTGAAGTTTGATGCTTAACCGACTGAGCCACCCAAGCACCCCATTTTGTTATTTTTAAAAAAAATTTTTTGTTATTAAAAACTGCATTTTGGACATATCTGTATGATATGTATTTTCAATTGCACAGTATTTTAATTTTTTTAATGTTAATTTTGAGAAAGAGAGAGTGTGCTCGCGTGCAAGCGGGAGAGGAGCGGAGAGCAGAGCCAAAATCTGAAACAGGCTCAGGGCTGTCAGCACAGAGCCCAACACTGGGCTCAAAACCACCAGCCATGAGTTGTGTGCTAAAGTTGGATGCTTAACTGACTGAGCCACCCAGGTGTCCCAATAGTATTTTAGTTTTTAACCCTCTTCTTATTGACAAATTTTAGGGCAAGAAAGAAAAAGCAAAGAAACACTTTTGTCCCAAATTAGCTTTGTCCTAAGATTTTCCTGTCCTGGGATCACTACTGGAAAAGCCGCTGCTGGCAGCACCACACACTAAGCCTATAATCTTCCCATTTCAAAACAGAATCCTCAGCCATGCATGGGTGCTGCGATCCACAGGCAGCAGTTGGGGGAGCCTTTGGCTGAACTCAATCCTCCTACCATTCTCTCTCTGAAACTTAGTGGTGGGACCAGGACCATGGATGCCATGTTTCTGGGAATCCTCCCTGGGGCCATGCAGACATTCCTAGTGTTACTAATAAGGTTTTAATTGGTTTGGATGCAGAAATCTATTGTATTTTATTTTCAGTTTTTGGGGTGGAAATGGGTGTGGCCATATAACTCCATGGATTTGTGTTGGCAGCCTGTGTAACTAACTCCTCTTTCAAAGCCATGTAGAAAAGTTGAGTGTCTAACCACTTTCAAGAGAGTGATTCCTAAAAAATGAATAATATTCTGAAAAAACATCATGTTTTGTGGAATTACCTCTCCTCGTCTCTTCTTGGACCACCGACCCAAAGGGCACGGAGCAGTCACCTTTTCTCATAACATGACAGTGAGGATAGCGTCTCTCCTGTGCTCTAACAAAGCTTCTTTCCTTGGGTTTAAGACAACTTTGTCTCCCCTCCACAGCAGAGAACATATGGTTCAGAATAATGGCCCTATTTACAATAATTAAGTTTAAAATTTGATGTCTTTTAAAACAAAGCTATCTTGTGTATATGCAGATGATCACTGTTGTACTCTTTAGCCAGTTGACACATGCAGTTTGTAAGCTTGTTGAACGACAAAGAAAGTTAAAGCCTAAGAGGAAAGAAAGGAAGAAGGTGGCCCCACAGACTATCTGTGATGGAGATATTAAGATTCTTGTTAGAATACTGCAGGCTTACAATATTCCTACCAGGAACACAACAGTTAATAGGTAAGAGTACACACCAGTTTTTACAGTTAAAAAGCTCTGTCTTAAATGTAAGTTTCCATATTGTCCTATGTGTAAAACTCTGCACTTTATTAACGCTCCATATACAGAAATGGAATGGAAGTTGAAGTCTTCATTTGGATAGTCATACTGTCATTGCCATGCATTACGAGTTCTTAGAAGTTTGAGATGTGCAAAGTAATTTTAGCATGTGTATTTTGGGGTGACATATCAAATAAATGCCTTTGTCCCTATTCCCTGTTGTGGAAACTTGTGACGCTGCTCTTGCCAACTGCACTGTTCTCTACCACTGGCCCCCTCAGTATTGAGAGTAGGCTCTGTCTGGGACTTGTCATTTTTGTTGACCTTCACAAAAATCAGATCTAACCCAACTCTTCTGCAGGCATTCTGTGGATTTTCTTTATGTTTCTTGAACCAAGGATATGTGGGGCCAGAATAGATATTGCCATTTAGTGGCCAAATTAAGGCATCATGAATATTAAATGCTCATATATATTTAGTGTATCCTGAATATTGAGTGTCTTACATATTTAGTCTCATGTATGAGTCATATATAATGGATATTTAGAGCCCAGGTATCTCAGGAATATTAAGTATCCCTTCCTATCTTTAACACCTATGTGCTCTATTTGTCTTATACTTACCACATCCCATGAATTCTACACATGAAAAATATTTTGCTTACTAGGTACTGATCTATAGATTATCTATAAAACCTAATGTATAAAACCTTTTTCCCATGTTTTATAAACTGCATCCTTATTTATCTAATAGAATTGATATTCTCAAAACAAATGCACATTTCAAAGGCTAACTTTTATGAATTAAGGACAACATAAAATCACACCATTTTCTGTAATCATCAAATTGTAAAAGATATAACATTGTAACACCTAAAATAGGAAGGATATGATCTCTAAGTATCACTTACCTTATTTTTATCCTTTGCTAAGGACCTGACTAGACTCAATCCATAGTTCCACACTTAGGAGCTAGTCTTCTAGAATAGTGATTATCAAATGTTTAGCTCTAACCACCTATGATAAGAAGATACAAAGAAAATTGTAACATCCAGGGTAACTGAATTCTTATCTCCATGAACATAGGCAAAACCCTATTGATTTTCACCAACACTAATGTTAAAATTACTTAAAGTGTTTACCTCTAAATTGTTTTTCCTGAAGAGACTTGGATCTGCCTACTTATCTGATATCATCCGTATCTCGCCTCAGACATAAGGAAACAGTCAAATCAGTATCTTCAGATGAGATCTTAAATGAGGTAAGTATTTAATAACGCTTCTATAAAGTGCAATTTTGATTGAGTTTGCCCTGAATTGCAACGGGCTCCAAACTGGCCTCTCTATCTCTAGCATCTTGAACTTCTAGTTGACTTTCTATAACACAATGAAGGTGCTTTTTATAAAATGTAATCCTAACCAATTCATTCTATGCTCCCCTGCTCTCAGAGTCTTAGAATAAGGTATAAGCTCCTTTAGAATACCTACAAAAATCTATGAAGATCTGGCCCTTACCTACCAATCAATATTATTGGCCACATGAAACTTACTATTTAACATTTCAGGGCTCAAGCATGTTTTCTCTGGGAAGCTCCCTTTGTCCTTATCTCAGAAAATTAATCATTGGCCCTCCTGAGTAACTATTATACCTTGAATATATTTCTTTTATTTTTCACATTTTATTGCAATTTTATTTGTTTGCCTGTTTAACTTCCCCTGATAGACTGCACAATCCTTTTTTTTTTTTTGTATTTAGACATTGTCGTTTCTTTTCTTTTTTTCTTTTTTAATAGTTTATTGTCAAGTTGGTTTCTATATAACACCCAGTACTCATCCCCACAAGTGCCCTCCTCCAGACCCATCACCCCCCTTTCCCTCTCCCCTACCTCCATCAGTCCTCAGTTTGTTCTCAGCATTCAAGAGTCTCTCATGGTTTGCCTTCCTCCCTCTCTCCCACTATTTTTCCCCCTTCTTCTCCCCCACAGTCCTCCAGTAGGTTCCTCCCAATCCTCCTATACGTGCAAACATATGGTATCTGTCCTTCTCTACCTGACTTATTTTGCTCAGCATAAAACCCTCAAGTTCCATCCATGTTGCTACACATGACCAGATTTCATTCTTTCTCATTTCCATGTAATATTCCATGGTATAGATAAACCACGTCTTCTTGATCCATTCGTCAGTTGATGGACACTTGGGCTCTTTCCATGTTTTGGCTATTGTTGAGAGTGCTGCTATGAACATTGGGGTACATGTGCCCTTATGCATCAGCACTCCTGTATCCCTTGGGTAAATTCCTAGCAGTGCTATTGCTGGGTCATAGGGGAGTTCTATTGTTAGTTTCCTGAGGAACCTCCACACTGTTTTCCAGAGGGGCTGTACCAGTTTACATTTCCACCAACAGTGTAGGAGGGTGCCTGTTTCTCCACACCCTCGTCAGCATCTAGAGTACTCTGATTTGCTCATTTTACCACTCTGACTGGCATGAGGTGGTATCTCAGTGTGGGTTTGATTTGTATTTCCCTGATGAGGAGGGATGCTGAGCATCGTTTCATGTGTCTGTTGGCCATCTGGATGTCCTCTTTGGAGAAGTGTCTGTTCATCTCTTCTGCGCATTTCTGCACTGGATTGTTTGTTTTTCGGGTGTGGAGTTTGGTGAGTTCCTTATAGATTTTTGGATACTATAGGCTGTACAATCCTTAAAGGTAAGTTCCATTTATCTTTTGATCCTAGAAAAGTACCTGATATTGAATAGGACCAATAAATATTTATTAAATGAGTGAACCACTAATGGTTGTTTGAAAACCTGGAAAAAGCAAGCCATCCAGTTGTCAGTCAGTAACCAAGTAATTTCCTAGCCTTCTCCCTTTTACTAACTTTATAAAATATTTCAAAAATCTAGTCAGTATTTATTATGTGTTTCAGGGTACTATACACCCTTTTGTGGAAGTTTCCTTTCAACACACTGTATACCGAACCAGTACTGCAAGTGGATCTCATCCATGCTGGAACGAAGAAATTAAAGTAGATTTTATGTAGGTTAGAATCTACTTTCCTCAGCTTCTAAAAAAGAGCAATAACAAAACTGTTTTCTTATGCCATTTATCGAAAATAATGATTGAGATAGGATTTATTTTTTAAGCTTTTAAATTATGAAATACTTCTTAGATAGGTATAAATATATATAATGTATATACAAATGTAAGTTCTGAGGAAAACTGATAGTATGTATACCCGTGTATCTGCCATCCAGCTTAAATAAAATATGACCATTACCTTTGAAGACCAGTACCTATTGTATCCCCTTTCCTTCCCCCTAGAGGTAACCACCACTAATTTGTATTAACATTTCCTGCCTTTATGATTTTATAGCATAATTATTTATCCCAAACTATTTATTATTTACTTGTGGATGTTTATATAAATTGAATCATCTTTTGCAATCTTGTTTATTTACTCTCAGTTATTTTGAGAGATTCATCTCATAGCTTTTCTCCCTCCCTCCCTACCTCATATTTTCTTTCCTTCTTTGCTACTTTCCTCCCCTCTTCCTCCTTTCTTTTCTTCTTTCTTTTATTTTCACTTCTATGTAGTATCCTACTGGACTAAAATGCCATAATTTTTTATACTTTTTCCTGTTGATATACATTTTTCCTGTTTTAGGCTTTTTCTTTTGCAAGTAATGTTGCTCTGAACATTCTTGTACTTGTCTTCTGGAGCACACATGCAAGAGTTTCTTTTTAAGACAGTAGTGCTCAAACGTTTTTGTGCATTAGAATCACCTGTATGGGTTCTTAAACCATTGCTAGGCCCACCTTCACAGTTTCTAATTCAGTAGGTCTGGGGTAGGTCTTGATAATTCCATTTCCAACAAGTTCCCAGGTGTGACTGTTGCTACTTAGTCAGGAGATACTTTGAGAACCTCTGCTCTAAGATATATGTCCAGGAGTAGAATTGCTAGGTTATAGTTGAATTCAGCTTCCACTTTGTTACCAATAATACCAAACTGTTTTCTAGTGACTGTGCCAATACATACTCCCAACAGCAATATATAAAAGTTCTATTGTGTCATATCTTCAATAATATTTTGTATTTTTAAAATTGTTTTCCAATATGATAGATCTAAATTGATATTATCATGTGGTTTCATTTACATTCCCTGATTTCTAATGAGATTGAGTGTTTCCCCATTTAAAAAAATCAATAGACTTTATTTTTTAGAGCAGTTTCAGGCTCACCGTAAAATTGAGTAGAAAGTGCAGAGAGTTCTCATATACCCCCTTCCCACAATATGTACACATACAGCTTCCCTCAGCATCAGTGAGGTATGTTTGTTACAATCCATGAACCAATGTTCACACATCATTATCAACCATTACTTGAGAGTTCACTCTCATGTTGTACATTTTATGGGTTTTGGCAAATGTATGACATGAACCCACCACTATACTATCATACAGCATAGTTTTACTTCCCTAAAAATATTCTCTGCTTCATCTGTTCATCCCTTCTTCCTTCCCTTGGGACCTCTAGCAACCACTGACATTTTTACTGCCTCCACAGTTTTTCCCCTTTTCCAGAATGTCGTTGCATTAACCTATGGATAGGCCTCATCCAATCAGTTGATGGCTAAACGGAAAAAAGACTTTCCTCCCCCTAGGGGACTCAAACTGCAACTCTTCCCTGGGCCTCCAGCCTGCTGGTCTACCCTGCAAATTTTGGACTTCCTACCCTACAGTCACGTTAGCCAGTACTACAGAGGATAATTTGCTTTACTCAATGTCTACTCATTTTTTTATATGTGGAAATAACACTTAACATGAGTTCTACAGCCTTTAAAGTGTGCAGTATATTACTGTTAGCTATAAGTACAATAGTGCACAGCAGACCTTTAGAACTTATTCATCTTGCTTAACTGAAACTTAATGCCTGTTGATTAGTGACTCCCCATTTCCCCTCTCCCAGTTCCTGGCAACCAACATTCCACTCTTTGATTTTTTGAAGTTGACTATTTTAGATGTCTCATGTAAGAGGAACTATGCAGTACTTGTCTTTCCGTGATCGGTTTATTGGTTTTTTTACTTAGCATAAGGTCCTCAAGTTTCATCCATGTTGTTGCATATTGCAGAATTTCCTTATTTTATAAGGGGGAATAGTATTTCTTTCATTGCTGTGTGTACCTCACTAGATTTATCCATTCATCTGTCAACAGACATTTAGGATGTTTCCATATCTTGACTATTGTGAATAGTGCTGCAATAAACATCAGAGTGCTAACATCTCTTTGCGATCCTGGTTCAGTTCTTTTGGATAGATGCCCAGAAATGGGATTGCTAGATCAGATGGTAAATCTGTTTTTAATTTTTTTTGAGGAACTTCCATCCTGTTTTCCATAGCAGCTGCATTATTTTGCATTCCTACTGACAGTGCGCAAGGATTCCAGCTTTCCACCTCTACTAATACTTGTCATCTTTCTTTTTTTTGTTAAAAACAAAAACAAAGCCAAAAAATTCAGCCAGGTGTGAGGTGGTATCTCATTGTTTTGATTTGCATTTCCCTGATTATTGGTGAGCATTTTAATATTAGCAATTATTGAGCATTTAAAAATTTTTTTCTAAATGTTTATTTTTGAGACAGAGAGAGACAGCTTGAGTGGGGGAGGGGCAGAGAGAAAGGGAATCACAGAATCCGAAGCAGGCTCCAAGCTGACAGCACAGAGCCGGATGCGGAGCTCGAACCCCCAGACCGCAAGATCATGACCTGAACTAAAGTCGGCCACCCAATCGACTGAGCCACCCTGGCGCCCCGAGCATTTTTTTAAAGATTTTTTTTTAAGTAATCTCTACACCCAGTTGGGGCTTGAATTTACAACCCCAAGATCAAGAGTGCATGCTCTACTGACTGAGCCAGCCAGGTGCCCTGAGAATTTTTTCATATACTTGTTGGTCATTGTAGAGCTTCTTTGGAAAATGTCTAGTCAAGTTTCAGCATATTTTAATGTTTTTCTTTGTTTTTTGTCGTTGTTGTTGTCTTGATTTCTGAGAGTGAGAGACAGCGTGAGCAGAGGAGGGTCAGAGAGAGAGAGGGAGACACAGAATGTGAAGCAGGCCCAAGGCTCTGAGCTAGCTGTCAGCACAGAGCCCATTGAGGGGCTCGAACCCATGAACCATGATATCATGACCTGAGCCGAAGTAGACGCTCAACTGACTGAGCCACCCAGGCGCCCCTTCAGCATATTTTAAAATTAGATTATTATTTATTTTACTATTGAGTTGTATGAGTCCCTCATATATTTTGGAGATTAACTTTATAATACATATAGTTTACCAGTATTTTCTCTCATCCCATAGGTTGCCTTTTCACTCTGTTTATTATTTCCTTTGCTGTGCTGAAGATTCATATTTTTATGTAGTTCCACTTGCTTTTTTTGTTTGTTCTTATTGCCCATGCTTTGGTGTCATATCGATTAAATGAAATCATTGCCACAATGTGTGCCTTGAAGCTTTTCCCTTGTGTTTTCTTCTAGGAGCTTTATGGTTTTAGGTCTTACACTTTTAAGTCTTTAATCCAGATTGAATTGATTGTTGTGTATGGTGTAAAACAAGGGTCCAATCTGATTATTTGTGCATGTTGATAGTTTTACTGACACCATTTGTTGAAGAGACTATTCTTTCCACATTGTGTACTTTTGATATCCTTATCAAAGATCAGTTGACCTGATATAGATGCAGGAATTTATATCTGGGCTCTCTGTTCTGTACCATTGGTCTGTATGTCTGTCTCTATACCAGTACCATAATATTTTGATTACTGTATAGTGTATAATGTATTTTGAAATCAGGAAGTTGGATCCCTTCAGGTTTGTTTGTCTTTCTCAAGATTTATGTTCGATGCTAAATCTATGTAAATAGGCTTTTGTTATTGGAAATAAGGTAAACTGATCAAGACAAATTTGAAACACATCTTAAAATTGTTCTAAACTCAATAAGCAATTTTCAGTTGTCACTTCCTATGTATCTTCAGCTCTCACTGGAGTGAAAGGAATATACAGACCTACTAACTACATCCATTATCAAAGTCCTTTCTCTCATCCTGGTGCCCTTTCCTGCTTCTCCTACCAATCTTGTTCAGCTGCCTCAAGTTCTGCAGATCATGTGGTTCCTGACTATTTGCATGGTTCTTTGATGGTGTCACTGTATTAAATAAATGGATTTAGGAGAACATAAAATAGTAAGATAAATAAACTTACAAGTGAACTAAAGAGAAGGAGGGTGTTGAGTATTTGCAGTTATAGCAGGGAGATAAGCCAGGAACACATTTAAAGTTCAACCAAGTAGATCAGAGGGTTCAGCTAAGGCACGACCATTCAGCTACCACTTTTTGTTCCCTGAGATACAAAGCTCTATTCCCTTCTCCATAGGACATTTTAATGAATAAAGGCCACATGCAAATAGGATAGATAGTAATAAGAAATAAATAGCATAGAGTAATTAGCCTTCAGAGCTCTACTGTGGAGGAGAAATTGTGGTGAAATTTGAGTAAGGTTTGAGTAGAATACAAAATGCAGTACAATGCAGGACTTGAGTGATTTAAGGGACATGCTAAGTTGACACACTCAAAAATGTTTGAGGTTAACAGTTATCATTTTCTACTCGCATAGTGCTGTAAGTATTGATGGCCTCCTCCTGTCTTAAGCCTTTGCAACATGAAGGGGAACTCTTGAAGAGTAGGGTAGGGAAGTCAGTGTATCACTTAAAAATATAGGGAAGCTTCAACTTAAAACTGTTCTCTAATCTCAACTAACATTTTTCAGTTGTCACTGGCTGTAGGTCTCAGAAAGTTACACAAACCGTCAGAGATCCTTTGAAATAGTAGTTGGTTTCTTAGCAACAAGCTTCAATAAATAATATCACTGGCAGTTGGTATCATGAAAAGAGCTCAGATAGGAGCTTTGTCATTTGCTAGTGGTATTACCTCAAGCAAGTTATTTAACTTCTCTGAGCTGTTAGAAGTTTGATGATCATGGTCAAGATTCCATGCACAAGCTGTAGCTAAGAGTGAAGAAAGTTCATTGCTTGTGCTGTTCTACACTCTCTTTTCACTACCTCCAGAAATGTATCCAGTCAAGTAAGCCATCAGCAGACAGCTTGCAAATGCATTACACTATCCCAATTTCTAGTTGGAGAAAATAATTGCAGGAAAGAAAATAAGCTGTATGGTTAAGCAGTCATATTTAGCTGAGAGCAAAAGAACAGTTTAACTATATGTGGGAACTAGCAGAAGGCAGCAGAATTTAAGGTATTTGGACAATCCTAATGCACCATACATTGGATAATTTGTTTGCAATGGATGGCTATAGTAAAAGTCTTTCTGCTTGACATTGAAACAGTTTTAATGGAAATTACCTTAAGAGAGGTACAGGATAAATTACAAAGCACATACTGGCTTAAATGAAAGATAATAGTTATCTGCAAAATACATAGCATTTTCTTAGCCTACACTTTGTAAAAGAAAAGAACGCAGGTAATTATATGGTTCTTTATGAATAATGCTCTGATAAAATAAGTTAAACAATTTATATTTTTTATTTACAGATCACCAGGACATGATTATAGCTTCTCAAGCTTATCTAAAATAAAAGATAATATATATATCAACATTTTTGATGAAATGATTATTGAAAAACATGAGGTAATTTAGAATAATTATAGCAATCAATGGTGAACTAATTTTAATGTCAGACTGAATAAACTCTAGTAACATCTTTGTAAATTTGCTTTTAGATACAATGTCTCTTTCCAACATTTTCTAAGAAGAACTTGGGGTAACTTGAAATAAATCAGACATATGACAAGTCAGTTAAAAAATAACAGAGGTCGGGGTGCCTGGGTGGCTCAGTCGGTTGGGCGTCCGACTTCGGCTCAGGTCATGATCTCATGGTTCTTGGGTTCAAGCCCCGCGTCGGGCTCTGTGCTGACAGCTAGCTCAGAGCCTGGAGCCTGCTTCAGATTCTCTCTCTCTCTCTCTCTCTCTCTCTCTCTCTGATCCTCCCCTGCTCATGCTGTCTCTCTCTCAGAAATAAATAAAACATTAAAAAATTAAAAAAAATAATAACAGAGGTCATAAACCACATATATGGAGGTGGAGGGAGTAAATATACCAAGAATTCAGGACAAATGGGTTTCTGCAATTTAACATTATATTTATATGTGAGCTTTCTGGTAGCCAAGATAATTGAAACAAACTGAAAATGGGTTATATATTTCTCACTATCTGATCAAAGAAAATATATCACTTTGGCAAAAGACACCAAATTATTCACAGGACTACAACCCCATTCTATTCAATCAGATTTTTTAAATTACTAAATGTCTTCCTCATGGATATGTAAAAGCTCCTAACAATGCTTAGTGTAAGCTCTCAAAAAAATGTTAACTTCCTTCCTACTAAATTTGGCACCAGAAGTATAAAGATGCATATGCATTATACCTCCTCTCTTGGGAGTCTGATTAAATGCTTTATTATAAATGCCCATCAAATTCTATGGCTGTGCTATTGAAGAAGCAATTAATTCTATCTGGGGACTGAGGCTCAGAGGGAGAGAAGCTGAACTAGACCTTCAAGGATGGTTCAAGGATGAGTCTTCTATAAGAACTAAGAAACATAATGTCAATGTCTTCCAATTCAGTTTTCCAGAAGATGAAACACACATTCTTATTAAAATAGTTTCTATCAATTCTTCATAAAGGCCGAAGGTAAAATACTGAACAGTTATTTGGCGATGGCTGTTCTCCAAGGAGTTAAACTGAGTAGTTACCTGATTATCTAACTGATAATGAAGAAAGAAGAAGGAGGAGGAGGAGGAGGAAGAGGAGGAGGAGGAGGAGGAGAAGGAGAAGAAGGAGAAGAAGAGGAGGAGGAGCCTGGGTGACTCAGTTAGTTAAGTGCCTGACTCTTGATTTCAGCTCGGGTCATGATCTCACAGTTGTGAGATCAAGCTCCCTCCCCTGTAGGCCTCCATGCTGGGTATGAAGCCTGCTTAAGATTCTCTCTTTCCCGGGGCGCCTGGGTGTCTTAGTCGGTTAAGCGTCCGACTCGCTTACTCGCTTAAGGTCATGATCTCACGGTTCGTGGGTTCGAGCCCCACGTCGGGCTCTCTGCTGACTGCCAGCTCAGAGCCTGGAGCCTGTTTCAGAGTCTGTCACTCCCTCTCTCTCTGACCCTCCCCTGCTCACGCTGTCTCTCTCTCTCTCCTAGAAATGAATAAAACATTTAAAAAAAAAAAGATTCTCTCTTTCCCTCTCCTTCTGCCCCACCCCCCCCGCAACACGTGCACACATGCTCATTCTCTCTTTCTCAAAAAATAAAAATAAAAAATAAACTGATAATGGGTAGAACTTGGGAAACTCAAAAGAATGCCTAACAGACTTTCACTCTCAGAAGTATATTATCTGGTTTGACCAGAATTGAATAGTATTTGATTCATAGTTAAATTCCTGTAAGTGCTTTGTATTATTATTGAATGAAATGCATTTACTTTAAGTATCAAGACATATGTGACTATGTGAGCCTGCTATTTAGGAATGGAAAGGGCCTGGCAGATGTTCTTGCCTTCCTCTCATGCACTGGGCTACAACATAACTCTAGGCCAAAGCATTCCTTTTCTCATAAAAGACCCAGCCTAGGCTGAGCCCAAGGACAACTGCCCCGCTGAAAGAAGGTTTGGTATATCATCAATCACTATTCTTTAGAAAACAGTTTTTTCCCATGCTTCAATTTCCCTCTTTTTCTTGTATATTTTTTCTTCCTGCTATCAACTATTTCTTACTTCCTGTGGGTCTCCCCTTCATTAGTTAACTTCTTAGCAGGAAGCTGAGGTCTTGGAAGTCTCACAGAAATGTGGCCTATTTTTAGCACTGGGGACAAAAGAACTGGGCTCTTTCTGAGATGAATTTGGAATCCATCTCTGTCTCGAGTAATGGAAATATTTTAAGACTGTGAATTTATCTCTAAAATACCTTAAACCATATCTTTCATATTAGGTTATTTTTATTTTTTATTTTCTGTGTATTGTTATTATCTCTTGACCTACTAGTTATTTAATATTAGCTTTTATGTATTTTCAAATGACTAGTGTAAACTTTTGATTTCAAATTCTAGTTTTATTGCATTGTAGTCAAAGTGCTTTTGTAATTTTTAATAATTGGAGGTATGATTTTTGAAAAACAACTCTTTTAAGCTTTTTATTTTTGAAGTTTAATCTTAATTACACACTTTTTCTAGAGTTTACAAACCACTTCAGGTAAGTTTCGATTATTCAGAGGCAAGAGACTCAATCTAAGATTTCTTAATTAAATTTATATTGACAAACTTACTCTGACAAACTTTGCTTTCTATCTAAGGGAAAATAAATAGTGGAGACAAAAAAGGAAAAAAATGTCAGTGTTTCAGATCATGAAACCAAATATTGCTAGTACACCCTAGAAGCCTCTTTTGTGCTCTATCCAAGTTCCTTCCTCCCACAAGTAACCATTTTAGCTTCTAACAGTATAGATTAGGTATCACTTATTTTTGAAACTTGTGATTGAAATCACGTATATTATGCATCCATCTGTGAGTGAATTATTTCTCTCTACACTGTTTGTGGGAGTCCTCTGTAATGCTGTTCATTGATTCTCATAGCTGTATGATATATTATTGTAAGAATGTACCTTAACTTTTTTATGCATTCTACTATTGATGGATAATTTGCTTCTTTCTAGTTGTTGGCCCTTACATTTAACCCTGATAGAAATATAATTGTACCTGTCTTGGGAAAATTAGTCTGCATTTCTGTTGCATATATAGTTAAGAGTAAAATTGCAGTCTCTTGGACTGTGCATGTGCCCAGCTGTGGTTGTTTAGTGCCAAGCCATTTTCAGGATGGTTGTATCAATTCACACTTCCACCACCAGTTTATGAGAGTTCCGGTTCATCCATATCTTGTCATTACCTAGCATTGTCTGATTTTTTCATTTCAAACATATTGATGAAAGCAGCCATATTACCTTATGGTTTTTAAGTCACATTTTCATGATGACTCATGAAATTGAACACTTTTTTCTATGTTGGCCATTTTGATAACTTCTTTTGTGAAAGGTGTGTTCAAGTATTTTGCCCCCTTTTTTTCACTGATTTTTAACAGTTCTGTGTATAATCTGGATGTGAGTACTTTATCAGATATAAATTTTACTAGTATTTTTCCCGCACTGGCTTATCTTTTTTGCTTTTTTAATGGGTATTTGGATGAACCGAAAATCTCGATTTAATATAGTGCAATGCAGTGGTGGTGCTTTTTTTGGTCCTCTTTAAGAAATATTGTCTACTTTAGATCATGAAGATATTATCCTGTGTTTGCTTCTAAAAGCTTAATCATTTTACCTTTCACATTTAGATCTAAAATCCAACCAGAATTTATTTTTATGAATCTGTGACATAGAGGTTCAGGATTATTTTTTTCCCCATAAGTATATTCAGTTGACCCAGCACCATTTATGGAAAGGATCATCCCTTCCCCCACTGCATTACAAAGTCACCCTTTGTTCTAAATCTGGTGACTGTACAAATGTGGGTTTATTTCTGGACTCTATTCTGTTCCATTGATCTATTCTCTATCTTTGCATCAATACCACACTGTCTTAATTACTAAAGCTTTGTTATAAATTTCAGTATCCAGAAATCTAAGTTTTTCAGCTTTGTTTTACTTTCTCAAGATTGCTTTGGCTATTCTTAGCCCTATGTATTTCCATATAAATATTAGAATCAGCTTATTGCTTTCCAAAAACAAGACAAAACCTGCTAGTATTTTTATTAGAATGGGTTGAATACATAGATCAATTCAATTAGAATTGACATTTTTATAACACTGATCTTTCCAATCCCACATACATGATATTTGTCCCCTCTCCCCCTTTAGTTTTCTTTGTATTAGTCAATATTATCCAGAGAAACAGAATCAATAGGATAGATATAGATATAAAGATAGGTATATCATAGATATATCATAAATAGATATAGATATATAGTTATAGGAGGTTTATTATTGGCTCATGGGATTGTGGAAGCTGAGATATGCCACAATATGCCATCTGCAAGTTGGAGAGCCAGAAAAGCAAGTGCTATCATTCAGTTTGAGTGCAAATGCCTGAGGTCTGAGAGACTGCTGGCATAAGTTCCAGAGTCCGAAGCCCTTGAGAATCAAGGGCTCCAATGTCCAAGAGCAGGAGGAAATGGATGTCCCAATTCAAGAAGAAAGAGAGTGAATTTGCCCTTCCTCCACCTTTTTGTTCTATTCAGGCCCTCAGAGGTTTGAATGATTTCTACCCACATTGATGAGGGCTGATTTTTACTTAGTCTATTGATTCAAGTGCAAATCTCTTCAGCAACACCCTCACAGACAAACCCAGAGAAAGTGTTTTATATATTTGGGCATCCCTTAGTTCAGTCAAATTGACATGTAAAATTAACGATTGCAATTTCCTTTTCCCAATTTGTACCATGATGGGGCTTAAGCATGCCTAGAATCAATCATAATATTCTAAACAGACCAAAATGATTAATTTCCCTTTGCACACAGATGGATAGTCTCTTGTTTAACAGGATGGCCTGTTGTTTACTTCTTTAATGACAATTTCCTCAAAGTGCAAGGCAGGCTCTATCCAAGGCTAAAGTGAGGATAGAAAAGAAAGGAAATCAAACCAATCTTGCAAATCTAAAATTACCATGATAAAGGTGATCAGGACCTTGGGAAAAATAAACAATCTAATCTCTCAGCATAAGAAACATACAATAAATTATATTTTAAAAAATAAATTAAAAAAGGGAGGGAAGTGGGTGATGGACATTGAGGAAGGCACTTGTTGGGATGAGCACTGGATATTGTATGGAAGCCAATTTGACAATAAATTATATTTTAAAAATAATAAAAATTAAAAAAAAAGAAATATAACATACCAAGCAGTCAGAATTGGTCTATCGGTGCAGTCACTTCTCAATAGAGAAAACTTCCTTAGATACTAAATGGGGCTAATAAACTAAAGAAAGAAAGAAAGAGAAAAAAGAAAAAAAGAAAGAAAGGAAGAAAAAGAAAGGAAAGATGAAGGAAAGAAAGAAAGAAAAGAAAGGAGGGAAAAAAGTAAGAAAGAGAGAAACTGAACTGGGCTCCGAAGGCTGCAAAGTAAATCAGAGAAAACTGAATTGCATGGTCTTAAGGGCTTAAGCTAAGGTAGCCTTGGGGGTCATCTTTTCCTAACTACACCATGCACTTAAATTACTTAGCCATGTCAGCAAACCTGCTTCTTTTTGACCGTGTTCTATTAACCATCAAACCTCTACTCTAAGTCTACCTTTCTCCCTGACCCACCATCTATGATGCTATTCTCCCCTGAATGTGCTTTCGTCATTTCAACATATTTTCACTACAATTTAACATCTTAAGATGTTGTTAATGGTGGTGATATCTTGGGGGTTAAGGTAATTTTTATTCTTTTCTCTATATTCTTTAGTGTATTTTCAAAAGTTTCCTGCATTTAGCATACCTACTACAATAATGTAAACAGCTGTACATAGGCCATAAATTCCACAATGTGTCATTATTATGCTTTAAATTGTCAAATATCTTTTAAAGAAATTAAAAAGTGAAAAATATTCTTTCTGTTTACTTTTTTACTTTTTTGGTTTCTTTTTGAAAAAAATGATTTTTTAAACTTACTTGCAAGTTTGTGAAGTTATTCATCATGTGATATAAAGTAAGTAACAGAAAAATTATTTATGTTAATAGGATCCCTATTTCAAGAGCTGCAGTAGTCATTCACATATAAGAAAGAATTGGCTTGGGTCCATTGTCTTCCCTTTCTCTGCTCTTCTGCAACAATCTGAGGTAATAGAAAATGAGTATTTGCTAATTATTCTAAGTTTTTACTTTGGCTAGTAGGAACTTACTGTTATCTTTAAATTAGATTCTGTGATTACCAGGTTGGTAGGTCAGAGCAATCCTGTTTTTGCGTGCCACTGGGTGTTGGAGTATTTAAATATTTTAGCTGTCTCTAGAGCAGGAGACACCCACAAATTTCTTTCCTACATGTTTAGAGTGTTCACTGATAAAGAATAACACACCTAGGGGTGCCTGGATGTCTCAGTCAGTTAAATGTCTGACTCTTGATTTCCGCTCAGTTCATGATCTCATGATTCATGAGATAGAGCCCGGCATCAGATTCTAGGCTGACAGCATGGAGCCTGCTTGGGATTCTCTCTCTCTGTTTCTGCCCCTCCCCTGCTCATATGAGTGCAAGCACTCTCTCTATCAAAATAAATAAACTTAAAAAAAAGAAGAATAACACAGCTAGCCTTAGGTCTTGAAGCAACATTTATATTTGCATATGATAGTTTTTAGGATCAGATTCACAAATGTTCTTTGATTAATGATAAATGATTAATGGTGTTGTGTTGCTTTGTGACCATGGGTTCCAGGAGTTTCAGCTCGTCAGCATTGCTTATAACAGTGAGACTGATGATTAGCACCTCATTCTGTGATAGCCCCACAGGGCTCTCCTGTTCAGTTGTGTGCACAAATATGCCTACATGACCCGCAAAATGGAAAAACCCCAGCCTAGACTCAGAAATGAATTTTCTACCTCAAGGAGCTCACTGTCTATAGAAGAAAACTAATGCTATAGTGCTTTGATAGGGGCAAAAGACAGGTACTATGAGAACATACAGTAGGAAGTACCTTAGACTTCCTGGTTTGGAGGAGGAGTGGTAGTATTCAGAAGGGCCAGGGGTGAACAAAAGGGGTATGAGAAGGAAATGAAAGGTCAGGAAAGTATTTACCAAAGAGATTTTTTTTTTTTAAATTTTTAAAGTGTTTTATTTATTTCTGAGAGAGAGAGAGAGAGAGCATGAGCAAGGGAAAGTCAGAAAGAGAGGGAGATACAGAATCTGAGGCAGGCTCCAGGCTCCGAGCTAGCTGTCAGCACAGAGCCCAATACGGGGCTCGAACCCATGAACCATGAGACCATGACCTGAGCCAAAGTTGGACGCTTAACCAACTGAGCCACCCAGGTGCCCTGAAAGAGATGACTTTTGAATCAAGCCCTTAAAGATGGTTGTTGAACAAAAAACGATATTTGACTCAGAAAGAACTATGTGTGTATTAGAATTGCATTCAGCAATTTGCCACAGAAAAGCTAACAATGAGTGATATAAGGGGTCTATTTATCTCACCTAAAAAGAAGTCTAGATGACAGTGTAGCAGCTCAAGAATATCATCACATTACATATTATGTGCCTTTCATCCTCATAATTGTAAATTTTCAGTGTACCTCCAGCCTCATATTCATGTTGCAAACGAGAGCAGGGTGAAGCAAGAAGGGGCAGTGCACTTCCTTAGAAAACCCAGCAGACTTCTTACATTTACGTGACTTGACCACTATGTGCCTGTCATATTGCCACCTAAAACTGTTGGTGATAAGGAGGAGAGAATGGATATTAGAGAGTAGAAATGTCTGCATAATATGTTATCACAAGGGATGTCATGAGGGAGCATGTTGCAAGCCTAAGAGCTGCACAGAAAGAGCAATAGAAATTTAGGTTGTTGGGGTACAGGGCTTCCTACATCTGTAAATCTCCAAGCGTGTCCCGTCTCAGGCCGGATTCCAGGCTAGAGAGGTAGCTAAGAATGTGAACTTCAAAAGTGGGCAGACCTCATTAGCTGTGTGAGTTTGCAAATTACTCAAATTCTGTGAGCCTCAGTTTCCTTATCTGCAATGTAGAGGTAAGAGAGTATCTACTTCATTGAATGATCTGATCTACATCAAGTGCTTGGCACAATGCTTTGAACACAGTAAGCGTTCAGTAACTATTAGCTATTACTATTATTATTATTATTATTGTAAATCAGCTCCTACCTCCACATACACATACACACACATATGCACACACATACACACAAGATTCCTCCTTCTGTGGACTTGTGGGTTGTCTTTCCTGCTATTACACTTTTTCTTCTCTTCCTAGACCCATTGTTAAACATACCCAGTGTAACATGGTCTTTTAGCATCTTCTCTGAGCCTGAATTAGATCTTCTAGGAACTTCTATCACTCTGTTAGGGCAACTTGCCTCCTTGCTTCATCCCTTTCTTACATCCGCCCTCTCCACGTAGTGCATGTTAGACAGGGACCCAGGGAGTTGAAGGTGCCTGTGAATAGATCACCATGAAGAACCTGGTCATTCTTGTGCAGGTACATATTGGTAGAACCCGCATGCGCATGCCCGTGCAAGCCCATTTCCTCCTCAAGAGAAGACCGGAACAAGCTGTGCTGTATTTGGCTGATGTTATTTCATCATGCAGAATCTATTATATTGTTATGTTCTTTCAGATTAGTGGAACATTTCAAGTAAATACTCCACCAGTTTTGCTTGGGTATACTTGGAGTAAGACTTATGTGTCTCCTAAAGAAGATTATTGTGGGCAGAATTTAAAAGAATGTACTTTCTTAAATATTTTTGCTACCATTGAACCTCAAATATCATATGTCACCTGTAATCCAGAACTAGACAAGGTAGGTTTTGCACTGAATTGTTTTTATAGGTACTATTAAAGAAGTATAAACTGTTTTAAAAGCTAGTAATAATGATTTCAAAGTGGATAAAAATGAACCTTGGTTCTTGATATTTTCCTGTGGAAACAGTATGGAATAATGTTGAAATATTTTGAACTTGATTCTAGTTTTCAGATCACACAGATGTTTTCGAGAGAGCGCAGACTTTTAAACAAAGTTGTAAGGCGATATTTCCCAACCGAAGAATCACAACTACTGTCTTTGATGGTGAAGGGAAACAGATCTTAGTAACAAGATATATCAAGGCATTAAATCCACCTCAGCAACTCCTGGATATATTTCTTCATGATTCTAATGCAACACTTGTAAGATATGTATTTTAGTAGCTTTATTGATATATAACTCACATTATATGTCATTCACCCATCTAAGGTAGACAATCCAGTGGTTTTTAATATATACACAAAGTTGTGCAACATAGTAAATTTTAGAACATTTTGTTACTTTATATTTATTTTAATTTGTTTACTTTTTTATATCAGGTTTTATATCAAGTTTTGAGCATAACTTTCTTACTAAAATTGTTTTGTTTTCAAAAACAGTTTCCTGAGAGAGAAGCCATCTATGTTACAGTATATCCTCCTGAGCCCCAGATGGGAGACAATATTTCTTCCTGACCTCCTTCATTTCTACCCGCTTGGGCTAGAAAGTCACTGGTGCTACACCAGTTCATGTGACCACACTGGCTTTGTGACGTTTCTACCAGACTTTGAAAACTGACACAGAAAAACTCCTTTGGCTTCAGGCAAAATTAAGTTATGTTTCTAGGGGCACCTGAGTGACTCTGTTGGTTAAGTATCCAACTCTTGGGTTCAGCCCAGGTCATAATCTCACAGTTCGTGGGATCAAGCCCTGCGCCAGGCTCTGTGCTGACAGCATGGAGTCTGCTTGGGATTCTCTCTCTCTCTCTCTCTCTCTCTCTCTGCTCCTTTCCTGCTCACCCTCACGCTCTCTCTCTCTCTCTCTAAAAATAAATCAATAAATATTTTTTTTAAAGTTAGGTTTCTAAAGGAGTTGTGTCCTACAAATTGCTTCTCACAGGATTGCTTCTCATTGCATGTGGGAATGAAGAAACTATATTTTTCTCTGTAAACTGCCATCGTAACACTTCCTACCCCACCCTATGTGACTTTTCCTTTATGCATATCTATTTGCCAGCTGACAAGAGAGACATACTAAAAATGGAAGTTCATATAAAATGAAGATTTATCCACTATGGACTCAAAACCTCCTTCTACTTTGAGAAAGGAAAATGTGAAATCAGAACTATAAGTCTCCTCTTTGAAGAAAAAAATAAGCTTTTCTTAAAAGGCATCCACAAAAAAATCACTTATACCATTTGCTTATTCAGGTTTGATTGAATCAATTGGCTCACCTCAGAATATTCGTATTATTTGTCCATTAGAAAGCTCCCTTAGCTGGACTCTAGGCTGAAATAAAAAGCCCTGACTTAGGTTACCTTTTGCTACACTCTGCCTTTCCATCATGTGTTTCTTTCTGCTTATGTTTTCTGACACCCAAAGTTCAAAGAGATAATTGGGGCACCTGGGTGGCTTAGCCGGTTAAGCTCCCGACTTTCGCTTGGGTCATGATCTCACAGTTCATGGGTTCGAGCCCCGCGTCGGGCTCTGTGCTGACTGCCAGCTCAGAGCCTGGAGCCTGTTTCAGTCTGTGACTCCCTCTCTCTCTGACCCTCCCCTGCTCACGCTGTCTCTCTCTCTCTCTCCTAGAAATAAAAAAAAAAAACAAAGAGATAATAATGCTCTAGATTTATTTCAAAAACAATATCGTCTTTTTGTTTATTTGGTTTTTTATTTTAGAGAGAGTGAGAGAGTGAGAGCAGGGGAGGGGGCAGAGGGTGAGAGAGAGATAGAGAAAGAGAGAGAGAATCTTAAGCAGGCTCCATGCTCAGTGTGGAGCCCCCATGTGGAGCTTGATCCTGTGACCCTGGGGTCATGACCTGAGCTGAAATCAAGAGTCAGACCCTTAACAAACTGAGCCACCTAGGTGCCCCAATCCTTTTTTGTTTTGTTTTGTTTTTAAATATGACTCTTAGCAACTTTGCTTATGAAAGACTATGAATCATGAAGTCAGAAACATGACCAATATAGGAGGTCATTGGTGCATAAATGATGGCTGTTATAAATCAATGAAAATGTTAGTAAGCTTTCTGTGTTGACTCATTACTTATCTGTATCCCTTTCTACTTCCCTATTTTAGTCTGAGTCCTTGTCTCCATCCTTGTAGGGGGAACAGTCCACAGTATAACTTCTGTTGTTTGAGAAAACAAGCTTATATTAATAAAAATAATTCTAATAGATTTGAAACCTAAAGCAAATCAAGCTTTTGCTATTCTTCAATATCTCTTTAAAAAAATTTAACAGTTGTAATTTAAAGCATATATGTAATATATATAATGTTTAAAATTTCTAGAATTTAATACAGTAAAGTGTAATGGTTAACGGGCATACTCTGGAGTCAGGCTAACTTGGCCTTGTTCCCAGAGATTCCATACACTGTGTTAGCTGTGTGACTCTGGGCAAGTTATCTTAGTATGCTATGCTTTTTTCCTCTTCTGTAAAACAAAAATAATAATAGTATGTACTTCATGGGCTTGTGGGATACACTAAATGTGATGGTCACGCATGTAAAACACTATGCTCAGTGATGGCCACATAGTCTGCATTCAATAAATGTTAGTTAATATTATTCTAGGACCTCATCGCTCGCTTTGTATCTTTGATTCCTATTGTGCCTGATATTCTGGATAAAAATGATGGTTTTGATATATGGATGACATCAGAGGTAACGAATTACATTTTATTATTAAAATGTAGAGTAAATATTTCTTATTTTTCTCTTAAATATATTTTTAAAAATATTATACACATATGTAATACTTTGTCTTGTGAAATTTGACAGGATTTGATAATTTAATATATCATATGCAGCTCTGTAATAATACATAGAAATTATTCTCTTTTAAAAAAATTTTTTTTAATGTTTTATTTATTTTTGAGAGAGAGACAGTGTGAGCAGGGGAGGGTCAGAGAGAGAGGGAGACACAGAACCTGAAGCAGGCTCCAGGTTCTGAGTTAGCTGTCAGCACAGAGCCCAACGCGGGGCTCAAACCCACGAACCGTGAGATCATGACCTGAGCTGAAGTCGGAGGCTTAACTGACTGAGCCACCCAGGCACCCCAGAAATGATTCTTAAAGGAGAACAATCTATTCAACAACATTATAAGTGGTAGCTCACGACTATTTTCATCCAATGGGAATTCCAGGAGTACAATATTATGACATCTTCCAGACAGAAATTGGCCTGTCACTATGGAGCTGGACAGACACTGAGTCCAGGGCAAACACCACCAGTTCTCAGAAGCTTTCCCCAGTCTCCCCACATTTCAATGAGGAGCATGCATAGCAATGCTTTTCCTCAGCACTTGGATTAAAATTCTCTTTAAACTGGTCGCCAAATAGAATATAGGTGCCATGCAATATTTGAGACATATTTATACTAAAATTTGTTTATACCAAGTGCAAATTTAATTGGTCATCCTATTTTTTTCCACAAATCTGGCAACCCTAAGTAGAGCACTTTTTTCAATGCTCTTATATTTAGTTGCTTATATATTGAATCTACACTCATACTCTGTACACTGTACATATACATCCCAAGCTTAATCTCTTTAAATGAATAGGTAGACTTGAATATTATTTATTTTTATATTTTTATACAAATTAGCAAGCATTAAACAAATATTTTTAGTTGAAAATTACTGGTATCGTGGGAGCCTTAGAGAGGGACACTTTCCATCGGGAGCCAATGGTCCTGGCACTTATCTAGAATGTTTTAGAGGCTAGAGTTGAGCTGAAATGAATTTATGGGGCACAGGGATAACTTAATAGGTCAGCTACTCTGTCTTTTGCTAAGTGAGAACAAAGGAGACACAAGCATGTGGTTCCAGTGATTCAGTAATTCAAATCTAGTAGAACTCAAAGAGATGTCATTAACTCCAGACTCTTCTGAGACTCTTTCACCTAATCAAAATGTGTTCATGGGTGTTATAATCCTGCAGAACATTGAAAGAACCTCTAAAATATCTAAAAACTAACCATAAAAATAACCATTCAGGCAAATACTAGTACTCCTGAGTCCCTTGCCACCCCAACCACCAATCCAAAGAATACCCATAACCAAGAGGTTACTACAAGTATGGGATTCCTCTTGGCTAATGTCTTCCCACTGACACGAACCCTTTGGCCATGGGATGCCCATGATATACAATTATTAGACTGTCACAGAACAAGTGTTATTTTCTCCTCCCTAACACACAGTCTTTGGAGAAAAACAAACCTTGGTTCAAATCCCACTTCAACCACTTAAGAGCTTTGGAACCTAAGTTAGGTCATTGAGCTTCCTTGGACCTCAACTTCCTCATCTGTGTTATATAGGGGTTTTGAAAAGGATAACAGATGCAAGGCATCTAGAACTCAGTATGTTAATTACCTGTTCTCACTGTTCCCTCCTCCTCTTATGAAATCCAGTCAGGACAACCTCCTTGGCCTGACAATGAAGACCACTCATATTCTGCCCTTCACTCTTCTGTTCACACTTTTCTTTCAGAGGAGCCATGTTACCATCCTCCCTAACCTCCATCCCTCACCATCATGTTCTTCCAGTGTATACAGATGTAACCATATATTTTGTTAAAACACTGGAATGCTTTCATACAGATTGGTAAATAGTCACTGCCTTAGGTCCCCCATCCCCACCTCCCTGGCCACTACATCCCTTTATGGAGGACTATACTGAACTGGAAGACACACGTCCTGTCTAAATGTTGCAGTTGCTATTCAACAACAACAGACTTGCTGTATGAACATTTGGGCCCATATATGTTGTTAGATCTTTTGGTTTTTCAAGGGAAGCCAGAAATGCAGAGTTTTATATGAGATCTCCCAATTTTAAAAAACATCCCAGGGCCAAACAAAAAACACACTTTTGACCACAACTAGGGCATAGACCACCAGTCTGCCACCTCCACTGTGCTTTTTCTCTCTTGCAACAACTGCTTTACGAGGCACCCTATATTTGACTACACCCAGCCCCAACTGTCCAGCTCTTTCAGTTGAAGACGTTTCAATCATCTTTCAGACTGGGCTTCAACTCCAATCTGTTCCTCTCTGTGACTTGAGAGCCCTATATTGGCACAAGACAGAGTGTATAGCTCCATTGACCAAAGAACCCCTTCCTCTAAAAACTCTATGTGATTTCCTAGCAGATGAGGTTTTCTTAAAATATCAGTCCACATGTCCCTGTTTGCCCAGGGCAGTTATATTTCTCCTTAACAGAAACGTTCTAGACTGGATGATAAGCTATTTGGTCACTTACACAGTATCCACGTTAATTGCCCCACAGTAGAGGTGACTCCTATAATCCAAGTTAGTGTTCTCGCCAGTGTTTTCTCAGGCAGAAGGTACCAGACCTTGCAACTTTGCAGTCAGTCATCCTAGTAACCTGGCAAAAATATGTGTGTGTGAAGCTGGAGGGAGGAGAGGGGCCCCAAGTCTGTTGGATGCTTGCATTGCTCATCTTTCTCTTCTGGTTTCTTTTGCCTTAGCGCTGCATTAGTTTGGCTATTGGGAATAAGGAAGAACATGCCATACTACTCTGTAATTTCTTTCTGTACTTTGGAAAGAAAGCTTTGGTCCTCCTGGGCACCTCAATATTGGAAGTAAGTGCTGGTGTTAATATTTACATAATGTAAACAAAACTAATCAACTGTTCAGCTGCAAGTTTAAAAGACATTAATCCCAACTTTCCATCTTTTCACAAGCTAATTGGAGAATTTCTTGGGCAACTAATGATTTAGTTAAGAGGTATTGTTGGTTCCTCAAAATGACCACAGTGTAAAGAAAGGCTTTCCTTTCTTTTCTTTGTAAAACTGTACTAGTAATAGTGCTACTTCATGGAATTACTAAAATATTAAATTACATAGTGAATGTGTGGCACTGAGAATAGCACCTTGATTTATGGTGAGTATTCAATATTCGCCACTTGGTGGTGGTGGTGGTGGTGATGTAGTAACAGGTATAGTGATAGTTGTAGGAGTCATTAACCATCATCACCACTATCATCTTTATAATTTTCTAATACTGTATTTAAAGATCCTTAAGAAATACTTCTCCTTATTCTTCATTTCTCGATTTTTAGTCTTGTATACAAGAAGTGGACCTGAAATTTGTGTTTACCTACTGACATTTTTACACCTTAATTATATACTCTTGCATTCATACCTCCAGAAAAATGATCTTCTTTTGGAATGTTTCTATTTCTGTTTCTACCACAAATATTTGATAAGGGTCAATATTTCTAGTCTTGTTTTAGGCTTTGTGTTGTGATCACTTATTTCTTTATGTTTCCTTGGCATGGTTTATTATTTCTTTTAGCAAGCAAAAAGCCCATGGTTAACTTCCCCTCACAATCCCCCTGTGTAGTTTTAAGTGCCGCTAGATGGCAGTAAACAGTCAACAGTATTTCAACAAACATTTGCATTTATGCCTGCAAGTCAACACCGTGGGTGGTATTCAGCTGTGTGTTTCACCTCAGCTCTGTGGTTGAGGCAACGCCTCCCCCTTCCTGAAAAGAAGCCGAGCACAATGATAAAGAACAAGAGCTTTGGAGACACCAAGCACAGTATTAAGAATATGTGTTTGGGGTCAAAGTGGTTTAAAACCCAGCAATGCCATTTACTAACTGTATGGTCTCAGCTTTGTTTACTTACTTTTCTGAACCTCAGTTATCTTCTCCATAAATAGGACTAATGCTATGTACAGTTACACTAGACAAATCCATCAACCTCTGACTCTATCTGAAAGATGAGCATAATTATCACCTCTACTTCAAAGAATTTAGAGTGAATGTAAGTGAAAATTTTAGTGTGAATCCTGAGCATGGTGCCTGGTGCACACAAATTCCCCTTAAGTGTTCAATAGTCTTTATTATTACCTGAAATTGTTATTCTTTGCTAAGAAAAATTTTGCACTTAAAAAAGTATGTTCAGAACAGAATAACAACATAATGACTACTGTTATTCCTCAGATGGTTTTCTGTATACTTTCTCTCTAGCCTCCAGTGCTAGATCTTATGCTCAAAATTAACTTAATGGCTTTTTTACTTCACTTGGCTTTTTCAGAGCCTTAGGCAAGTGTCTATTTCCTAACTCTGTGTGGTGTTCTCCTCCAGTCCCTAAGCATATTCTACTCAAAGCAGAGTTAGTCCATATAGTGCCTTTGTGTGAATTAGACTAAAGGGTCCCTACCTCAAAACACTTCAGGAGCACTGTGCCTTCAGTGGCTCAGTTGGATAAGCAGCCTTCAGTTCAGGTTATGATCTTGCAGTTCATGGGTTCGAGCCCCACGTTGGGTTCTGTGCTACCAGCTCAGGCCCTGGAGCCTGCTTCAGATTCTGTCTCCTTCTCTCCCCCTCCCCCACTCACACACTCTCTCTCTGTCTCTCAAAAAATGAATAAACATATTAAGAAAACGTTTTAAAAAACACTTTGGTGCTAGCTGTTAGGAAATTGTCAAAAAACACTGATTTTTCTAGAACAATATGGTTTTTTTTAACTTTTATGTATTTTTGAGAGACACAGAAAGAGAGACAGAGCATGAATGGGGGAGGGAGAGGGAGGGAGAGACAGAATCCAAAGCAGGCTCCAGGCTCTGGGCTGTCAGCACAGAGCCTGATGCAGGGTTTGAATCCACCAACCAAGGGATCATGACCTGAGCTGAAGTCAGACGCTTAACCAACTGAGCCACCCAGGCACCCCTAGAACAACATGTTTTATTGCTGTGAGGACACACCCTACAGAGCTGTACATGGCAGCAGCAGCTCAAACATTCTCTTCTTTGGGCCTCCATGCTAGCCTGGGCCTAAGGGTTTCTGGAGCTTTCGCTTTTTTCCTTTTCAAAAAGACTTTGAAGACTGCCCCCCAAAAAGACTTTTAGAAATCAAAGATATCATATCCTTACATTATAATTTCCACATACAAAAATGAGTTGAATCAACCACCCACCAAAAATGACTTTAACCAACTTTTTCCTCACACAGGGGCAAGTGGCTTATGTATTAACTCAAGAAACTGATGAATATTTGCTTTGGAATCCATTAACTGGGCAATGTCATAAGCAGTTTGACCCATTTTGTCCCTTACAAAGCGTGGACTGTTTGTTTGATGATGGAAATGTAAGTATATGGGGGAAAAGTCTTATTTGGAGTTATCTCGTCAAGAGTCAAATAGTTCTCTTCTATTCCAGCTCGACATTAGAGCCATGTGGGCTCTGAAGAAAACACAGACGTTCAAGTAGAATCCCTGGGTTATAAGGCCAGAGATTCTTCTATCCCTAGAGTACCTCAGGTGGTTCTCTCCAAGGTTGAGAAGCAGTGATCAGTCTAATGTTCATGTACCCTTGGAATCTCTTTACCTCTTGCCTCAGAACCTCCCTTGGCTTCATTGGGTAGTAGGACTGTAAAATGTGGCTCCATATAACCAGGTAGGAGCTTTGTGCTCCCATGTGCCTATACTGATGATTTTATGTTAATGTTTTAATAGGTCTGGTTTAATATTCAACAAAATAATACACCAATGGCTGTATATTTTGACTATTCAAAAGAAAGTTTCTGGAAACAGTTGCTTCCCAAAAATGTCCAAGGGACAAAAGCACAAAGCATACAGGTAAATTATATTTTTTCAGGTATATCTGTATGAAAGTTACCATTGGTTCTAATCTTTACCTGTAGATACCTGTAGATACCTGTGCCATCTCTCATGATGTTTATATAGCTGATTGCATATTGAATTATTTGGCAATGTTAATAAAATCTAGTTTTCTCTGCCATCCAGCCTGAGTTTGGGCTACTCCGATTATACTCCTCTACTTGCAGAAAAGAAGAATTGAAAAGAAGGTATCATCTTAAATGTGAATGTAGATTTTAAAGTAAAAAAAATTTAATGTTAATTCTAAACTTGAAAATATAATGTCAAGATGGTGTAGTAAGTTTACTTTGACCTAACCCTTCTGCTCCACATCCATGGTAATGATAAAATATAAAAATTGAAAAATAAAAGGCTTATCTGGGCTCCAAACTATGACAGTTATATGAGGGAGTAGAAACAGGGCAGCAGTGAGTAGGGCTGAACAAAGGATGACAACAAGGTCTGAAAATGGTTCATGAAATCCAGGGAACCACAGCCAGTCTCACTGTTTGAAGCCAGGACTTGTGATGGGTTCCCCTATTTCACTACTCTCGAAAGAAGAGGGAGGAGAAAAGCTGCAGACTCAGTGTGGGAGCATCTGAGGCAGGAGGCGGAAGCTCAGATCTGCAGTCAATCACAACATAATTACCAGATGGCTCAGCTGGCAGGTCTGTGATGTATTGAGCGTCACTTTGTGAAGCCCCCCAGATTCCACTTCAGTGGCTGTTTCTGGATTGAGGTCCAGGGTATGGCAAGGTGCAGGCAATTTCAAAACCCATAAACTAAGAGCCATGAGCCCAGAGGAAGTGGAAGTTTAAAAAAATAGTGGAACGTATAGTAGAAAAATAGGCAGAAAATAATTCATAGAAGCAGAAACTTGAATGCTCAATCTTACTCACTGTCAAGAAAATACAATTTAAAACAACAAAACACTTCTTTACATGGATAAGATTGGCAAAATAAATTTGTTTTAAGTGTGATCATACCACGCGTGGCAAAGAGGCAGAGAAATGATGGGAAGGTAAATTGCTATAAACCCTTTGGAAAGCAGTGTGATGATACGGGATAAAGCTGAAGATGCTCAGCCTTTGATCCATCAATTCACCTTCTGAGCATATGTCCTAGAGGAGCATGCACAGGCACCCAGACAAGTATAACAGTGTTCTTTATAGAGTTACTTCAAGTAGCAAAAAAAAAAAAAAAAAAAAAAAAAAAAAAAAAGGAGAAAAAAAAAAAAAAGTTTTGAAGTACTCATACTATGAAACCTTCCATATAACAGTATATTTAAAAAGTATAAACCAGGGGCGCCTGGGTGACTTAGTCGGTTAAGCGTCCGACTTTCGCTTAGGTCATGATCTTGCAGTTCGTGGGTTCGAGCCCCGCATCGGGCTCTGTGCTGACTGCCAGCTCAGAGCCTGGAGCCTGTTTCAGTCTGTGACTCCCTCTCTCTCTGACCCTCCCCTGCTCACGCTCTCTCTCTCTCTCTCTCCTAGAAATAAATAAAACATTAAAAAAATTTTTTAAAAAGTATAAACCAGTTTACACTAGTTCTCAACTTGACTGTACACCCATTACATCAGAGTCGCTGAGGGTAGAACTCACACACCTGTATTATTTAAGCTCCCCTCCCCCCGGATGATTCCAATCTGCAGCCAATGTTCAGAACCACTGATATGGAGCCTTGCATATCAACAGGAATGAATATAAAAGAAATAATGTTAAGCAAAGTGAAAAATACATGAAATGACACATATAGTACAAAATCACTTATATGAAGTTTGAAAATTATGTGCTATTTATGTATATATAGACACATATTGCTAATGGAAAAGCATTCATAGGAATGATAAATACCAAATTTAGGTTAAAGGTTACCTTTGGAGAGAGAAAAAAGGAATGAGGTCAGGGAGCAATACACAAAGTACTTCAAGTCTGTGTGTGATGTTTTACTTTTAAAAAATCTAAAACAAATATGCAAGAACGCAAAGGTGAGATGTAGCTAAGTGGTAGGTGTGTTGGGTGGATTTTCATTACACTTTTTTCTATGCTTGTCTGTATATTTGAGCCATTTCACAAAATCAGAAGGAATGCATGGCAGTTGCAGGGAGGGGATCATACAGTACCAAACTGTATAAAGAATGTCTCTTCCTTTCAACATCTTTCCCACTCTCTAAGAAATAAACACTGTTAGTAGTTACTTGTGTATCCTTCTAAACATTCTCCATGTGATGCAAACATATATATATACGTATATATATATATATGTATATATATATATATATATTTAATTTCCTGTTTGTAAAGTCATTTTAAAGAAGGGGAAATGTAGTTATCTCTTTTGAGCAAACAACGTTTTCAGCATCCACAGGCCATCCCTAGCTTTTCTCATCCCAAAGCTGTGACTGATGTATTGCTGCCTCCTGCAGGGAGGTTATATATTTAGAGATGAGGTTTTCTTTGTTTACTGTTAATCACTGATTAGGCCTTCAGTGAAATGTTGCGATGAGCCAGTGCCGTGTCAGGCATCGGTACCGCAAGGAAAAGACGTGTCTCGGTATTGCTGGGACTTGTGTTCTCAAGGAGGAAAGAGAAGGAAGCAAGCCATTGCAGGGCAGAGTGGTAAATGCGATCACAGAAGAAATAAGTGTGCTTTGGGAGCATGCAGCAGAGGGCCTGCGGGGAAGGACAGCTCCCGGGGCTTCCTGGGAAAACAGCAGTGACCAGCAGAGTGAGGAAGGTGAGCAGGAGCTGGCCTGGAAAAAGGTTGGGGTAGAGAGAACAGTCCCTGCAGAGGAGAAGGCATTGCAGGCATGACGACCTGCAGCGGCAGGCAGGTATCTGTCGAGGAGCTGAAACGCCAGCTCGGCTGCAGCCAGGGGGCGAGCAAGGCAAGCTCAGGGGTGAGCCGAGTCCCAGTTAGGACGTGGGCCTCTGTCCTCTCCTTGGCAGTCAGAAGCTAATGTCACTAAGGCAAGGGCTGCCGTGATCAAAATTGTAGTTTTTAAAAGCCACTCTGCCTGAACATGGAAACTAAACCTTTTGCTGAGTTGAATCTATAAATATAAAACTCAGAAATGGATTTGACTTGTATCTCTACTGATTTCTTTCCTGTGGGTTAATGGCCCTCAATCTTCTGTCTTGCCACACACATCCCAAAATAAACTACTATCTATAGTGAACACTTGTTTTTTTTATCGAAATTGAGGACGCATATTTGAGTGTGTTAGATGAGCATGTGGGTAGTCAGAGATGAAGTTAACAGGGACATCCTCTTGAAGTTTTAAAAGATATGAATTCCCTGAAAGAAAGGGGACTTTGCCAAAGAAGAAAAGTGGACTAGCACCTCATAAACTTACGAGTTAACATAACCCACGGCTCTTTCTCAGGCCTGAAGGTGGCCTAACTAATCCGCAAGAGTTACCTGATGGAGGGAGGGGGCAGAGGAGGGGAGTGGAGGTGTTGGAGGGTTGCCCAGTGGTTGGTGGCAGCAGTAAAGGCACTCAGTTTACCTGTGCTGTCTGGGATAGCTGGTGGCCGTGCAACATGACGCTGGAGTTCATAGTTTCTTTTCTCCAGTGTCTTCCCCTCTCCTGGTGGGGTCTGTCGTGGGGGAACTCCCTGTGCCTGGGACTGTTGTCTAATCTATCCACGGTAGCCTCAGAACCCTGGCTGGCTTGCTGAAACACAGACTGCTGGGCCTTGCCCTGTGAGTTTCTGATCCAGTGGGTCCCACGTGGGGGCTGAGAATTTGTATCTCTAACAAGTCCCCAGGTGTGAGGTTGCTGGTCGGGGGACCACGCTTCAGGAACCTCTGGCTTCTATCATCACATGACAGACTGAATCTTCTCCATCACTCTTGAAATATTCTAGCCCCTAGAGGTCTAAGAACTTTTTGCACAAGCCTCCTTCCACCCATGTCCCTGTCTCTATTTGTCAGCTCAGGAATGCCCAAAATAAAAATGTCCAAATTCAGCCCCTCCCTCTTGTCCATGTGAGCCCTGCAGGGAGGGACACACACACACATGCACACAAAGACTTGGCTCCTGCCAGCTGGAAGAAATGAATATTCAATCAAAGAAGGAAGATAACCATGTTAAAAGAGCAGTGGGGCACCTGGGTAGTTCAGTTAGTTGAAAGTCTCACTCTTGGTTTTGGTGCAGGTCATGATCCCAGGGTCATGGGGTTGAGTCCTCTGTGCAGCTCTGCATGGAGTGTGGAGTCTGTTTGGGATTCTCTCTCTCTCTGCCTCTACCCCTCTCCCCTGCTCATGCTCGCTCATTCTCTCTGTCTCTCTGTCTCTCTCTCTCTCAAAAATTAAAAACCTGAAAGAGTAGTAGTAATAATACCTGATTTTATTTTATTTAAAAAAATTTTTTTTATGTTTTATTTATTTCTGAGAGAGAGAGAGACAGTGTGAGCAGGGGAAGATCAGAGAGAGAGGGAGACACAGAATCCAAGACAGGCTCCAGGCTCTGAGCTAGCTGTCAGCACAGAGCCCGACACGGGGCTCAAACCCACAAACCGTGAGATCATGACCCAAGCCGAAGCTGGACATTTAACTGACTGAGCCACCCTGGCGCCCCAATACCTGATTTTATTGAACAATATGTGACAGACTTTGCGTATATTACTTTGTTTCAAAATCTTCACAAGACCCTAGGGAAGTAAGTACTATTGTTGTCCCTCTCTTGGGACACTGGGGTGGCTCAGTTGGTTAAGCATCCGACTTTGGCTCAGGTCATGGTCTCATGGTACGCGGGTTCAAGCTGCGCATCGAGCTCTGTGCTGACAGCTCAGAGCCTGGAGTCTGCTTTGAGTTCTGTGTCTGCCCCCTCTCTGCCCCTCCCCAGCTCACACTCTGTCTCTGTCTCTGTCTCTCTCTCTCTCTCTCTCAAAACTATATAAACATTTTAAGAAATTAAAAAAATATATTATTGACCCTCTCTTAAAGATGTGGTATCTGAGACTCAGAGAAGTTAAGTAACTTCACCAAGACCACAGTTAGTAAGTGGACGAGACTAGTGAGGTGCCAAATATTATCTGGTAAAACCAGTGAGCATGTCAGATGTTTGTCTGAATAAATGAATGTGAGCAGCAGACCTTTCTCACCCAGGAAAAATATCTTGTAAATCCACTCCTTATCCCGCTCTCTGGTGAAGTAGTATTGAAATCAAAGGAAACACTGTGATCTGTGTTTTACCTTTGTGCTTCTGTGGTGAAGTGTTTTTGCCACGTGAAAGTGGTTTGGGTTCCCCTCGTTATAGTTAGCACTCCAGGAGTGACTATGATGTCAGAGCGGTCTCCCAGCAATCTTTTCTAACTTTCGGTTGTCTATGTATTTCAGCCTGAGGAAATAGTTTATTGTGAGACTAATAAAAGCATGATCGAAGATCTAAAGAACAGGTATGACATTACGATTACTACGTTTCCTCCCTAATCTCTTACTCCTTTCAGTTCTCCAAACCAGTCTCTCAAAATACCTATTAGATTCCGCAATAGAAGCATGAGATGGAGATTACAGTAGTGTCTTCCATGGAGTCATCATTTTTTGGTCTGTGCATTGAAAAGCATCTCCTCTGCCATTCCAGGACACTCCTTTAAAAAGACCATTTAGGTTTAAAAAATGATTGCCTCTGGAAACTATTGTAGGGCTGCTTCTGGAAAATTCCCATCACAGACACCTGTTGAAGTTATGGTAACAATAAGGCAGTAACTAATACTTGAAAGGAAATGAAAGTAAATGGCCTACAACTTGGAATATGGAAAAAGCATCCAAGCTGGGTGGTAGACACATCCATACTATTCCTCCTTGGCACTCCCCTCTTCCCCAAACACACACACACACACACACACATACACACACACTCACACACTCCCCCCTTCCCCAAACACACACACACACATACTCACACACTCCCCCCTTCCCCAGACACACACACACACATACACACACTCACACACTGCCCCCTTCCCCAAACACACAAACACACACACACATACGCATACACATGTGCCCTAAGGAGTTGTTCTCTTACCCCTTTCAGTTTGACTCTTTTGTCAAAGTCACAAACTTTGCAGCGGGGCTAACTCCTACTCCAAATGTGTCAGAAGCTTCTAGATCTTACTGTCTCCAATGACTCATGCTTACATAGCAGGCTGCCATATAAGCTGCTACCAACTAATCAAAACAAAGTATAACAAAAAAAAATTTTGCCACTCCCTTCTCTCACTAGCACTCAACTCCCACCTCTTATTTCCTTCCTTCTTCCCCAATTCTTAACAAGAAAAGAAAGCAATGCAGTAGAGAAATGATTCCCAACTTCTGGTTTTCATCAGAATCATTTCTAGAACTATTTTATTTTATTTTATTTTTAATGTTTATTTATATTTGAGAAAGACAGAGACAGAGCGGGAGTGGAGGAGGCACAGAGAGAGAGGGAGACACAGAATCCAAAGCAGGCTCCAGGCTCTGAGCTGTCAACACAGAGCCCAACGCGGGGCTTGAACTCATGCACCCTAAGATCATGACCTGAGCCGAAGTCAGACACTTAACCGACTGAGCCACCCAGGCGCCCCTCTAGAACTATTTTAAAAGATAGATGCCAGGATCCCAGACCATACCTGTTGAATCAATATCTCAAGGTGAAATATGTTGATAAAGCCCTACAAGTGGTTCTTATGCTTCGGTTTTTAAAATTATTTAAACAAAATTTTTTTAATGTTTGTTTATTTTTGAAGGAGAAAGAGACAGAGGATGAGTAGGAAAGGGGCAGAGAGAGAGGGAGACACAGAATCAGAAGCAGGCTCCAGGCTCTGAGCTGTCAGCACAGAGCCAGACATGGGGCTCAAACTCTCAGACCTGAGCCAAAGTCAGACATTTAACTGACTGAGCCATCCAGGCGCCCCTCAAGCACACACTGATTCTGTGGAAAGATGAGACTTCTCAAGTTGGCCCCGTCAGCCAACCTACACTGTCCCTGTGAATAATCTACCAGCAGGCACTACTGTTCTAGGGGCTGAATACACAGGCACAGATCTCTGCCTTTATGGAGTGTACATTCTAGTATGGGAAATGGATCATCATACTTTTCAGCCTATGCCTCATTTCCTTCCAACTGTGCTTGTTGTGTTATCTAATCTAATAAATCCATACTTGCTGACATCACCCAGTCCAGATACCTGAACTTTCATAGATGCAGTTTCTTGGAAACACAATGTTTTATGACAGAGGAGGGCCCTGGAGAATGGGCATGTCAGTCCAGTGATCAGACAGGAGACTTTGTCACATCACATCCAGGAGGCAACTGCCTACACATAGTTAACTAGAAAAGAAATGTGCCTTTGAGATCTAACTATTGGCTCTCCTGGGAAGCTTCTTGCTTTCCCAAGCCAAGCAAGAGGCTGCTTCTCCCAAACTTGGTTAACGTGAATGATGGCAGATATCCTTAGCCATAAAGGTCTGGTTCATCCTAAATTAAAAAAAAAAAAAATATATATATATATATATATATATTCTCATACTTGAGTAAAGTGACAAAACTCTTATCACATTTATTACATTAATTGTAATTTGTCATAAAATAATCTTTGCATTCTTACTTTAGGATTGAAAGGACTCTGAAATGTAAAATGATGGAATGGCGACCTAAACAGCCAACACGTTGGAATCGACAATGTACTTATATTTTGCGAAACATCCTTCCTAAACTAGAACTTGGCACTGGAAGCTTCGTGTCATCTGAAGAAGAGAGTGAATTTGAAAGACTACTACAATTGTATTGGGTGTGTGTATGACTTCGTGCATTAATGACATTTGTTTCATCTATGTTGTTAATTGCTAGGGAATAGTAATCTTAGATATCCCTGAAATGCTTTTTTATTTTGTTCCTAGATGACAGATGATATGGCATTAAAGTACATTTATTTATAGACTAAGAAATTTCAAACATACTGAAGAACTATTACCATGACCACACTGCATGACATTTCCTTGGAAAGAGTCATATGTTTTATGTTATATAACCACAAAGTTTGGAAAGAGATTAACAAAAGAAAATCACTTGCAAATAAGAAATTGAAAAATGTTCCCTAGAAGGTAATAATAGGCTAGATTCCCTGTCCTTGGTTCTGGACAAGAGGACTCAACTCCCACCTCTTATTTCCTTCCTTCTTCCCCAATTCTTAACAAAAAAAGAAAGCAATGCAGGCAAGCTTTGATATCTTTTATATGCAAAATACTCCCAAATTTCTGTATGCAGCCTGGACTTCTCTCCTGACCTCCTTTCTTATATATTTACCAACACATCTGTCATCATCTTGGATGGTTAAAAGGCACCTCAAACTCAATAAGTTTATAACTAGACATGGTGGACATTTGGTATATTGCTGTGATCCTCCTTTTCCCCAACACACCAGCTCTTGACATCCTGTCACTGACTCTTCCTGTGAACTGGTCCAGTGGATTTTGAAAGCCCCAGTCTCCCAAGAGTGAGATTCTTTTCCCCTACCATCTCGTAGACTAGGTATCTTCTAGGGAACCCTCTGAGGGAAGACAGGAAGGAATCTGTCCGGAGTTAAGTGCGGAAACTGTTGAGGAGGGATCTGCAAGTGCCATTTATTCATGAATAGGGAGGAAGTTGCTTTTATTTGCATTAAAAAAAAAAAACAGAATTAGGAGTAAACAGATAAGCAAAGCAATATAAACTAAGGCTTAATATAAACCAAGGTTTAAAACTTGTACTTTCTTTGTAAAATTATCTACTTAATAACACATAATCATAAACCTGAGCTTAATCTTGTGGTTTGGATTCAAACCCTGGTTCAACCATTCACTAGCTTTGACCAAGTTATCTAACTTCTCTATACTTTCCACCCCACAGGGCAAGATAAACAGGGATAAAAATAGTTACTCTGGGGCACCTGGGTGGCTTAGTCAGTTAAGCGTCCGACTTTCGCTTAGGTCATGATCTTGCGGTTCGTGGGTTCAAGCCCTGCATCGGGCTCTGTGCTGACTGCCAGCTCAGAGCCTGGAGCCTATTTCAGAGTCTGTATCTCCCTCTCTCTCTGACCCTCCCCTGCTCACGCTGTCTCTCTCTCTCCTAGAAATAAATAAAAATATTTAAAAAAAATAGTTACTCTGGTTTGTGGCTAGGTAAGGTAAGGATTAAGTGAGCTACTACTTACCACAGCACCCAGCACTTAGCAAGTGTTTAGCAGATGTTAATTATTATTTGCATTCTAGTGCCAGGTATTGTGTTAGGCAGTGGGGTTATGACAGTAAACAAGACAGATACATTCTTGATCGTGTGCATTCACAGAAACTACAGGCTAATGAGAGATCAGACATGTAGCTGCAATCTATTTTATTAAGTAAGTTAGGGAAGGACAGTGGCCTATTGCAACCACATGGGAAGAACACATGAATAGGTTTAAGGATCAAGAAAAGCCCCCTGAAGTAAGCAATCTAAGGCTTGAAAGAGGTTTCTGATTGTTTGTGTATTATTAAATAGGTAATTTTACATGGGACCACGTACCATAATCCTTTAATCCTATCACACAGTTGTCAATAAATGTAAACTGAACCAGTGTTAAATAAATTCTTCCACGATGCTCACTTAAATACCTCATTTGTAGAAACAAGTAATATTGTCAAGGGCAGTCTGCTATTCTAGAAAGGGTGCAAGTATTTGGAGTGTTAGGTGTGCAGGATCTGGTATCAGCTCTGACTTTGCTCCTCTCTCTCTGGAAAGTGGGAATTATAGTAGAACCATCATAAGGTGGTTTGAGAATTAAATATGTATGTGAAGCATTTAGTACTTTCCTGGAACATAGTTGATGAAGTTTTGGGGGTTATAGTGGGGTTCATGGGGTCCAGAGCCAATGGCCAAGAAAGAATTCTTGAAGACATCTTTGGTGCAAAAAGGTGATTTTATTAAACCACAGGGTAATTTTTATAAAGCACAGGAAGGCCTGCCCTGGGACCAGGAGGAGAGACTGGTTACATACTATGGAGTTGGGGGAGGTAGAGTCCAGGGGAAGTTTCCAGTGAGATTTTCATATGCTAAAGAAGACTCGCAGAATACTAGAGGCCTAGCTATTGTCAAGCTAAGGTGGTTTTCCCTCTAGCAACGTATTAGCATTAAGACAACAGGGAGTTCCTGGAGAAGTGTTTTTTACTCTGCCAGCCTCAAGTATTTGTCAATGGGCTGCAGGTTATGAGGAAATTTAATTTTATCTACCATTTCCTTCTGCCTTTTTTTTCCCCACATCAATTGTAAGCACCTATAAAATAACTGTTATGTTATGACTATCATTTTTTGAGGCTTCTATAATATTTTTGCATATAATAATCCCTGATTGCCTACATGCCTGTAGCATGGGTTTACATGTTATTCTGTCTTTTGTCTAGGTCACAGGATTTCCTATCCAGATGCCATACACTGATATACAATCAATTATCGACGCTGTGTATCAAACTGGAATTCACTCTTCTGAATTTCCCCAGACAGAATTTGCTCTAGCTGTATACATTCACCCATACCCAAACAACGTATTATCTGTATGGGTCTACTTGGCTTCCTTAGCTCGACATCAGTGAAAAGGAAGAAGGGAAAAGGAAAAAATATACATATATGTATATGCTGTGGGGCGCTCGCCCAAAACAATCCAGTACTTCAGATTTTGCTACTTATCCTCAAGTCCAGTCAAATGTGAGCCCGATTTTTGGTTCTTTTACGGAGTTGGGCACCATGGAGACTCACTCCCTGAACCTTTGAGAATGAGTCTAGATGACCACCCAACCTCTTCAAGGAGAACACTTCAGGCAGCCTGGTGGCCTTGGGTCACTGTCTATAGTAGGTCTTATTATGGGAAAGAAGCAATTCTGGCCCCTCCCTTTTAAGCCAATATTACTCAAATTGTAGGCCTCAGACCACCTCAATTGAATCACCTGGAGAGCCTTGAAAATGCAAATTCCCACACCCCCTAAGACCTACTGAATCGAATCCTTTGGGAGTTGAGCTCCAGAACATTATTTTAAACAAGCTCCCTAGATAATTTTGACGGCCTGTCAAGAGTGAAAACCCTGCGTTATAGAATGTTGTCATTACCAAATGAGGCTGGTACTTTTGGCGCTGGTTCTGATGTAATTCCAGATAGAAGGTATTCAAGTACAAACTCAAGGTCATTGCCCCTCCAAAGATTATTTCACTGCTTAAGAGTAAAGGAAAAATCTGCCACATTGGGCTGAGGGCTGAGGTCAGCTTCTGGGATCTCCTAAAATTTTTCACTTGTGATGCTACTGACCTGAAGATCTTTCAGCTCCTAGTATTTGGAAAGGCTTCCCAAGAAACTCTAATATGCTTTCCTGATTCTGTGAGAAAGGGAGAAACTGGTCTTACCAAATCTCAGGGCTCCTTTTTTTCCATAGGGAGCAGCCCACCATTCTGCCTCTGGCTCTTTTCTGCTACTTTCCTTTCCCAATAGTGGCTCCAAGGAGGCCCATCTAGACCCTACGAGCCTTAAGAGAGAGTGGATAGGGATCTAAGTCAGAAGCACTGTACTTTCTTCTATTTGATTGTTCTGAGCTCCGCTGAGAAAAGTATTTATACAGTTTATTTAAATGTTACATAATAACTTATTCTAAAAAAAAAAAAAGAACCAAAAAAAAAAAAACCCAAAGGATACAGATTTCCAAAGGTTGATGAGAGCTTTTTGTATGAGGTAAAAACAGGAGAAAAAAAATTCACCTTTCCCAACACAGGAGCACTGGAGCTTCTTGGGTCACTCCCACAAGCAGAGACCCCCAAATACATCCCCAGGGAATCCTCAATCTGAATTCTGTCCTGCAATGCACCTGCGTGGGCTGGTGACAGAGAAGACCTCATTTATTTGCAGTGATGTTAGTCTTGGAGCAAACATGTGACTACCTAAGTAAAATAATCAGGATGTGGGTGAAGAGAATGCTTTTTTCTCCAAGGTTAAAACCTTATTGTGTGTCTCCTCTAGCATGTATACGAAAACTGATCAGAATTTTTGTTTTTATTTGAATGTTTGTATTTAAATGCTCTGTGAAGTGTTGTTATCAACAAGTCTATCATATTGCTTGGGGTAGCAGTAAATGATGTCTATGGAAAGACAAGTTTGCCAAAAAAATACTGAACTCATGTAGTTCATTTCTGTGGCACCTTCAATATTTACATAACTATTTTGTTAATCGTTTATGGTTTCCAAATTGACAGGCCACTTAAGAGTTAGGTAGAAAGTGTTCAGAGGCAAGCATAGAGAACCCTTCGGTTTCATATGCAGTTTTTTTTGCAGGTGTATGGATTTCTCAACTAAAATTTTTTCCCTAAAATTTGGAAATTGTCTATAATGAATCATTTTTTCATTTGTCTACTTTAAAAATCTGTGATTTTAGTTTTAAGTTTTTATTTTGATTCCGGTTAGTTAACATACAGTACTTTATTATTAGCTTCAGGTGTACAATATAATGATTCAATTCTTCCATACATCACCCGTTGCTCATCATGACAAGTGCACTCCTTAATCCCTATCACCTCTTTAACTGGTCCCTGAATCCAGCTCCTTTCTTCTCACCATCAGTTTGTTCTCTATAGTTACGAATCTGTTTCTTGGGGGTGTGCCTGGGTGGCTTAGTCGGTTGGACATCCGGCTTCGGCTCAGGTCATGATCTCACGGTTCGTGGGTTCGAGCCCCCCATCGGGCTCTATGCTGATGGCTAGCTCAGAGCCTGGAGCCTGTTTCAGATTCTGTGTCTCCCTCTCTCTCTGACCCTTCCCTGCTCACACTATCTCTTTCTCTCTCTCTCTCTCTCTCTCAGAAATAAATTTAAAAAAAAAAGAATCAGTTTCTTGGTTCTCTCTCTCTCTTTCCCCTTTGCTCATTTGTTTTGTTTCTTACAGTCCACATATGAGTGAAACCATATGGTATTTGTTTTTCTCTGACAGACTTATCCCGCTTGGCACTATACTCTGTAGCTCCATCCACGTAGTTGCAAAGGGCAAGATTTCATTCTTTTTTTGTGGCTGAATAATAAATATTCCATTGCATATATATACCATATCTTCTTTATCCATTCATCAATCAATGGAAACTTGAGCTACTCCTGTATCATGGCTATTGTGAGTAATACTGCTATAAACATCAGGGTGCATGTATCCCTTTGAATATGTATTTTTGTATTTGGGTAAATACCCAGTAGTGTGATTGCTGGATTGAAGGGTGGTTTTTATTTTTTAATTTTTTTAAATGTTTATTTATTTTTGAGAGTGGAGAAGCAGAGAGAGAGGGAGACACAGAATCCGAAGTAGGCTCCAGGCTCTGAGAGCCTGACATGGGGCTAGAACTCAAGAAACGTGAGATCATGACCTGAGCCGAAGTCAGACGCTTAACCAACTGAGCCACCCAGGTGCCCCAAAAATACATGATTTTAAATGTAACATATACTTTTAAAGTCCTTTAAATCATTCCACAAATAATAATGGAGCATCCATTATGTACCGGTTACTTCGGTATCTGCCAGAGTACAGCAGTGGAAAGACAAAAGTTCTGCCCCTGTGAAGCTTACATTCTTACAGGGGAAACAGACTATAAGCAAATAAACAGTAAGTAAGTGAGATAATTTCAATGTATACTGAGTGCTATAAGGAAAACAAGCAGGATGGCATGATGGAGAAGGACTTTGGTGGTAATGGAGAGTATAAGCAGAGTAGTCAAGGAAATCTCTAAAGAGACAATGTTACCACCAAAATTTAGAAGATGATCTATCTACTAGAATTTCATTCGGTAGCATGGAATAGAAACCTAACTGCAGTATCCTAATCAAATAGTGATTACTTTTTCACATAACTGCCAAGCCCAAAGGAGGAAGTCCAAGTCTGGTGCAATGACTCTGTGATGTTATCAGTGTACTAGTCTTCATCTAACTTCTCTAAGGAAGCTTCTGTCCACTGCTCAGTGGCTCTCAAACTTCAGCATGCTTAAGACCCACCTGAAATAGTAGTTGACACAGATTACTGGGACCTAACCTCAGAGTTTCTGATTCAGTGGGTCTGGGGTGGGGCCCGGTAATTTGCATTTATAACAAGTTCCCAGGTGATGCTGAGACTGCTGATCTGAGGACCACATCTTGAGAGCCTTTGCTTTAGCCTCACATCCATTTCCATGGCAAGAAAACGCAGAAAGAGAAGGGGAAAGGTAAAGGATACAGCTGGTGTGGCTCTTTTAAAATGCTGGGGCACCTGGGTGGCTCAGTCCGTTAAGCGTCTGACTTCAGCTCAGGTCATGATCTCACAGTTCAAGCCCCCATCGGGCTCTGTGCTGAAAGCTCAGAGCTCGGAACCTGCTTCAGATTCTGTCTCTCCCTCTCTCTCCGCTCCTCCCCCATTAATGCTCTGTTTGTTTCTGTCTCTCAAAAATAAATAAAAGTTAAAAAAAAATTTTTTTAAATGCTTCCCAGGAGGCCATGCCTAGTAACTTCCACTTATATCCTAATGACCAGAAATGTATCACTTCTAGCTACAGTGGAAGCTGGGAGGTCAAATATTTTAAATGAGATATTGCTGTCCCAATAAAATCAGTTTCCTGTTGGTGAGGAAGAAGGGGAGGATGGCTTATTGGGTAGGCATCTGTGGAAGCCACATATGAGAGGAAGCCAGTCATGCAAACCTATAGGAAAAGCATATCAAGCAAAGGAAACTGCAATTGCAAAAGCCTTGAGTCCAGAAAGTGACTTAGGAAGGAGACAGTAGAGGCACATGTTGAAGAGGTGACCAAAGATCAGATCACAGAAGTCATGGTAAGGAATTCAGATTTTTATTTGAATTACAATAGCAAATCATCAAAAGGTGTTAAGTAACTGAATAAAATATTTTTTTTTATATTTGAGATTACTTCAAAAATTATTTTTACAGATACTCATTATTTTATACAAGTGCATAAATGTGATTGTATTTTTTAAGTACAGCCTTTTTTTTTTTTTTGCGAAGGCCCGTCTCATTGTTCTCCCCTCTCCCTGCCTCCATCCACATTATTCACCCCACTCACCTGCTTAGTAACCAAGTATGCATCCTTCCACTTACCATCATTCTCAAACATCTGTACATATATGTGTGTGTATGTATATGTTCCTGTTTTATAAAAACGGGACCATATTATGTATGTTTTTCTGTATGTCGCTTTTCTCCTTCAAAAATAGTAGAAATACTTCCAAGTAAACTAATTCATTTTTCTTATTAAAGGATCCATAGTATTCGAAAGTGTGGGGCAGAACCACTACATACATGTAAATAGTTTATGCACCACACAACTCATAATTTACGTGCAAGGACCTCGAGTTGTGTAGTATGTGATGGCCTTGGTTGTGAATATATTTATTATGGTTTATTCAACATTCTTATATTGATAGTGTCTTTTGATCCAGTTAGTCAAAGTGTCGTTTAGTTTTTCTATGCCCTTGCTGTTTTTCTGTCTTCTAATTCTGTCAGTTCCTGAAAGAGGTATATTGAAGTTGCCAACTGTAACTATGAGTTTGTCTATTGTTTCTGTCAGGTTTTACTTCTTGTATTTTGAAGCTTTGTTGTAGATGTACATATCTTTAGGATTTATGTCTTCTTGGTTATTTAACCCTTTTATCATTGTGCAGTGTCTCTCTTTAGCCTTACTAATTTTCTCTGCTCTGAAATCTATTTTGTCTGGTGTTTATATAGCTAACCCAGTTTTCTTTGGATTTGTGTTTACCTGGGTGTGTGTGTGTGTGTGTGTGTGTGTGTGTATTTCATCTTATATTATTTTTTATGTTTACCTTATTTTTGAGACAGCACAAGCAGGGGAGGGCCAGAGAGAAAGAGGAAGACACAGAATCTGAAATAGGCCACAGGCTCTGAGCTGTTAGCACATCATGACCTGAGCCAAAGTCAGACACTTAACCAACTGAGCCACCCAAGTGCCCTCATCTTTTTATATTTATATAAATTATGTATAATTATATTTGATACAAGTTTTTTATAGATAGCATACAGTGGATTATTTTTTAAATACTTTCTGACAGTCTCTTTTAATTGGCATATTTAGACCATTTACCTTTTTTTAAAAAATGTTTTAATGTTTTTTAATTTATTTTTGAGAGTCAGAGAGAGACAGCGCAAGCAGGGGAGGGTCAGTGAGAGGGAGACACAGAATCTGAAGCAGGCTCCAGGTTCTGAGCAAGGTGTCAGCACAGAGCCTGACACGGGCTCGAACCCACGAACCATGAGATCATGACCTGGGCCGAAGTCAGACATTTAACCGACTGAGCCCCCCAGGCTCCCCTAGACCATTTACCTTTAATGTCATTATTTATGTTTGGACTTAGGTCTACCATTTTATTCCATTTTTCCTTTCTGTTTTTGTTACATTGTTCTTTTCTTTTTAAAATTTTTTATTATTTATTTATTTTTGAGAGAGAGAGACATGTGTCTTCACTCCAAGCATACAAAGACCTCCATGTTCATTCCAAACATGCCTTCTGCTGCAACACTCACCCACCAGATATCTGCATACTCCCTCGCTTCCCTTGGGCCTTTGCACAACTCACCTTATCATAAAACAATGTTCTTCACTATCACTTTTTAGTCTTTATTTCTATTTCCTTTTCTTCACAGCACTTCTCACCATGTGACATTTTGCTGTTGCTTACTTATTGTGTTTCTTTCTCCTTTAGAAAATAAACTATATGAAAATCAGACTTTATTTAGGAACTAAGTACATACCTAATTGTGTCCAGTTCGCCCCAAAGGAATTACTGAAGAAATCATAATAAACCTGAATTTACACTTTAGGGAGTTCTAATCCAATCTAAGTTATATATGTATACACACACATACACAAATCTATAAAATGAATGAACATTGAGGTCCTTTCATCATAGGAGGTATATCCAGAAAATATGAGAACTGTTTGGGAACAAATACCTCCCAGTGAATAACATCCTCAAAGTAGAAACCACGAAGAGACAACCTACTTATTACACTGATGATTACAGTCTGTGACCTATTTTTCTGAAAAGGTCCTTAAATAGACCCTGCACATTTAAGTTATTGGGATACCAAATTATTGTCATAAAGTTGCTTAGTGCACATGAATTAGAACTTGAGGAGGTAGGTACTACTTACACAGCATTATAAATGGCATGTAGCTCTTAGCCTGATGTGCCCCTCTCCTGCAACTGAGATGGGGGGGGGGGCAGTCTCTCCCTGGACAATGCTGGGAGGTTGGGTTGTGCCAACCTCTGCTTCTGAGTTTTTCTTGTCTTGCCATTAGTTCCGGTAGCTCTCTTCTCCTGGGCATAAGCATTGTCTCACATGGCTCATATACATATCTGCGGCTGTTCTTCAAATTTATAAAGATGTCATTGTGATAAGTAAAACCACGTCACTTTTTAGTAGCTCTTTATCACACATATTTCGGTTCAGAGAATTCTAAGTAAAAGGGAGAAGGTACCATGATTTATTTTTTAATATTAAAAGAGGTTGATCTGCATTCTCAGAAAAGTGAGCATCACCATCCTGGGTTGCCAATGAACTTGTGTGATAGTCCACCAAAAGGCTTAAAATACAATTAACTAGATTTCTGCGAATCATATTTCAGGTCCCACATCACCTTACTTGGCGTTGGGAGTGTTTCCACACTTCTGTAGTTTCCTGATTTAAGACCACAGATGGTTAATTACATCCACTTTCTATCTAACAAACTAGGTAAACTCAACTTTATTCAAAGCTGTCGGGAATCTCTAAAGCAAAGAAAACGAGGGAGGAAGGTCAATTAGGTTTCTAGGAGTAGGTTTTGAGGTGGAACTTAAAGAGAGCGGACTTTCACAGAGAAAATGATTTAGAGGGTTTGGAAACGGCTAAAGCATTTATGGAGGGATTGTTAATCCCACTGAGCAGCCCCTAGGATGTATACGGGGCTGTTGTGATGTGAGATAAAGCAGACTGAATCCGCATTACAAAGAATTTTAAACGCCAAGCTGAAGCTTCCGAACTTTGCTCCGCGGGCACCGAGAGCCATCGAAGGTTCTAAGCAGGTGAGTGGCATGACCAGATTAGCTACCGGCATGAGGATCAACGTTGTAATTTCTCCGGCGTCCTCCTCCGACCTCAGCCCGAGGGGCGGGCTTTACGGTGTTGGCTGAGCTGCGGGGCAGCTCCGAGCACCGGGTCGCTCGCTCTGGGCCGACAGGGGTTGACGCGGCCGGGACCGGGCTGGGGCCTCTGAGCCACCGCCAGACGCTGCACCTGGGCCCGGCACGCCCGCCGATTGGACGGCTCGGCGTGACCCGGCTGTATCGCGAGACGAGATTGGCAGCGGCGGGGCCGCATGTGCCCCCGCGCTGGCTTTGTACGCCGAGCCGCCTGCCGGTCCTTTAACAATGGGCGGCGCGAGCGCCCCGGCGCTGGGCCCGAGCTGAGGCCGGCGCTTTGCGGCCGACTGTCCGCATCATGAGCGGGGCCGGCGTCCCCCGCACGCCGGCGGGGCTGGGGCTGTGAGGGCCGCGGTTCCGGGTAAGAGAGGCCGCCGTGGGGACCGGCGGCCTGTGCTGGGCGCGGGGCACCGAACCCACCCGGCCCGGCCTTTTGTTCGCTTTTCTGTGGCCGCGCGATCCCGTGCGCTGCTCTAGGCGAGGTGGAGGCGGCCTGGGTGCGCGCTGGGCCCGGCGGGGGCCGCGGGGAGGTCCCCCGGGGGGAACAAGCGCCCGAGCGGCTGCCGCTGGAATCCGGGGCCGGGCGGGCATTCGTCTGCTGGTTTATCCGAGGGAGGTTTTCGCCTCGGGGGATCTTCGACTGGTGTCAGTCTCTCCGCTGCCCGGGGCCGGCGCGAGAATTCGAACCCGGGACGCGGGGAGCCCCCAGTCCGGCCTCCGCCAGCAGCTTTCTTTGCACGCACCAGGGACCGCGCCTGGGAACTCGGGCCCACGTTGGTCCCCTTTGCCCGGCACCCAGGCCGGTAGTTTTCAGCGCGTGCCCGCTTCCTCCTGACTGGGTAGCTCGGGCCTTAACGCGCGGCATCGGGGAATTGGTTTGGATCGGTGCTGGCTTTAGGACGAGTCAGGTGAAGGGGAGCAGCCACGCAGGGTGGCTTGAGGTCACACCCCTCGGGGAGGGGGCGCTGAGGGTCGTGTGGAGGGAGCCGGCCTTGACCGCGTCTGGGGTGTGTCTTACAGACTGAAGTTGCCGCTTCTGGCCAGGCGCGCCGCCGGGTCCCATGGAGCTGGAGGGGCAGTGGTGGCGGGGACAGCTGGCCGCCGACATTCATCAAGCGCTTCGATACAAGGTAATTTCGATGCCCGGTTTTCCATTCAGTGTTTTGTGCCAGTTAGTATAAATCGCGGCTCCCTGGGAAGTCGAGTCACTAGTTTCCAGACCAGAAAAGGCGAGTTTGGTTATTTGAGGTTAATTAACTCCTGGGTTTCTTCCCTTGGATGTATCAGAAGAACCTGTAACTTAAATGAGGGTGGAGCGTGGTATTTGGGAGAGGTAAGGTGGAACATGGATTTGATACTGTTTTTAAACAGATGTGTGTGCCGGCTTTTTAATGGGCAGGGTAGCCCTGGTTCTGTAGTTGCAGTTGCGTTCCGCTGTTAGATCACATTTGTACATAAATTCCCCAGCCTGTCCACTAACCTGTAAAAGTTTGGACAAGTTACTTAATCTTTTCTTTCCCAATTTCCTCATCTGTAAAATGATTCATAATAATAGAATGAGGCTTGTGGGGAGATTGTGAAGATTAAATGAGTTGATACTGTACATGTGCTTTAGAGCCCTAATAAAGCGATAACTTATTTTCCCTGAGCTCTCCCAGATTTGGGGGCTCTTCAGAATGCCTTAAGGTATGAGTTAGCTGCTCCTTCCAGGTAACATAAGGCAGAAAGTAGACTTTAATACATATTGGGGACGGGGGGAAGGGAACGGGGGTGTTGTACAATTTTCTAGTGCCATGCAAAATTCTGTTAAGTAACAATTTTACTCTGTATATCACATCTCATCATAATGGGTCATCTCTGCCTCTTTGACAACCAGAAGAGAGACCACATCCAAAACTGTCCCTAACTTGACTCAGTTTCACCCTGGATAGAGAGGGCCATTTGTTATGTATAGAAAATGAGAAAGAAGCAAAACAAAAGGGATACTGATGGGGCACCTGGGTGGCTCAGTCGGTTGAGCATCCGACTTTGGATCAGGTCATGATCTCACAGTTCATGGGTTCGAGCTCCACCTCAGATTCTGTGCTGACAGCTCAGAGCCTGGAGCCTGCTTCAAATTCTGTGTCTCAAGCTCTCTGCCCCTCCCCTGCTTGTGCATGTGCATGCTCTCTCTCCCCACCCCCCTCTTTCTTTCTCTCTCAAAAAGAAGTAAGCATTTAAAAAAATAAAAGGGATACTGACTGTTGGAGTTAAGAGTTCCTGGATGATCATGAACTTGTATCTTCACTTTTTTTTTAACCAGATTAATTACATTAGAAAACCTAATGCCGACTTAAATTGTTACAACTGTACCCATTTCTAAGGTTTGAGTTTGAGATTTCTAAATGCTGTTTATTAATTCTGTCATCAATACACCTCAGCCCCCTAAGAGGTTTTTTGTACCACAAAAAAAGTCTCAACTGTGGAATAGTTCTCTGAAATGTTAAGAAAACAGTTTCAGGTTTTCCATATACTTTTGATTTTTTTAAAGATGTGGTCTTTTAGTTTGTTTTAAGTTTATTTATTCATTTTGAGAGAGACAGAGCCAGCAGAGGAGGGGCAGAGAGAGAGGCAGAGAGAATCTCAAGCAGGCAGTGAGGCTGACAACTGGGAGCCCGATGCAGGGCTCAAACTCACAAAACTAGAGATCATGCCCTTAGCCAAAACAAGAGCTAGACGCTTAACTAACTAAGCCACCCAGGCGCCCCTGATCTTTTAGTTTTAAATGTTCTCCTTTTCTAAATGTCAGCCCTTTATCCCTCTGGAATGTGATGAAATTAATTGTTTTTTTGTTTTTTACATTTATTTATTTTTAAGAGACAGAGTGAGACAGAGTGTGAGCAGGGGAGGGGCAGGGAGAGGGAGACACAGAATCTGAGACAGGCTCCAGGCTCTGAGCTGTCAGCACAGAGCCTGATGTGGGGCTTGAACCCACGAACCCATGAGATCATGACCTGAGCTGAAGTCCGATGCTTAACTGACTGAGCCACCTAGGTGCCCCTGAAATTAGTTATTTGATGTTAATGATACTTTTATTTTTTTGAGTGACAGATTTCCATGGTATGGATATTATGTGTAATTTTAATCCTAAGTGATAACTTTGAGTTAATTTTGTCAGTTGAGGTTGGGAGTGGATTTTTTTTTTTCCTAGCAGATTTGTTAAATACTTTGTGTATTAGGCTCTGAGGGTGACTGAAGGAATAAGACACAAGCCTGTACTGGAGTTGCTTATGAACTGTTGGCACACGGGGCCTGAGGGAATGCCACTGAAAATTACCTTGGGTCACCTGTGGCATGCTACCCTGGGTTCTTATTTTATCTTTAAGCACTGTGTAAGTCACAATTGACACAGTGGCCACACTTTGTGAATAATTTATGTTAATTGGTAAAACTTGAACCTTGTGGCACTGGAGAGACCCCTGTTTGTAGTACACTGAAGTCAAGAAAAATTAAAATGAACTTTTCTCATAAAAAAGTTATTTCCATATTATTAATCAGGTGATTTAGTTGGATAGTCATAGGCTTATTTATTTATTTAACAAATTGGAGTACCTGCAGTATATAAGGTACTATGCCAGGTGTTAGAATGGTAATAGTGAATGAGACAGATGTGCCTGTGCCTTTGTGGGGTCTAATCTCCCATAACTTAGCATCTCAATTTAGGTCTTCCTTGGCACAGTTGCCATTTAGACACTGTGAAAGGAATTCTCTGTTTAGATCCAAGGTGTATGGAGGAATAATTGCTTGGACCAGCATTGTATCTACTAGGGAAGGGTAAAAATTACAGCAAATGGAAATTCTCTTCAACCTCAAATCCAGCCGTTCTGTTTTTGGTTTTGTTTTTTTTTTGTAAAATATAACCACTTTCTCCTCTGCGACCCCCCAAAACCCCTATAAAGCAATTTCTTACACCCTTGTGTCTTCTTCTCATGTTGTTATGCTATGTATACTGATGTCTTTGGATGGCTGGGAAGTATTTTCAGGAGTCTTTATGACAGATGGGAACAATGCTAGCTTGTGAAAAACATTCAGAAAATACCCACAGAGTTGTGTTTACATTTGTGAGTATTCCTTCTGTGCCTTTATTTCCATCTTGTCGGGACAGTGGCCCTTTCTGAGAAAGGGATGGCATTTGGGATGGTGAACAGACTAGTCCTTAGACTGGAGAGAGAGATGACATGTTCAGGTCTCAGTACTTTGGTCCCATGGGATCCTGAGAAGCAGACGGGAACAAGAGTGTAAAATTCTAGAGTATCAGGAATAGACATTATAAAAACTTGTTAGCTGAGAGAAGCACAGGTCATTTTTTCATGCTTGCGTAACTGCAGTATCTGGACAAAGAAAACTAAATCTGACAGCCATCTGGTAAGCACTTGTACTTTACCATTTAAAATGAGGTTAGATTTTCTATCTGTGTTCTGTAATATCTTGTGATTATTATATCCTAATAATCTTTGGTTTATTAGACTACACTATCATATTTATATTAAGATTTCCTGATATCAAGCCATCTTTGCATTCCTGAGATACACTACAATTGATGGTGATGTATTCTTTGGATATACTACAAAAATTACATTGGCTAACATTGTATCTAAAGTTTTAGCTCTTATTAGTTTAGACGGATATGTAAGTTCCATTTTTTGTGTTTGTTTATTGTTGTAAAGTTTTCACAATATAAAATTTTAACCATATTTAAGTGGATAGTTCAGTGACATTAGGTATATTTACATTGTGCTACTTTTACCTCTCCATCTTTAGGACTTTTTCATCTTGAACTGAAATGCATTTTTGTTTATCCATTCATATGTTGATGTTTGTTTACACCTTTTGGCTTTTGTGAATAATGCTGTCAGTATAGAGGCACAAATATCTGAGAACCTACTTTCCTACTTTTAATTCTTTTTGGTGTATACCTAAAAGTGGAATTGCTGGATCATATAATAATTCTACATTTAATTTTTTTGAGGAATTGTAGTACTGTTATTCAGTGGCTGTACAATTTTATATTCCTACCATTACACAAAGGTTCCAGTTTCTCACATTATAACCACTTGTTATTTTTGTTTTCTGTGTTTTTTGTTGTTGTTGTTGTTTTTTAATAATAGCAATGCCAGTGGGTTTCAAGTGGTATCTCGTAATGGTTTTGATTTGCATTTCCCTAATGATTAATAATGTTGAGCATCTTTATATGTGCTTATTGGTCATTTATATATCTTTGGAGAAATGTTTATTCAAGCCTTTTGCCAATCTTTAAGCAAGTTGTTTGTTTTCTTGTTGTTGGATTGCACATATAAAAGTTCTTTATGTAATCTGGATATTAAATACCAGATACATGATTTGCAAATATTTTCTTCCATTCTGTGGATTGCCTGTTCACTCTGTTGAAAAGAGTGAACTTTGATGCACAGAAGTTTTAAATTTTGATGAAGTCTAATTTATCTTTTTTTTTTTTTTGCCTGTTCTTTGAGGTCTGTGTAATTTCCTGCTATTGTGATACCTATTAGGTTTCATATTAATATTATGCTGAAATGAATATAGAACCTTTCTATCTTTATGTATGCTCTGGAAATACTTTAACAGTATAGAAAATTTCTAACTTTTGAAAAATGGATTCATATAATTCTGAGATTGAACAAGATGGGAAAAATGTTAGGTATATGAAAAGGTAATGGCAAATGAGAGATTCTAAAACTGCTGAAATGGAAACATGCTTAGAGGATACTAGTGGATGAATACTTGTCTCTACCCTCCACATCTCTGCAAGCGTAATATAGTATGTGATCTACTAGGAGCATATTCACTGCCTGTTACTTTCTACCCCAAAGCTTTGAGCCTCCTGGTGGGAGTGTGTATTTGTGGTGTGGTTGGGTTTTTTGTAAAAAAATGTTTTACTGAAAACACTCGGTAGGGAAAACACGCTATACAAAAGTCTTGCTGGAATATATCCCTTCCATAATACAAGAAACATATATAATTTTGTCACATCACAGATGATTAAAAATAAGGAGAAAAGTTTGGTTTTAAATGTTAAATGCCATTCATTATCCTTCCACTCAGCTTTTTCAAATTTGTGTTTCCTTCAAGAAGTGTGTTAGCCACTTGTAACACTAATATATTGAGGGCAAAAGTTGTCTTTTTTGTAGGGATACTACTTCTACAGGCCATGTTAGACTAAATGTTGTTCCTCTTGATTTAGGAGCTGAAGTTGCCTTCCTACAAAGGCCAGTCCCCTCAACTAAGTCTCAGAAGGTATTTTGCTGACCTGATAGCCATTGTGAGCAATCGCTTCACCCTCTGCCCTTCTGCCCGACATCTTGCTGTCTATTTGCTGGACTTATTTATGGATCGGTATGACATCTCTATCCAGCAGCTGCATTTAGTTGCACTTTCCTGTCTGCTTCTAGCAAGTAAGTATGAACCTCATCTACATGACTAGAAGTTTCCATTGTTTAGAATAAAATAGATTCATATGGAGCTCAGTGAAACATCACCAAGTTCCATTCATTCCAGTTGACTAATATCAGAAAGTTTATGTCGAAAGTGCTTCTTGGCATAATCATTCTTTTTTTTTTTTTTTCTTTTTTACAAATAGTTTGTTGTCAACTTGGTTTCCATATAACACCCAGTGCTCATCCCAACAAGTGCCCTCCTCCATGCACATCTCCCCCCTCCCCCCCCACACCCATCAGTCCTCAGTTTGTTCTCAGTATTCAAGAGTCTTTCATGGTTTGCCTCTCTCCCTCTCCCCCACTATTTCCCCCATTCTTCTCCCCCTTGGTCCTCCATTAAGTTCCTCCTAATCCTCCTATATGTTAGCATAATCATTCTTAACTAGACATTAAAAGACTAGCTCTGAAGTCTTTTAAAAACTTAGGTGTTTAAGCCCTACATCCTGAAGATTGTGATGCAAATGTCTAGGCCACTCCAGATCTATTGACTCAGAATCTTTATCATAGGGCTTGAGTTCCAAAGCTGATTCTGATATACCTTTCTATTTGAGAACCATTGCCTTAAAGTTCTCAACGAGGAAAAACCGCCCCCAGGAAATAGTTGGCATTGGGTGGAGACAGTTTTGGTTGTCATCACAATCTGGGAGGATGATACTAGCATCTAATAAGTAGAGGGCCGGGATGCTACTAAATATCTACAATGCACAAGGCAGCCCCCTGCCTCCCCCCAGTAAAGAATTTCTGGCCCAAAATGTCAGTGGAACTGAGGTTGAGAAATTCTAAAAGGTACTATAGTCTTGTCTTGTGTTTTTAGAATACCTTTTACTGACTACATAATGAGTTGGCCTAATGAACTGAAGGTTCACAGGCAGCTTCTACAAATGGGAAAGACTTGGCACAGCTCAGTGGTGGCCTGCAAGGTAGACTCTGATAAATCATGTTCTTTACCTGATGCAGCATGATGGGTCTTTTGGTGCCTTTTTCTCTTAGTTTCTTCCTGTAACTCATTTTATTGTTAGTATCTTGACTGAAGAGAAAGAGGGTGAGTAAAGGAATTATAATTGGGTTTTTCTTTTAGTGATGTCATTTACAGTAGAAATGTAATCCCCACTTCAGAGTACTGTCTTCATGGGATCTTGTGTGGGTGCTGTCTAAGGAACATTCCCCCTATATGTTACCACCAGAGCTCTTTCTATAGCAGTTTTGTGCTTTGACTGAAAGTAAACCTAAAACCAAATTCAGGCCTGTGTGATAATCCTTTCTGGCACTAATTTCTTCTCAGATTTTCTTTTTCTACCCTTATTATTCCTTTGATCTGACAACCTCAACTGCTTACTTTGTCTCCTTGGAGGTTTTTTTTGTAAGTTATTTCAAATTCTTTGTGGACCACACTGAATATTCACAGCCCCAGGGGTGATGTCACCTGCTCGTTGGTTAAGGTAGAAACTCCTTAATGTAACACTTAGAACCTTGCATCTGGTCCCAGCTACCTTTCCAGTCTTCTCTTCGCACCCTATTCCCATGCATCTTGAGACAAATTCTTACCAGAGTACTATTTTCTGAAAGTCTATATTTCTCCTTTAATCGGTTGTCCTCTAAGATCCTGACACATCACCTACTCCTCTCCCCCTACCCAGAACACTGGAGAGGTAATACTTGTACGTTTATAATTAACCTTTAATTTAACCTTTAATTAAAGTTTCATTCTCATAAGCAATCTTGTGTACAATTTTGTATGTGTTTCATCACTGGCTGTGAAGCCCTTTGTGGTTTCATAGTTGGCATAGGACTGGAAGAACCCATACTTGACACATCGGATGTATGAGGATCCACAAATGGAATGGCTTCTTATCCTACAAAATGTTAGTTTATAACTGGATCAGTTTATAATAGACACTGGAAATCACGTACACAGGTTAGGTTATTTTATTTTATTAAAAAAAAATTTTTTTTAATGTTTTATTTACTTCTGAGAGAGAGAGAGGCAGCATGAGTAGGGGAGGGTCAGAGAGAGAGGGAGATAAAGGATCCGAAGCAGGCGCCAGGCTCCGAACTAGCTGTCAGCACAGAGCCCGACGCGGGGCTCGAACCCACAAGCCCTGAGATCATGACCTGAGCTGAAGTCGGACGCTTAACTGACTGAGCCACCCAGGAGCCCCAGGTTAGGTTATTTTAAAAACTTAAGATCATTAATGAAATATGATACTGCCTCTTGTGGCCATCACTGCTTTTACTGCTACCAAGCCCCATCTTACTTTATGCCTGAGATCCTTAATAGTGGTACAGACCAAGTGGGAGATTATTCCTGGTGAACTGTGAAATTAGGAGTGATGCCAAGTCAGTTCATAGACTGGCTTAACATTTGTGACTAAAGTTTACTTACTGGTAACTTACCAAATGACTTAGGGGGTCACTAAACTAGATATTCTTAAACTACATGTTATTGCTGAAGTTCAGTGGGTACTCTAGTTGAATAATCTAAGATTTCTGGCCACCATGCCATGTTTAGCATTGGTGCCAAGTTTTTGCCATTTCCATAATTTGGGGAAAAGATACTTTATTTGTGTACCGTCTTAGGGTGATTTAAATGGAGCTTTTAATTGTTCTTGTTTTTTTAATTATCTGTTACTGTTAGTTTAAGATTATGATGAATTTATTTTATTGAAGATGATTTTTGCACATTTTCCAGGAACTAGCTTTAGGATTTGTATTTGCTGTAGTTTAAATATGAATTGTTGATCAGCTATTGCTGAGAGTCAGATACTCCTCCCTTTGTTCTGCTGACATCCCCTAATCTTTCTTTCCTGAAAGAGAATTGTTTTTACATTGTTCTTTTCCACTGGATAATGAAGAGTGTGAGATAGGTATCCCCCAGGGTCTCAGCCCCTCCAAGTAGGCAGTGGTCAAGAGTTTAACCTGTTAGCTCTTTTTTTTTTAATATTTTATTTTTGAGAGAGACAGACTGCAAGTGGGGAAGAGGCAGAGAGAGGGAGACAGAATCTGAAGCAGGCTCCAGGCTCTGAGCTGTCAGCACAGAGACTGACTTGGGGCTTGAACTCCCCAACCGTGAGACCATGACCTGAGCTGAAGTTGGTTAGGTTTCATAAACTTTGTTTAAGTCCTGCTTCTCTCCTCCCAGGATGATTGAACTCTGTTATGCTCACCTTCCCCCTCTGCTCCCTGCTTTAGGATAAGCAACCTGTTGTGTAAAAGTGAAGAACAGCTTGCAGCTGACAGGATGGAGGGACAGTGGATTCTGCATATTAAATAGGATGGGAGGCTGTCAGTAGTTTGGCCAAAGATGGGGGCATATCTTGAGTTCCAGGTAATATCCGCATCCAGCTGCCTGCATGTCTGCACTGTTGGAGGTAGGAGGAAAGGTCCAACAGGCTGTCGCTGATGAGAGAGCAGTGCAGTGTGTTAGGGTAGCGATTTCAGTGGTGAATTTCCTTGGTTGGAATCTGTTGTTAGCAATATGCATTTCAACAACCCTTAAGTCTAAAGTTACTTGTCTTTAGAATGAAGATAAAGACACTTAACTGATAAAGTTGTTGTGAGGATCAAGTAGGGTAGATGTTTAAAAACACATGGGAAATTGAAACATAAATGTTAGCATCATAACGATTAATTCTTCCATAAACTCTTCTATAATCTTTAGTCTGACTCCCTAGCTCTAAAGATTCTGGCTCTTTCCAGAAAAGTCTGTGATTCATCCTGGGAAATTCTTAAATTCTGATTCTTTGTCATGTATACCCTGGCTTCCCTTGGCTTCTGTGATCAGCACTGAACTTGTCGAGAGCACGGGAGCAGTCTTGGATATGAGACTTCTGATAATTTGGTCAAGATATAGTGTAACTAAGAAATGATCTCAGAATCAGGATGAAGCCAAAAGTAAGATCATAGGCTATTAGTTATGAAAATCTGTGACAAGTGCTTATTTCTCCTTGCTTATCAGTAATGGGTTGACAAAACTTTTTACTTTATTATCTAAAAAGTGAAAATTTTATCTCATAGTTGACTTGATTTACATCTTTTTAATGAGAATACTTACCTTTTTTTTTAAATGTGAATAGAACTTTTTTCCCCTATGAATTGCCTCTTTCTGTTCCTTGTTTTTCTCTTAGATTGGTAGTCTAACAAGTTTGTGAAAATTCTTAGTATATATCAAAGATGACTAGTATATATCAAAGAGCGTACAGTGACATAGGATCCTGGCTCCTTCTGCATGTATTTGCCATTCACTGCTGGCTTTGAAAATGTGCTGGTTTCCATAGCTGATCTGAGCATTTCCTATAAAGGAAAGAAAGCCTGATGTTTTGTTTCTGTGGCGTCTAATTCTTTATTTTCTGGGAAGCAGATGTGAATTTCCTGTGCCCTTATTTCCTGTTTGGGGCCTATATCAATATAATCACATGGCTTCTGGTATTTCCTTTCAATTGAAGAAACTGATCTTTGTGATCTGTATGTGGTATTGCAGATAAGTAGATTTAAAATAACCATGCCCATAGCTTTCAGCACAACAAAAATGATGGCTATGAATGCAGGTACTCACACTGTCACACATTTTTAAGTCTTTTAATATCTATGTATGAGAGTATATCTCTATCTATAATGAAAAAGTTCCAAAAAAACTTAAGCCTGAATAAAATCCCAATTATGGTTATTATGCAGTACACAGGTGGTTTTTCACTTTGCAAGTCAAGGTGCAAAGGCTTTCACACTTGTAATCGCCAAGTACTTTATAAATACAGAAACCCCATAGATGTTTAATAATACAGAATTCTGTCTATTTTGATAGTTGTTTTCCCCATATAACCTAGTGCCATACTTTCATCTAGAAGTACCAATTTGGGAATTCAAACATGAGTCTTCCTTTTGGCTTCCATTTTTGGTTTGGTTCAACTTACTTGACCTTGAATGAATCAACCAACTTCACTGCCTTGGTTTTTTGAGCTTTGAAACTGGTCTTAGACAATTTTGTTTTCAGTGTTGAAAGTTTCAAGGAGATAATACGAAACATTCTTGATCCTTGAATTAAACAGTGAATTATAGTGTATTAATTTCTTCAAAGGAACTTCAAGCATGATGTAAATAAACACATTAATTTTTATGATATTCCTTTGAAGTACACTGCGGGTGTTGCTGCTGCTACACAAATGGCAGGGTACTTTGAAAACCTTAATGATTCATCCAGAGGGATTGGACTAAATTCCTGGGACATTCTCCACTCTGACACTGAGAACAGGGGGTTCCTTTTCTGTATCTCTATGCAATGATTATACTCGATGGCCAGCTCATAAAGACCACTTCAGTGCCCTCAGCCCTACAAAGTATATCGTATCGGAAACACCTGTGAAATTCATCTGTATGTGATTTGAACTGGGAGGGGCTGTCTAGATTCTTTAAAAGTCTGAATTGTATTGGTTTTTTTTGTTTGTTTTTTTATCAGCTCCTCCCCGTAGCAGTATATAGTTAAGAGTAATTTAGATCTAAAGATATTGAAAATTTCTGAGGCAGGAGAAAAATTCTCTTTGGGCTTGGACTCACCTAGTGTAGAAGACCACTTACCCCAGTTCCTCTATTCCCCAAGCACAGACCCAAGGTAGCCAGCAGTGCTTTTTCAAAACAGTGAAACAAAAAATTTTGTATAGTTAATATATAGCATAGTCTAACAACTATAATTCTGAACAAGTATAAAAGCTATTGTGAGAAATCTATATGATAGATTGTATTACATACAATACAATTAGAAATAATTGTAATATTATATGATTGTTTTAATGTAAAATAGAACATAATACTAGAAACTTTAGTTAATAATTTCCCTTCTTCTGTGACCAAATCCAAAGAGACTTGAAGACAATTCTTCAGTTTTTTTTGTTTGTTTTTTTTAATGTTTTATTCATTTCTAGGAGAGAGAGAGAGAGAGACAGCGTCAGCAGGGGAGGGTCAGAGAGAGAGGGAGTCACAGACTGAAACAGGTTCCAGGCTCTGAGCTGGCAGTCAGCACAGAGCCCGACGCGGGGCTCGAACCCACGAACCACGAGATCATGACCTAAGCGAAAGTCGGACGCTTAACCGACTAAGCCACCCAGGCGCCCTGACGGTTCTTCGGTTCTAATGCTGCATCTGGAAAACCAGACTAGTACTGGATAGTTTGAATTTTCTCCAGCCGTAAGTTCTAGAGATCCCCTAAAATGAATGATTTATATACAGGAAAATTAAAGTATAAGATGGTACATTAATAATCTATAGAAACATTATTCTGGGGCTGGAGAGGGAATTTTATTCCTCAGCTGTACATTTAGATGAATATTTCCTGAAAAGAAGTTAATGCCTTGGAATAATAAAATACAGCCATCAGAATGTCTGCTGTTTTGCAGGGAGATACAAAAGTATATATAAAGTATTCTCCTGTCCTTTTTTTGGTAAAAGACATAGCTAGGTTTTGTTTGAATTCAGGAGAGGACACTTTTCTGTGGAATGAAAATGACTATTAGATATTCACCCAGTTTTTTCTCCTACTACCTCTCTCTAGAATTGAGATTGTGCTGAAAATAAGCCAGGATAAAACACTTGAAGTTTTTATTTATTTATTTTGCAGGAGGAGGGGGGGGAAAGACCAGGAGAGGGACAGAGAAAGACTTCCAAGCAGGCCTTGCTCTGTCAGCACAGGGCCCAGTGCGGGGCTCAAACTCAAAACCTAAGATGACCTGAGCCAAAACCAAGAGCTGGGTGCTTAACCAACTAAGCTACTAAGGCACCCCTAAAGCCTAGCAATTTTTTATTTCAGATAACTCCATGGCATGAAATTCTTTAAACTTCTTCTATTCTGAAATAAAAACCTGCTGGGGTCCCTGGGTGGCTTAGTGAGTTAAGCGTCTGACTTTGGCTCAGGTCATGATCTCGCGTTCATGGGTCCGAGCTCCACATCAGGCTCTGTGCTGAGAACTCAGAGCCTGGAGCCTGCTTTGGATTCTGTGTCTCCCTGTCTCTCTGCCCCTCCTCAACTCGTTCTCTGTCTCTGTGTCTCTCAAAAATAAGTATTTAAAAAAAAATTTTTTTTATAGTTTATTTACTTTTGAGACAGAGACCGAGGACGAGTGGGGGAGGGGTAAAGACAGAGACACAGAATCTGAAACAGGCTCCAGGCTCTGAGCTGTCAGCACAGAACCTGACGCAGGGCTCAAACCCACAAATGAGATCCTGACCTGAGCTGAAGTCAGGTGCTTAACTGACTGAGCCACCCAGGCGCCCCTTGAAAATAAATATTAAAAAAAGTTTTTATTTATTTATTTTTTAATTTTTATTTCTCGGAGAGAGAGAGAGAGGGACAGCATGAGCAGGGGAGGGTCAGAGAGAGGGAGATATAGACTCTGAAATAGGCTCCAGGCTCTGAGCTGGCAGTTAGCACAGAGCCCGACGCGGGGCTCGAACCCACGAACCGCGAGATCATGACCTAAGCGAAAGTCGGACGCTTAACCGACTAAGCCACCCAGGCACCCTTAAAAAAAGTTTTTAAATAAAAGCCTGTTCTTCCATTGACCACTCACCAAAAGAAATTTCCTGGAAAGATTGTGCTGGTGATTTGAGAGTTATTGTTTCGTTGGCACATATGACTGTTTTCATTACATAGTATGACATAGAGCAGAATGTTTACATGTTTCATTCTTTTTTTAGAGGTGGGTAGGGGTTAGGGGATGGTGACACAAGGAGAAAAAGCCTACAAAATATGAGAACCAGAGTTTTGGCACACTTGTTTCTGCCCAAGGGAGGAGAAAGAATGTCTTTGGATCTAAGTCTTTGCAGTAAGACAGCAAATCCCATTTAAGTGACCAGACCTATAAAGATCACTTGTGTAACATTTACCCTCTCTGTCTTTCCCCCCTTTTCTTATAAGGTAAATTTGAAGAAAAAGAAGATAGTGTGCCTAAGCTGGAACAGCTCAACAGCCTGGGTTGTATGACTAATATGAATCTAGTATTAACAAAGCAAAATTTGCTACATATGGAACTGTTATTATTAGAAACCTTTCAGTGGAACCTCTGCCTTCCAACAGCTGCCCATTTCATTGAGTATTATCTCTCTGAAGCAGTACACGAAACAGATCTTCATGATGGCTGGCCAATGATTTGCTTGGAAAAAACTAAACTCTACATGGCCAAGTATGCAGATTACTTCCTGGAAGTATCTTTGCAAGGTGAGTCATTGTGGACGCCAGTAAGTGACTTGTGATCTTGTGACTTGTGTATTCTGTTGCTTAAGTTCATTTTTGATGTCTCCACAGATTATGCCTTTCTAAATTATGCACCTTCTTTAGTAGCTGCTGCGTGTGTGGCTTCTTCAAGGATTATACTTCGTCTTTCTCCAACATGGCCTACAAGACTGCATCGTCTTACTGCTTATTCCTGGGATTTTTTAGTGCAGTGCATTGAACGGCTGTTGATGTAAGCCTCCTTAGTCTTGTGTTTGTGATTTCTCAGTTCTTTTCTTCATGTACAAGGTCCTGAAAAGAAGCTTTTTAAACAGTTTTTCTTAATGTTTATTTTTGATAGAAAGAGAGTGAGTACAAGTAGGGGAGGGGCAGAGAGAGAGGGAGACACAGAATCCGAAGCAGGCTCCAGGCTCTGAGCTATCAGGGCTCGAACCCATAAAACAAGAGATCATGACCTGAGCTGAAGTCACTTAACCAACTGAGCCACCCAGGTGTCCTTCTAAAAAGAACTTCTTAAAAGCACAGAGCTTTTAGGATATTGGTTCTGACAGTTGCTAGCTGCCATGAGCAAGCCATTTTATGAGTAGTACTTGGTGGAAAACTATACTTTGGCTGTTTTTCAGTGAGAGGCTCTTCATTGCTCTCGTGATTTGGGGTACATGATAAGGAAAGGAGTTGCTCTTACATGAGACCACAACTCATCAGTCCAGGCAAATCTTGCCCTTTTCCCCATTTCCACATCTTTAAATTGTGGGACCACCAGGATGTCACCAAAGTGGCAGCCATGTTTAAGTGCTTATCGTGGAAAAGTTTCCCAAGCTGGAAATAGGCCTCAGAGCTACCAGCAGCCAGTTCCCAAGGTTTGTGCTAAGGGAAGGAGCTTTTAGAAGGATGAGAGTAAAATCTCACTGTTGTTTAAATTATGGTTACAATTACTGCTACCTGCTCAGTGGGGCAGTCCATGGAGTAAACTGTTGAAGAGTTGAAGTAACATTGTAATTTTTTTAATGTTTATTTATTTTTGAGAGACCAAGCATGAGCAGGGTAAGGGGCAGAGAGAGAAGGAGACACAGAATCCAAAGCAGGCTCCAGGCTCTGAGCTGTCAGCAAAAAGCCCAGCGCAGGGCTCGAGCTCCACGACTGCAAAATCATGACCTGAGCCGAAGTCGGCTGTTTAACTGACTGACCCACCCAGGCGCCCCGAGTTAAAGTAATATTATTAACAGTTTTCTTTCTCTCCATGCAGTGCTCACGATAATGATGTGAAAGAGGCAAACAAACAGAGAGGACAGGCAGGATCCCAGCCAGCACAGCTGAGTGTGTTCCAGTCAGCCTCCCAGCCCTCGCGGCCAGTTCACTTTCAGCAGCCTCAGTATCTCCATCAGACGCATCAGCCCTCGCTGCAGTATCGGCATCCTGTATCGGAACAACCAAGCTGTCAGCAGATTGTATCTACCACACACACCTCATCTTACACACTACAGACGTGTCCTGCTGGCTTCCAAACTAGTGTTCAGGGCCTTGGGCATGTGCAAACTGGTGTTGGGATGTCCCTGGCAATACCAGTAGAGGTTAAGCCCTGTCTGAATGTTTCTTATAACCGGAGTTATCAGATAAATGAACATTACCCTTGTATTACTCCGTGCTTTGAAAGGTGATTTTATGGGAAGGTAATACCTGACCCAGACTGTTTGTGACTCGAAGTTCTGGGGCAAGCTTTTTGTAAACTTCTCTTCAAAAGGAAAGGGATCCAGATTGCATCAGAACTCTTCAGATACCAGCATCTGCCAGGAAGACTGAAAACCCCTTTCAGCGCACCACGAGTACCTGGGAGGACCGAATAAACACCACAAACACTGTAACAGTATGTATATCGAATCCTGTTGAAACACATCCCTATATGACAAAAATTCTCAAGCCCTGGCTGACGGTCCAAATATTTCAAAAATACTCACTACAACAGAAAATTTGGACAGACTCCAGATCGCCATTTTGAGATTGGCCTGTGGTAGGCTCTGGGCCAGTGTTGGCTTAGAGGTCAGAGACTAATGTTTATCTGTGGACTTGCCAAATGGTCTTTTTATGAAGGAAAGTTACAGTATTAAGTTTTGAAGAGGTCCTTTTTTTTTATTCTGCAGTTTTGAGTTATATTTTTGATCCACAAATGAATTTTTTACTAAGTTTAAACTTCTGAATTGCTATGCTATACCAATCTGTGCAGTAAAAAAAATTTTTTTAGATGATTCTATATAATCCTATCACAATATAAGTATCTGGATTTATGTACTAAAATTAAGGGTGGATTAACTCTCTTAAAATCATGCTCATAAGTTTTTCTTATTTTTTTCCCCGAAGTAATCAACCTCAGTCAGATCTTTAGAATTAAAACACATTTAACTCAGGGAATTTGTACTACTTGGAAACACTTAACTGTAATGCAACACACTTTGGGAATGTTATAGAATGAACTACCTTTATAACATAGGTTAAAATACTCTTGCTAGGATGTTTTCACATGAGAACATAATTGTAGCTTGAATGAATGAAGTGGTTCCTATCATTCATAATACATATAGAGGTTTTGCATTTCTCGGTGCAATCAATGACTTATACTCAGAATTGATGTTACTCTAGAAGTTTTTTCAAGGGAAGACATAACTGTAAACTGTCAGTACTAGAATGAAGTCCTGTAGGTTTATTTTGAAATGGAATGTGGCCCAGGGTAGTTCTCAGGTTGTGCTAGAGCAGCACTTTGTTACATGGAAGACAAGTTTTATAAGCAGCCTTTCCATCCAGCCAGTCAGTGTAAGCAGGTAAAAGAACTGATTACTAAATTTCAGTAGCCACTTTCATTACGTTGGCCACAGAACTGCCCTGGGACATTTTGCTGTGTTGGTCACGAGTGAAAACAGCAATAATAAGTCATTACAGCAAAGGCAATTTAGGGGGAAAGAATTCAGAGGGAATAAAAAGGTAAAAAGAATGAAAGCATTGTAATAACTGAAACTGTATACATTGTGCTCTTATCTGTGAGAGAAGAGAGATTTGGTGGAGGGAAGCTTTCTGATTTAAAGATTAGTAAGGTGTGTCTTTTTGTTTGTGTGTTCTTTTTTTTTTTTTAAAGATAGCACTTGAATAGAAGGGAACTTGCATGGCAGGTATGTGACTGCCACAATATGCATTGAAGACAATATTATAAAGACGGTGTGGGTATGCAGCAGGAGTCTCAGTAATCAAGCCAATGGCTTTTGGTAGGAAGGGAAGGGACTCAATGCAGTAGTGGACTGACCCCGATAGCTCCCGTGGGTAAATGTGGGTGGGTGGCTTCTGCCAGCGTGAATTCTTATGTCCTTTCCTTCAAAGAATGGTAACTTGTATAATTAGAGTACATACAGCATGATGTGGATTTATTAGTCTGGTAGATTAAAAACCACTCAGGTAAGAACAGTCACTCATGGCAGTTTTCAAGCATGAAAATTGTTTTCTGAAAGTATCATCACTTTTCCTCTTAGAAGGCTGCTAATTGGATTTTGGTAGTTCTTACCTCAAGAGAGCTTGAATTATTTGGGGGAAAGTGGGTTCAAAAGAGAATATATCTTTCACATTCACATTCAGAACCCAGCACCTGGAGCCCAGTTTTCAGTATTTTAACTACCTCAATAATGCTATGAATGTAAGATACTGGGATAGAGATCCCAACTTGAAACAACAGCCGGTGCCTATGGTAACTTAATGTCTTGTCAAATGCTTTTATTGATTGGTTTAAATGTCATTCTTGTTATAGAAGAATATGCCTTTTAAAAAAGCTTATAATCACTTTCCCAGTTTATATTTAAAAAAGCTAAAGAACACTGGATTAATTTGGGGGGGTAGAATAAAATAATTAATTGGTTATATTGCTGCATACCCGGGGTGGGGTGGGGTGGTTGGAGAATCAGAACTATTTTTAAAACATTAGGTTTCAATATAAATACAACTCACAACTGCTAGCCTTGGGGAATGGGGGTGGGGGGAGTTGTGTGGGTTTTGTTTTGTTTAATTTATTGGTTAGTCTTTAAAGTAGGTCTTTTTTTTTTTTTTTTTTTGATTACTGGACCATCATTAAATATGTACTGTGAAGAGATTAATGATATGTATAAAGGGCTTTACCAAAGTCCACTAAATAAACACTACTCAAGTACAGACTGCAAACCAAAATGTATCTGTGTTGTGACATTAATTGCAAATAGTGAGTATGGTGCTAAATTCTACACCAATGGAATTAGATGAGTGCTATGCACTTAATTTTAAAATAAAACTAGTTTTCAGTAAAATGGCTTTAGTGTTTTGTTTTAAATATAAATTTGATATGTGTTCGTAGTGTCAGTGAGCCACGTCATCATGTTACTCACACTTGGAATCCTAATTATATTTACTCAAAGCCATCCAGACATAGAGTATAACCAAAGTGGTAGGAAACATTTGCCCATTGATTATGTCTTCCATACTGAGTATACACAAAAGTACATTGCACACGGGTTTTGGCCTTTTGAGCTTAAAATCAGTCAGTGTATTAGCAATCACAGCTTCTAATTTATTGAATAACAATACATACTTCAGAAAATTTGAAGTCTGATCTCAGAAAAGCAGGCACACAAAATGGTCAAGGGCGTGAGAGAGAGCAGGGTCAACAGTGAGTGATAATGGTCTGTTCACCTAAGTATATGTATCTTTTGCCACTTAATTAAACTTAAAACCTGTCAGATAGAAATTGTTTTTGAAGAGTACAATTTTAACAGGTTTGTGTGTGTGGGTTAAGAATTTCCACTCCTAAAAAGCAGTTTAGTCCAGTTTTAGTCCTCTGTATTGTCATTTGCTCTGGCACAGTGCCAGGGTTTAGCAACAGACCTCATGAGTATAATATACAGTGTTCTTTTTAAAGCTAAATTTAAGAAAACAACAAGCATTCCAAACCAGGGCAGGTAGCTTTCTTTATGTGGTGGCAATTCTGAACTCCATGTAACAAGTTTATATCCATCAACTGTCCTCAAGCACATGGTGAAAGGCTTAACCTCCCTAGCCTCAAGCAGCTTACATTAGCTTGATATGACTATAACATTGAAGCAATTAGAATGGTATACTCTGGAACCCAATTCAATATTATTTTCATTTAGGGATCACTCAACATCAATTTTAAAATCCCTTAGATTTAAATACATACATACATACATACATACATACATAACATACAGCCAGTAGAAAGGAGCGAGACCAAGTTCCAGCTTTCTATGGGAAAGCAGGGCTAAGCTGGTACCCTATCCCTACCCCACTGCCATTCTTTTCTTAAATATTTATTTAAAGACTTTTAGGGGCATCTGGGTGGTTCAGTTAGTTGGGCGTCCGACTTGGGCTCAGGTCATGATCTCACAGTTTGTGGGTTCGCGTCGGGCTCTGTGCTGACAGCCAGCTCAGAGCCTGGAGCCTGTTTCAGATTCTGTGTCTGCCTCCCTCTGACCCTTCCTTGCCCTCTCTCTCTCTCTCTCTCTCAGAAATAAAACAGTAAAAAAAAAAAAAAAAAGACTTTTAGAGCCATTTTGGAATTATTAGAGCACAATGAAGAGGAAATTGCAGAAATTTCCCATGTACCCACTACCCCCACGGACGCACAGTCTCCCCCCACTATCAGCATCCTCCACCGGAGTGGCACATTTGTTAAAACTGTTGAATCTACCTGGACACAGTCATAATCCGTAGTTTACATTAGGGCTCACTATTGTTAGTACATATTCTGTGGGTTTAGGCAAATGTAGAATGGCATGTATTTATCACTATGGTATCATACCAAGTATTTTCACTGATAAAAATCTTATTCATCCCTCCTCATGTTGTCCCTTTTCCCCACCTCCACCCCCTCGGCAACCACTAATCTTTTTATTGTTTTCATAGTTTTTCCTTTCTCAGAATGCCATGTAGTTAGGACCAAACAGTACATACACTTTTCAGAGTAGTTTCTTTCACTTAGTGATATGCATAGATTTCCATCAGGTCTTTTCGTAGCTCTTTTTATTTTTTCTGTTTTTTTTTTAAAGTTTATTCATTTTGAGAACACAGATGAGCACAAGTGGAGGAGGGGAAGAGAGAGAGCGAGAGAGAATCCCAAGTAGGCTCCACACTCCACACACAGCCTGACCCAGGGCTCTATCCCGTGACCACTAGATCATGACCTGAGCCTATATCAAGAGTCAGACACTCAACCAACTGACCCACCCGGTTTCCCTGATAACCTGTTTTTAGTACTGAATAATATTCCATTGTCTGGGTGGACCACAAGTTATTTACCCATTCAGCTACTGAAGGACATCTTGACTGTTTCCAAGTTTCAGCAATTAAGAATAAAACTGCTATCAACATGTATCCAGGTTTTACTGTGGATGTAAGTTTTCAGCTCTTTGGGGTAAATACCAAAGAAGTGAGGTTGCTGGGATGTATGGTTAAGAGTATGTTTAATTTTGTAAGAAACTGCCAACTGATCTTAATCATTTGCATTTCTACCAGCAATGCATGAGAGTTCCTACTGTTTCACATCCTTATCAGCATTTGGTGGTGGATTTGGGCCATTCCATAGGTATACAGTGGTATCTCATTGTCTTGATTTACATTTCCCTGATGACAAATGATGTGGAGCAACTTTTCATATGTTTATTTGTCATCTGTATATCTGGTGAGGTATCCATTAAGGTCTTTAAGCCCAGTTTTTAATCAGGTTATTTTCTTGCTGGTTTATTTAAGAGTTCTTTGTATATTTTGGGTATTTCCCTTTTTTTTTTTTTTAAAGTAGTCTCTGTGCCCAATGTGGGGCTCAAACTCACAACCCTGAGATTAAGAGTTGCATGCTCTGTGGACTGAGCCAGCCAGGTGCCCCTCTATATTTTGGATAATAATCCTTTCTTAGATGTGTCTTTTGCAAATATTTCTGCCAGTCTGTGGCTTGTGTCCTCATTCTCTTGACATTGTCTTTCACGGAGCATAAGTTTTTTATTTTAATGACATCCAGCTTATCACTTATCATTCCAGGAATGACAAATACTAAAAGTCTGGCTGAATCAATACAAAATTGAGGGTATTATGCAATCAGGATATTATAAAGGTAACTACAGGGACAAAAATATGAACCTTCCTAATTATCGAAATAGAAAAACAGTAAGCAGTCTGTATAGTAAAATATTTTTAGAAGGTATAAATACAGAAAGTGTAATAATATGACAGAACTAAGACCAAACATATCAAATCAACAAATCTAAAGGGCTATCCTCAACTCTTAAGAGGAAAAGAATTTTAAATTTAGTCACAAAGCAAAGCTCAGATCTATGCTACAGAACAGACCTACAATAAAATGAAGGGTTAAAGACACAGGATGAGTAAAGAGATACTAAAAAAAAAACCTCAAAACAAAAGCAACATCTTAATAGACAAGCTGAATTCATGCTCAAATGTATTCAGCCAACCAGGAAAGAAAAGGGCGCTATATAATGCTAAAGGTTATAATTCATGGTAAAGATGAATAGGTTACGAATATCTGTGTATCAAACAACCTTGCAATAATATTATGTTAAAACAATAGAGGATATAAGGAGAAATAGAAGAAAAACATAGGTAGTAGGAAACCAATCTCTTATGGTCCATGGCAGACCAGCTCGACTCGATGGCTCAGTCGGTTAAGTGTCCAATTTTGACTCAGATCATGGACTCACAGTTCATGAGTTCAAGCCCCACATTGGGCTCAGTGCTGAGAGCTCGGAGCCTGGAGTCCACTTTGGATTCTGTATTTCCCTCTCTGCCTTTCACGCACTTGAGCTCTGTCTCTGTCTCAGAAATAAATGTTGGGGTGCTTGGGTGGCTCAGTTGTTTAACCGTCTGACTTGGGCTCAGGTCATGATCTCACAGTTTGTGGGTTCGAGCCCCATGTCGGGCTCTGTGCTGACAGCTCAGAGCCTGGAGCCTGTTTCGGATTCTGTGTCTCCCTCTCTCTCTGACCCTCCCCTGCTCACGCTGTGTCTCTCTCTCTCTCTCTCTCTCTCAAAGATAAAAAATTTTTTAAAAAAAATAAATGTTAAAAAAATTTTTAATAAAAAATGAGTAAAGCTATAGAAGATCTTAATAACATTTTGGTTGATCTAACTGACATATATGGAGAGATTCTGAGA